TAGCATTTCTATTTGAGAAATGTTTATTTAATTTTTTCATGAGTTCATTTACAAACTCAACATCTTCAATATCAGGATGATTAAAATTTATTTTTCCAAAAATAAGAAACTTGTTGATTTCATTTAATTGATTTATATTAGGAGGAGCATAATAGGTTAAAAACCAATTAACAAAAGGAATTATCATATTTTCCCTTTTTATATAAAGATAAAACATTTCTTTATAATTTTGAAGTTTCGTTCGAACTCATTGTTTTTAAATACCAATTTCTAAATTTTTCATATTTAGAAAGATAAAATTCTTTATTACAGGTTTCATTTATCAACTGTAATTCTCTTGGGTGTAAATCTATAAAAACTATAATTGGAATCTGATTTCGGATGATGTTGAATCTAAATCTTCTTGTAGGGAAGATTCATTATCTAGTTGATATATACAATGAGGAATATTATTTTTTAAAATTTTAACTCCTTCAATTATGGGTTATTTATCTCTTCTTCGATTTGGAATTGCGGAAGTAGATCTTCTAAAAAGAGTATAATAAACTGATGAAGTTTCTAATTTATTAGAAAATTTTAAATAATTTCTAGAATTAGTGCTAGTAAATCTTATCATAATATCACCCTAAGATGATTGAGCGGTATGAGTTATTTTTTCATTTATCTCTAATTTTTTAGAAACCACAGACTGCAACTGCTAGGTGTCTGGAAACAAGATTTTCTGACCATTTAATGGTTTTAGAGACTTTAATTTTATTTTTAATTGTGTTTGTTTCAATTAAAGTTGTTTAGCCTTTAATGTTAAGAAGTTTAGTTTCAGGACATAAAGTATTAATAATTTTATAATACACTCTATAAGTAAAAACAATTATATATGTGTCATCTTTATAATTATAACCATAAGTTTTAATATTACATGTTAAAACATCTAAGATATTTTTATCTGTTAAAAATACAGAAAGATTAGGAAAACATTTAAAACAAACAAGGCCAGTACTTAAGCTGGATTGTATAACTCCCATTAAAGATTGATCAAAAATTAAGACATCTAGCATCTCTTAGTGTTAACATAAAAGATGTATTTAATCCTTGAAGAGTTAACGACTTTAATACAACTTGAACTAATCCAATATACAGAAATTTTGAATTATTATCTTGAGCCTTTAAGATTTCTCTTTCAGTTAACAGTTGTAAAATATCTCCATTTTGATCAAAAGGAATAATCTTTTCAATCGTTTTGATTGTTAAACTTGATTTAAAATCAAAAGTGTCAATATTAAAATTTTTTCTTAGTGGGGTACTAGGGTATATCTCAGTTCTGCAATTTATTTTTAATATTAGAGAATTCTATTTCTTCCATATTTTTAACATAATCATCTTTATGATTAAATTTAAATTTAAATAGGTTTAACACCATAGTGGTATCTCAAAGGTTATTCTGTTGACTTATATGTTTCATTATTACCTTCTTCTAGTTGCTATTGTAATTCGTCTTTTAATTCTATTATAGTGACTATTGTTGCCATAATTCTGTTGTACTGCCTTCTCATCATCCTACTTTTGCAGTCAATTCTGTCAACGCTCTCAAGGGACCACACACACGGCCTAACTCTTATCTCACAAAAAACAGCCTAACATCCCCAAAACGTAACCTTGATGCAAAACCACAGGAAGCCCAAAGAATCATCATTATAACAAAATTAAACTAACAATTTCATAGTGACAGTAGTATAACAGAATTAAATCACAATTACATAAGCAACAAGAATTAGTAATAGATCTGCATATAAATCAATAAAAAATATTTAAGCTACCATACTTCTAATGGCTCTGATACCAGGAAAGAGGAAGGATTGATCTATGGGCGTAAATATTAGCAAAAGCTTTTATTTAATGCAAGCTTATGTACAAAACACACTTACAGTAGTAGTGTGTTAAATATATTTTGCTTTTGTGCAATTCATATCTGCTCCGCTGTCAATTAAAGCAATTGTTTCGACAGTAAATTTAGAATTTATAACTAATATGATTTTAACATACCATTTCTAATAAGTCATTTTTTCTAATACATTTAAGTATTTATTATTAGAAAGGTATGATGGTGATGCATTTATGTCATCATTTATGTCACTTTCTTTAAGTGACAATTTTTTCAAAGTTAAGAGTCTAGCCTTTATAACTTTTATGTCTTCTTTAACATTGTGAATTTATTTTCTTAAGTCTTATACCGTAGTAGGAGAGACCTTTTTTATGTGGAATGGATTATCACTCATGTCAATTTCTGTCATATTAAGGACTTCCTTTAGAGAATAAAGTTGAGACAAATTAGGTATCTTTTTCTTTTGAATTTATTTCTAAATATTGTTCAATAGTTTTTCTTTTAAATTTTGGATCTTGAATTTTATCTATAAGATCAAGCTCGCTTAACTGCGAAATTCTAATAGGATCCAGTGCATTAGTGCTGGTATGATCGCACTCAAGGGGTGCAACACAAGAACTTTCTAAGGGGTCACCCATCCTAGTACAATATAATATTAAACAGTAACACACTCAACAAAAAAATAGTGACATTAAACAATAACACACTCAAAAAAAAAAATAATAACATCAAACAGTAACACACTCAAGGAAAAAATAGTAACATACTTAATGAAAAATTTAATTAGAAATTTAAATATTGTAAATATAAAAACTGTCAATTAGATATGCACTATTTATGGTAGGAGTATTTATGGAATATATTTTTAAAAAAATTTAAAATATTTTAAAATGTGTACTTATTGATAACTATTTGATAAAAAAGATGACTTAAAGGGAGGATAAGATTGGAGATGGTCCTTAAAGCCAAATAAATTCTGAAAAAAGGTATCCACACTCCATTATCTCTAAAATAATTGAATTAAAATCCCACAAGCTTAACTCTCAAGTAACTGCATTTTTCAAATATTCCAACTTTATTGCCTTTTTTTGAGTTTTTAGAACGTTTTTGGAACAAAAGTTTCAAGCCTAGATGACTTTGAGGTATTTGCCAACTTTACTTGTATCAAAAGGAAATCTATATAGTATGGCAGCTCTTAACTTGAATTACACTGAGTTATAAAACAAAATAACGACTAAGATTAATCAAATTTTATTCAATGGTATAAAATTTATCCCATTTTTTCATTCTTTGAGGGGGTAATATAGAAAAATTAATCATTTAGGGCATAAACTAAAAATTATTGTATCTTGTAGGGTGCAAAATAAAATTTTCCTAATTTTTGCTGCAAAAATTGAAGACTTTAGATAATTACATATCAGTACACCATTTTCCAAAAAGCAAAACAACCAAAAGCCACCCACCGCCCAAGAGGCGCAAACTTTTTCAACCCGCCGCTATAATTTCCCTAGCCAGACCAGACTAGACTTTCAGGCCATAACCCTCCGTTGTCTAATAACTGTGGTGGGGCGTGGGTAAATTCGTGTGGTGCGTGATCAAATGTGAGAAGCCCGTGGTCTTCTGAGCGTGCGCGTGATCAAATATCTCTTTAAAAACCTACCTGGTTTTTACCTTTACCTTGCAGGTCAGTTTGTTAAGTAAAAAAATACGAAAAATGTCGTTTGAAACTATTAAATTAACACTATATTATAATGTTTGATAGAGCCCACAGTCAATCCAAAGGTCATAGTGAATTAGGTCAGCAAATTAGATCCTAATAGCATTGCTCAAAAAATACATATTTTATCGAGAGAATTACATCCAGACCTTTTAAGGTTTGTCACTTAATCACTCAGATCCCCTGACATTTAAAATATTATACACAAATCACCTAAAATTTGTACGCGTGTAACACTTAGACCCCTGCTGTAAATATATCTGTTAATAAATTATATTTAAACTCCCTTAAAGTATGTACGAATATAATACTTAGATTTTTTTAATTTAAAATGTTATACTTAGATCAAAAATACTCTAATCAAAGATAGAATATTAAATATTTTAAATTTTACAATCAAAATTCATATTCTATTGTATTATTTATTAAAATAAAATCAAAAATAAAAATTAATTTTTTTCTTAAAAAATGAAATTAGTATACAATTATACTATCTATTGAAATAAAATTAAAACAATCAAACAAGGGTTGTAAGTCATTCTTAATAGAACATGAATTTTATAACCAAAATTCATGTTCTATTATGTCATTTATTTAAATAAAATCAGAAATAAAAATTTAATATTTTTTAAAAAATTATAAGTAGTATACAATTATAATATCTATTAGAATAAAACTAAAAAATTAAATAAGGGGTTAAATTGTAATCAACACAATATCTTTTACCTTCAATTGTGATAGTTTGATATTTTAATTTGGTCGTTTAAATGATCAAATTAAATTCTAATAGACAATATAATTATATATTAATAACGATTTTTTAAGAAAAATTTGAATTTGAATTTTTTATTTTCTTTTAATAAATGATATAATAGAACATGAATTTTAATTGTAACATTTAAAATATTTAATATTTTATTTTTAATTAAAATATTTTTGATCTAAATATAATATTTTAAACTTAAGAGATTTAAGTAATATATATTTATGAATTTTAAAGACTCTAAATATAATTTTTTTATAAATATATTTATAGTAGGTATTTAAGTGTTACGTGCATACAAATTTTTAAAAAATTGAGTTTAATGACACACACAAGTATGCACACTTTCTTACTGTCGTCGGGGTTCGCGCCGATCTACACGATATTCACATTATATAAAACCATAATTTTCTCTCTTCACACTCTACACTCACAGATTCACCAAAAACCTATTTAATCTAATTCCAATGCTGATTTCTCTGCAATTTGTTTGATCTGTTTTTTGGTTTGATCGGTGGATCTGTTGTCTTTTTTTTCAGAAAATTGTTTTCAGAGAAACACAATTTGGAATATATGTCCCTCAATCAATCACGGGCTGACAAGAGCGAGTCATGACAGTACCGAAAATCGAGTCGATCTGGTAGCTTTAATCAGCAGAGGAACTCTGGTGGCAGAGGCAAGGGCGGCGGTGGCGCTCCGGCCCCCCTACCTCTTGGTCTTCTTCATTATCATCGAACCAAAGGTAAATTAGGATTTTTTGTATTATGCATATATCCATATTTTTTTTTATGTATATGTATATTTTGTTTATATACTGAATTTAGGGTTTGTAGTTGATTTTTGGTTTTATTATGATTTTTTTTATGGGTTCTCTTAGCTTTAAGAAGTCTAATAATGCACAAGGAGGGCAATCTAGGACAAGATGGAAAATGGCAACGTCCAAGGTGTATAAAAGACGTGGTTTGGATGGATCTAAGGCCCAATCCTTAATTTGGCATATGTTGGATGATGTTGGATCTACTTGGGATATTGACTAGACATGGACCGATTTCTAAAAGTCTGACTTTTCATTTACCGTATGACCTTTTATTTAGTTATATTAACCACAGATTTTCTATGCATGTATCCACAGATTCATTCATCTAGCTTTTTAGGAGGTGAAAAATTTTAGCATTAATTAGTTTTTGAAGTCTTATGTATTGATGTAACTTCAAAACTTTGAAGTATTATGAATGAATATATGAAATTTTTAGAAGCTATTCTATGTTTTTAAGATTGGATGGTGCAATCCTTTCTTTGGTATGATGCAAAAGAGCGCCTAGGTGAGAAGCCTTGGGTTTCTAGGTGTGAGGCCTAGAACTATTTTTTCTTCCTTCTAATTCTCCTTCTTGCTTTCTATCTCCATCTACTGTTCACGCACTATTTACGTACTGTTCACATCTACTGTTCACAACCCCTATTTTCAGTTTTTTCCCTTTCCTTAGCCGCCTTCCAATTCTGTCCTACATCATTTTTTGGTATCAGAGCAAGGGTAGTACCATGACTACACGATCAGGCAGGCCTTTTAGAGGGAGATTGACAGATAATCAGTGAGATGAAATGCTATTCCAGAGTATGGAACAGCTGAATGGTATAAGCATCCGAATGACCACCTTGGAGACTAGAATTGTTCAATCACTCAACAATGCAACAACCCATGAGCAAGGAGAAGCTGCTATCGAGGATCATGTGGAGAATGAAAAAGTAGCACAAGTGCAAGTCCCGAATCCTCCTCCAGCACATGAATTACCGGCTGTGATACCACAACCTCCCATGCCAGAATGGGCTAGAGAAGTGCTAGAAAGAGAGTGGTATGAGACATATGATACGGCCGGAGATATCACAAAGAAGGTTAAAATGGAGGTTCAAGACTTTGAAGGTAAAGTTAATCCTACGTTATTTTCAGATTTTTCCCCTTTCCTTAGCCGTCTTCCAATTCTGTCCTACATCGTTTTGGATTCGAATTCAGATTCTAATAATGCTTCTGCAGACCATATTGTACAGAATGGTGCCTATTTTCAACCTCCATTACATGGTATGTGATCAAATAGAGTTACTTTTTGTTAATTTTGTTGGGGTGTGCATTTAGTTTTCTTTGTAAATTGTAGTTGTACGAACATTCTCTATTATAGGTCTAGAATATAGTTGTTGAAGAAAAAAGATTTGTTTTTTTTATCTTGTTTTTTTTTTTTTTTTATAGCATGTTTTTATCCTGCTTCATAAATTGTGATCATACAAGAATTTGAACTGTGTGTTACTGTGTTATGATTGTTGGTATTCTTGTTGTAGGAGCAGCTGATGCTCCACTCATAGGTGCTAATGTGAAGCCTACTGATGTTTCGACTCAGAAAAGCACCCGACCTATTCCAAAGGTTCCATCTTCTAATGCTGCTACTGTCATGTCTGACACCACGGCACCCACAACCCCTGCAAAAGGTACAGCCAGTTGGTGCTTGATATATTTTTGATTTCCGTAATTATGAATATAATATGGCACTTTTCTTTGCTTCATTGAATTTTGCCCCATCTTTTCATTGTTGGTTTTTTTCCACGGATGGTTGCTAATGCTATTTTCTGATGGCATAGCTCCAGCAGATGCATCCAAGTCATTTCCTTTTCAGTTTGGTTCAATAAGCCCTGGTTTAATGAATGGAATGCAGGTTTGTTTATATTCTAGTGCACCAGTGCAAATCTAAAGCTCTTAATAATTTCATGAAGATCTAAATTTTCTTCAATGCTCATAATTGTCATACCTAATTGTAGAACGATTGTGTTCCTATTGTAGATACCTGCCCGAACTAGCTCAGCCCCACCAAATCTAGATGAGCAGAAACGCGATCAGGTTTGTAGTCTCTGTTACCCTTTTCTCCAGTTGTTAATCAGACAGTATCAATTACCTATCTACCCTGCCAAATCAAGAGTTGTTCCATCTCAGATGGAATTGTGCATAGAACCGTTCCGCTTCTGTCTGTCTGAGCCATTTGCCTTCTGTACATTTGAGGTAGAAATGATTAAAAAAGTGGAACTTAGTTCACTATCAATAAATACCATAAAAGATTACTTGTCGATAATTGAGGATATATATTGGATACACGCCATACGTACCTAATAATCAATAAAAAATATCTTTATTTTTTAACACGTATTGGATATAGCATCCAAGATTGAGTATTCCTCGGATATGGAAGTAGATATGCGGAGCAATATGTGTAATATCCAATTTTAAACTTCTTACACCTTTTCTCTTCAATTCACATACAATGATACACCTATAGAAAAATCCGTGTTTCTTAATTATTATATACCATGACACATCAAAAAGACATAACATGGGTTATTTACATCCTATCTCTTAGCAGCAAGTATCTCTAAGTAAACCAACTAGTTAAATGTTGATTATGATACCTTTAATTAACCACCTTCACTTTGCGCATATATGATGATGAGGCGATCTATCTTTGAAAGTATAACACACATATATATATATATATAAAGCATTGACTCAGAACTATGTTTATCAAGTCGTCAAATAATTGTAAAATGCAGAGTATTCATTGTACACGTATCCGTTATCTTATTTTTTGAGATTTTGCCGTATCTCTGTATCCTTATCTTATTGTATCCATAGCTTGTATCCGTTCCCTTTCATTCATAGAGCAGAATAGACGAGCCAGTGTATTTTTGACTTTCAATGCTTGATCGTTGTTAGGGGGTGATAGGGATCGTAAATGCTAGACCAAATTGTACATAAAAACTTGTGTATCACATTAACTGTCTAAGAAGCCTGCAAAAACAGGCAGTTGAAAAAATGCCACTCTTTCAACCCTAGACAACAATTTACATATGTCTGTGTTCCAAATCTATGCAGTTAGACCAATACTGCAATTTAATGTGCATAAACAAATCAATAATTTCGTACAATTTCAACCAGTATCGGTTCTTTTAGAGGAAAAAGGTCAATAAGAATTGACGTTGAAGTGTCGAACAGATCTGTAAGAAAAGATGGATGGATGGAAAGTTAAATCAGCATATATTATAAGGGACTCTTGAGGTGCTCCATTAGTTAGCGCGCCAAGGCAGTTAGCAAAATCTAGGCCCTTACAGATGAACTTGTGCAAGTTTGGAAAAAGGACACCAGGAGGGTTCATATTGAAGGTCATCGGTAGCTTGAGAGGAAGGGATCAGTTCCTTGGAGGCTTTGGATGTCGATTGAGCATGTGCAGTAGCTGTTAGATAAGTTTGAAAAGGTGAAAATCAATCATGTTTACAGTGGAGCCATCACAGGGGATTTTAATAGTGGCTACTTGCAGATGATTGGAAGGAAGAGAGTGGCATTGATGCTTTGGATTCCTTTTTCTTATCGCATATTATTTTCCTGCCAAAAGAACAAAAGACAGAGAGATTCTAAGCAGTTTGAGGATTGCAGTCCTCGTATCAGCGCACACACGTAATTCATCCAACTCAATATTTACTTGGAGTTTTACATACAAAGTGCTCATTATGAATCATAATATGCAAATTAAATATGTGCTTCAAGAAAATTTAAGCAGTATCAATCATCAAACTATATAACCTGATATGGACACATGCATTCATATAAAGACTAAGATAGTCTAAAAACCAAACACTAAACTGAGGGAACATCATTATTCGTATATTACTCTCAAGAGTTTGCAAGTACTAATCCAATTCAATGAAACTGAAGCCAAATCAACGAGAGTTTCGAACACACAATAAACATAATTAGAGCATTATATTCAGAATTGAGAATAGAGTAAACTCGCAAAATTTTATGCGGACAACCTTGGAAGAACAATTTCATAGAAAAAAAAAAAAAAGTCATAAGCTCACCGAAAGATGTCTCAACAACTATCCAGTCCTTCAATTGGATTGGATAGACATAAAATTGAAGATTAGAATTTTATTTATTAGATTATTTGGTTGGCTAATAATCATCTCATTAGGAGATTTAGATAGAGTCTTAGCTAGAAAGTACTTTTTATTTGGGTAGGACACTTAAACACCATTATTTGAGTTAGATTGATGAATATGAATTGATTAGTTTTTCTATGGAGATTTGTTTTTCTTGACCGATTGCTTGCGAAGATGAGATAAACCTCCCTTTCTTCTCTTCTTTTTCTATTATTTGATTTCTACTCCTCCCTTCTCTGCATCAGAGGGCCTCATATTTACTCAGTTTAACTACCTAATAGGGCAATATGTATTATTGTTGGTGGATGGCGACTATACACCACGTAGAGCATTGTCCGTGATCAAGTGCATTGACCATTAGCCCCTATTCTGTGGTTTTCTCTTTGGCAGGCTTGCCATGATCTTTTAAGAGCTGGGTTAACATTGCCAATGCCATCCATTCCCGTTCCCAAGCAGCAGTTGCCAAGGAAGGATGCAGGAACTGTTGACCAATCTAATACCGATGAGACTTATCCAACACCTAAGGTGAAAAGGGGTGTGCAAGTTTCAGCTGCGTCCCATGTGGTCGAAACTCAGAAGCCTTCTGTACATACTATTCCTGGGATTTCTATGCAAATCCCATTTCACCAGCCACAGGTTCCCAGTCAATCTAATACCAGTGAGAGGGATGTGCAAGTTTTAGTTGCATCCCCTGTGGTCCAAACTCAGAAACCTTCTGTACATCCTATTCCTGGCAGTACCCGTAAAACTGTCAAGATTACTCATCCAGACACTCATGAAGAATTGAGACTTGATGGTTCATCAGGCCAGAGGTCACAGGATGATATTGATAAGGCGGCCGAGAATTTTGTGACATCCACCTTCACAGTGCAGGGTGCCATATATACTAAACCTTCCCCATCAGCTCTTGATTTATCTACAATTTCTCTGGGTGATAAGGCTTCAATCGTGGATATTTCTTTAACTGGAAATGATGGTATTTGGACTAAAGAAGTTGATGGTACAACTTCTGGTATGCTAGATCAGCACTCAGCCCGTGCTTCAGTTCCACCTCTTTCAGAAGCAACTTTGAAATTTGAAGGAGAAGGTGCCGACAAAATTAGTGCTGGCTTGGTTTCTCTTTCAGCATTGGGTTCTAAGGATAAACCCTTGCCCGAGCCAAATAGAGGAAAGAGTAATAAGGCTAAACAGAGAAGGCGTAGAAAAGAACTACTCCAAAAAGCAGATGCTGCTGGTACAACTTCTGATCTTTACATGGCATACAGAGGGCCAGAGGAAAATAAAGAAACTGTCACCTCCGCAGAAATTATGTTAAGCAGCTCCAGCATTAGTTTGAAGCAGGTATATGGTGACTCTTCTCAGGAGGATGTTGTATCAAGTCAAAACGTTGATCAGAGTAAAGCTAATCCAGATGACTGGAAAGATGCTGCTGACATCTCTACTCCTAAATTGGAAACTTATGATGAGGGTAAGCACAATCACGGGGGATTACAACATCAAGGTGAAGATGAAATTGGAGTAATGGCTAGAAAGTATACTAGGGATTTCCTACTGATATTTGCAGAGCAATATACTGACCTTCCAGATGGTTTTGATATTACATCTGATCTAGCGGGGCAATGTATTGACCTTCCACAGGTTCCCAGTCAATCTAATACCGGTGAGATTAATCCAACACCTAAGGTGAAAAATCACAAAAAAAAAAAAAAAACACCTAAGGTGAAAAGGGGTGTGCAAGTTTCAGTTGCATCCTCTGTGGTCCAAACTCAGAAACCTTCTGTACATCCTATTCCTGGGGTTTCTTTGCAAATACCATTTCACCAGCCACATGTTCCCATTCAGTTTGGTGGCTCCAGCCCACAAATTGAGTTTCAGGGTATGACAGGCACTTCATTGCCGATGCCAATGCCGCTGCATTTCCAAATGGGAAATCTGCCTCGGGTGCAGCAGCCGGTATTTGTTCCAGGTCTTCAACCCCATCGAATGCAAACTCTGGGAATTATGCATCAGGGCCACGGCTTGAATTTTTCATCTCCAATGGGTCCTCAGCTTCCTTCTCAGTTGGGCAATTTGGGAATTGGCATCACTCAACAATTCTCTCAACAACAGGCAGGCAATTTTGGCAGTACCCGTAAAACTGTCAAGATTACTCATCCAGACAATCATGAAGAATTTAGACTTGATGGTTAATTTGGAGATATGTTGAGTATCTTGTCAAAATTTGTAACTGCATGCCCTATAGATAAATTTATAATAAGAACACTAGTTGGTTCTTGCGATTCTTCTACCCATGTTACGAAATTATAAATTGATTTGCTATAGTATGCTGGCACGAATAACTCGACAAATACAACCTACTTATTAAACGACTTTCTTGTGTTATGTCATGTTAGTGCTATAGCCAAGCATCAAAAATATTACCCCTAAGGATTGCTCAATTAATAATAAGGATGAGTTGAAAATTTGGATATTATGAGTTTGAATTTTGGTAATTTCTTAGAAGTTAAACTATAAGAGATTTATCTTTTGTGAATGTCTTAATCTCGACATGAATAACCTTGATCGAATCAAGGAAGGGATTAGTCAAAGTGTGATTAAATTGACCGAACACTCCTGACTGTTGAACCAAAAAAAAAAAAGTATAAAAAATATTAAAAAATTTACCCTTTTCTTATTTTTTTCATCACATCTTTAGAGCATCTCTAACTCTTCTCATTTTTTAAATTAAAATTAAAATTTGAATAAAAAATATTTAAAAATTTTCTTCAATCCTACATCAAAATCCATACTAAATCAATGGAGTGTCAAAATTTTATCCAAATCAAGAGAAACTCAAACATTTATTCATATCACTAATGATTAGATTTTATTCTTTTTTAAAGATTCAATTGTCATATTTCACACTCTTTTATATTTAGATTTCTTTTTCTTTAAATTGAGTTTATTTATTATAGATGTTTATATCAAATCAAATTTTTTACTCAAATTTAGGTTAAGGTCGGAAATGATCTTACATGTCCATCAATAAGACTTGACCATAGGGCAAGGTGTGAAAAGACTTAATTAACCCGGTGAACATTTCTATTTCCTCCGCTTTACTATTAAATTCTCGTGCTATTCTATTTGTTTTCACACAAAACATCTCAGATATTGTCTTATTATAATGCTTGGGTCACCCCTTTATACCATGTTATAACTGAATAAGTAAAATAGCACAAAATAATTGAATTAAAATCCCACAAGCTTACCTCTCAAGTAACTGCCTTTTTCAAATATTCGAACTTTATTGCTTTTTTTTTACATAAAAATGCTACACAATTTAAATAAAACTCAAAAAATTGTAATCCAAATGAATATCATTCTTAGATAAGTGGATCCTACTGAAAAATTTGATGGAACACACTTATCCAATGAATAATATGCATTTGAATTGTAACTTTTTGAGCTCTATTTAAATTGTGTAATATTTTTCTAGATGGCTTTAACTTTATAGAACTCTTTTGGAACAAAAGTTTCAAGCCTAGACGACTTCAAGGTCTTTGCCAAACTTTACTTGTATCAAAAGGAAATCTATATAATATGGTAGTTCTTGACTTGAATTACACAAGTTACAAAAACAAAGTAATGATCAAGATTGATCAATTTTTATTCAATAGTATAAAATTTATCCCCTTTTTTTTTACCTATCCCATTTTTAAGAATGATTGGATGGAAATAAAAGAATTATATAAATCATGTTGTATGTCATTTTTCTTTAAAATTATAAAAGTGTTTTTGACAATATTGGCCTGTGGGGTGGGGTGGGGGGGAGGAGGGGAGGGGACTAAAAAGTTCAATTTTTTTGGTTTCAGAGGAAAAGAAGTCAATCTGCTTGGACCTTCACTTATTGGGTGATTTTTCTATTAGTTTTTTTTGACAAAAATAGTTTTTATTAGTACCAAGAAAAAGTTAAAAAATAGGGTTTCCAAGGAAAAATTAGTTTTTTCAAAAACACTCCAATTGGTTATAATAGCTTTTTAAATTTTGATTTTTCATTTTACTTTTTAAACTTCTATTTCGCACAAAAAAAATCCAGTTCCAAATGGACCCATTGTGGTGTTTTGAACCCTTAAAATGTTTGTTTTGATGGACGACATAATAGTAGTTTTAATTTCAACCACAATCTACCCATTTTAATACAACCCACAAGTCACTTTCAATAATCCCACATATATATGAAATTATATGTAAAGATGATTTGGGGGCCTAGATTCATAATCCTATCATAAGAAAACATCCTAAATATGGGAAATTTGGACATTATACTTAACATTATAGTCTCTCTCTCTCCTTCTCTCTCTATGAACTTTTTTTAGAAGGTCTTCAAAAGAAAAGGACAAAAAATTATTTTAAAACGGTCAAAATATTTTTGTTTCTAAGGAGATCAAAATAAAATAGTGATGAAATTGAAATTTCAATACTTCGAGGTATTTCGTAATATTTTCAAAGTGTTTTGAGATGTTTCGATTTGTTTACACTATTGTTTCAAAATATTTCAAGATGTTTTGATATATTTCAACCAATATTTATAATTTATAAATATTTTTTGAGAAAAAAATCCCATTTTATCCTTGAAAAATATAAAAAAGTTTAGTTTGCCGCTCGAATTATTAATTTTTTTACATTGCTCCTTCAAAAAAATAAAAATGTCGAAATGTGGTCCATTATTTTATTTCTGATTCGTCGTCCATCAGTTTTGTGTCAAATAAATCAATCAAAAATCACAAAACAGACAGACAATAAAACGAAAATAAAACAGTGAACCACAATGCAACATTTTTTATTCTTTGACGGGGTAATATAGAAAAATTAATTATTTAGGGTAATATATAAGAGATTTATTTCTCATGAATGTACTAATCTTGGCATGAATGACCTTAATCGAATTAAAAAGAAGATTAATCGAAGTGCACGTAAATTGACCGAACACCCTTGACAGTTGAACAGAAAAAAAAACATAAAAAATATACAAAATTACCCTTTTCTTGTTTTTTCATCACATCTTTAGAGCATCTCTAACTCTTACCATTTTTTAAATTAAAATTTAAATTTGAATAAAAATTCTTTAAAAATTTTCTTCAATTCAACATCAAAATTCATACCAAATCAATAGAGATTCAAAATTTTATCCAAATCAAGAGAGACCGAAACATTAACTCAAGTCAATTTTTATTCTCTTTTCAAGATCCAATTGGTATATTTCATACTCTTTTAAATTTAGATTTTTTTTTTTAACTGAATTTGTTTATTAGAACCATTTATATCAAATCAAATTTTTTGGAAATGGTGTTACATGTCAATCAATGAGGCTTGACCATAGGCCAAGGTGTAAAAATACCTAATTAACCCGATGAACATTTCTATTTCCTCCACTTTACTCTTAAATTCTCGTGCTATTCTATTTGTTTTCCAACTAAACATCTAAGATATTGTTTTTATTATAATGCTTGGGTCACCCCTTTATCCCATGTTACAACTGAAAAAGTAAAATAGCATAAAATAATTGAATTAAAATTCCACAAGCTGAACTCTCAAGTATCTGCCTTTTTCAAATATTCCAATTTTATTGCCTTTTTTAACATAAAAATGTTGTACGATTTAAAAAAAACTCAAAATTTTTTTAACTCAAATGAATATCATTCTTAGATGAGTGAATCCTACTGAAAAATTTGATGGAATACACTTATCCAATAAGTAATATGCATTTAGATTGTAATTTTTTAAACTCTATTTAAATTGTGTAATATTTTCCTAGATGACTTTGACTTTTTAGAATTTTTTTGGAACAAAAATTTCAAGCCTAGACAATTTCAAGGTCTTTGCCAACTTTACTTGTATCAAGAGGAAATCTATATAATATGGTAGCTCTTAACTTGAATTACACAAGTTATAAAGCAAAGTAAAAAACCTATATTTTTTACCAATTATAAAAGTGCTTTTGACAATATTGGGCCTATGGGGAGGGGAGGGGACTGAAAACTTCAGTTTTCTTTGGTTTCAGAGGAAAAGAAGTTGATCCGTTTGGACATTGACTTATTGCGCGATTTTTCTATCAATTTTTTTTATAATAATAGTTATTATCAGTTTCAAGAAAACACTAGTTTTTTTGTCAGTTCCAAGGAAAAATTAGCATTTTCAAAAACACTCTAAACGATTGCAATAGTTTTTTTTTAATTTTGATTTTTTTATTTTACTTTTTAAACCTCTGATTCACCCAAAAAAAATATGTCTAATTTCAAATGAACCCATTGTCGTGTTTCAAACCGTTAAAATGTTTATTTTGATGTAAAGACATAGTAGTAATTTTAATTTCAATCACAATCTACCCATTTTAAAACAACCCACAGGTAACTTTCAATAATCCCACATATACATGAAATTATATGTAAAAGATGATTTGGGGCCTAGATTCATAATCCTATCAGAAGAAAGCATCCTTAAATATAGAAAATTTGGACATTACCCTTAACATTATTCTCTATCTCCTTCTCTCTCTATGAACTTTTTTTAGAAGGTCTTCAAAAGAGATGGATAAAAATTCATTTTAAAACGGTCAAAATATTTTTGTTTCTAAGGGGATTAAAATAAAATAGTAATAAAATTAAAATTTCAATATTTCAAGGTGTTTCGTAATATTTTCAAAGTGTTTTGAGATGTTTCAACATGTTTACACTATTATTTTGAAATATTTCGAGATGTTTCAAGATATTTTTATATATTTCAACAAATATTTATAATTTATAAATATTTTTTGAGAAAAAATTTCATTTTATCCTTGAAAGATATAAAAAAATTTAATTTGTCCCTCGAATTATTAATTTTTTCACATTGCTCTCTCAAAAAAAAAAATTGTCTGAATGTGATCTATTATCTTATTTCTAATTCATCATTCATCTGTTTTGTGTCAAATTAGCCAATCAAGAATCACAAAATAGACGGAAAATAAAACAGTGAACCACATTGTAATATTTTTTATTCTTTGAGGGGATAATATAGAAATATTAATCAGTTAGGGCATAAACTACAAATTATTGTATCTTTTAGGGTACAAAAAAGAATTTTCCCTATTTTTGCAGCAAAAATTGAAGACTTTGATAATTACATATCGGTCCACCTTTTTCCAAAAAGCAAAAGAACCAAAAGCCTCCCACCGCCCTATAGGCGCAATCTATTTCACCCCGCCACCATAACTTCCCTAGCCAGACCAGACCATCAGGCCACAACCCTCCGTTGTCTAATAACTGTGGTGGCGCGGGGGGGAGATACGAGTAGCGCGTGGTCTTTAGAGCGTGCCAGTATACAAAACGCTGTGTTATCTCCTTAAAAACATACCCTTTTTACCACCTTGCAGGTCAGTTTGTTACATAAAAAATACATATATTTTATCTCTGCATCTCTCTCTCTTTCTCACACACACAAACACAAGTATACACACTCTCTTACTGTCGTCATGGTTCGCGCCAATCTACACGATATTCACACTATATAAAACCCTAATTTTCTCTCTCCTCACACTCTACACTCACAGGTTCACCAAAAACCTAATTAATCTAATTTCAGTGCTGATTTCTCTGCAATTTGTTTGATCGGCGGATCTGTTGTCTTTTTTTCAGAAAATTGTTTGCAGAGAAACACAATTTGGAATATATGTCCCTCAATCAATCACGGGCTGACAAGAGCGAGTCATCACAGCACCGAAAATCGAGTCGATCCGGTAGCTTTAATCAGCAGAGGAACTCTGGTGGCAGAGGCAAGGGCGGCGGTGGCGCTCCGGCCCCCCCTACCTCTTGGTCTTCTTCATTATCATTGAACCAAAGGTAAATTAGGATTTTTTGTATTATGCATATATCCATATTTTTTGATGTATATGTATATGTTGTTTATATACTGAATTTAGGATTTGTAGTTGATTTTTGGTTTTATTATAATTTTTTTTTATGGGTTCTGTTAGCTTTAAGAAGTGTAATAATGCACAAGGAGGGCAATCTAGGACAAGCGTTTTGGATTCGAATTCAAATTCTAATAATGCTTCTGCAGACCGTATTGTACAGAATGGTGCCCATTTTCAACCTCCATTACATGGTATGTGATCAAATAGAGTTACTTTTTGTTAATTTTGTTGGGGTGTGCGTTTAGTTTTCTTTGTAAATTGTAGTTGTACGAACATTCTCTATTATAGGTCTAGAATATAGTTGTTGAAGAAAAAAGATTTGTTTTTTTTATCTTGTTTTTTTTTATTTTTATAGCATGTTTTTATCCTGCTTCATAAATTGTGACCATACAAGAATTTGAACTGTGTGTTACTGTGTTATGATTGTTGGTATTCTTGTTGTACGAGCAGCTGATGCTCCACTCATAGGTGCTAATGTGAAGCCTACTGATGTTTCGACTCAGAAAAGCACCCGACCTATTCCAAAGGTTCCATCTTCTAATGCTGCTACTGTCATGTCTGACACCACGGCACCCACAACCCCTGCAAAAGGTACAGCCAGTTGGTGCTTGATATATTTTTGATTTCCGTAATTATGAATATAATATGGCACTTTTCTTTGCTTCATTGAATTTTGCCCCATCTTTTCATTGTTGGTTTTTTTCCACGGATGGTTGCTAATGCTATTTTCTGATGGCATAGCTCCAGCAGATGCATCCAAGTCATTTCCTTTTCAGTTTGGTTCAATAAGCCCTGGTTTAATGAATGGAATGCAGGTTTGTTTATATTCTAGTGCACCAGTGCAAATCTAAAGCTCTTAATATTTTCATGAAGATCTATATTTTCTTTAATGCTCATAATTGTCATACCTAATTGTAGAACGTTTGTGTTCCTATTGTAGATACCTGCCCGAACTAGCTCAGCCCCACCAAATCTGGATGAACAGAACCGCGATCAGGTTTGTGGTCTCCGTTACCCTTTTCTCCAGTTGTTAATCAGACAATATCAATTACCTGTCTACCCTGCCAAATCAACAGTTGTTCCATCTCAGATGGATTTGTGCATAGAACCGTTCCGCTTCTGTCTATCTGAGCCATTTGCCTTCTGTACATTTGAGGTGGAAATGATTAAAAAAGTGGAACTTAGTTCACTTTCAATAAATACCATAAAAGATTACTTGTCGATAATTGAGGATATATATTGGATACACGCCATATGTATCTAATAATCAATAAAAAATAACTTTATTTTTTAACACGAATTGGATATAGCATCCAAGATTGAATATGCCTCGGATATGGAAGTAGATATGCGGAGCAATATGTGTAATATCAAATTTTAAACTTACACCTTTTCTCTTCAATTCACATACAATGATACACCCAGAGAAAAAGCCGTGTTTCTTAATTTTTATCTATCATGACACATCAAAAAGACATAAAATGGGTTATTTACATCCTATCTCTTAGCAGCAAGTATCTCTAAGTAGGCCAACTAGTTAAATGTTGATTATGATACATTTAACTAACCACCTTCACTTTGCGGGTATATGATGATGAGGCAATCTATCTTTGAAAGTATAACATATATATATATATATATATATATATATTTTTTTTTTTTTTCTGAATTGTAATTAAAGCATCGACTCAAATCGATATTTATCAAGTTGTCAAATAATTGTAAAATGTAGAGTATTCATTGTACATGATCTTAGTCGTGTCTGCTATCGAGATTTTTCCGTATATCTATATCCTTATCATGTTGTATCTATATCTCGTATACGTTCCCTTTCATTCATAGAACAGAACAGACGAGCCAATGTCTTTCTGACTTTCAATGCTTGATCGTTGTTAAGGGGTGATAGGGATTGTAAATGCTAGACCAAATTGCACATAAAAACTTGTGTATCACATTAACTGTCTAACAAGCCCGCAAAAACAGGCAGTTGAAAAAATGCCACTCTTTCAACCCTAGACACAACAATTTACATACGTCTGTGTGTTCCAAATCTATGCAGTTAGACCAATACTGCAATTTAATGTGCATAAACAAATCAATAGTTTCGTACAATTTCAACCAGTATCGGTTCTTTTAGAGGAAGAAGGTCAAGAAGAATTGACTTTGAAGTGTTGAACAGATCAGTAAGAAAAGATGGATGGATGGAAAGTTAAATCAGCATATATTATAAGGGACTCTTGAGGTGCTCCATTATTAATTGCACCAAGGCAGTTAGGAAAATCTAGGGCCTTACAGATGAACTTGTTCAAGTTTGGAAAAAGGATATCAGGAGGGTTCATATTGAAGGTCATCGATAGCTTGAGAGGAAGGGATCAGTTCCTTGGAGGCTTTGGATGTCGATTGAGCATGTGCAGTAGCTGTTAGATAAGTTTGAAAAGGTGAAAATTAATATTGTTTACAGTGGAGCCATTAGAGGGGATTTTAATAGTGGCTACTTGCAGATGATTGGAGGGAAGAGAGTGGCATTGTTGCTTTGGATTCCTTTTTCATATCACATTATTTTCCTGCCAAAAGAACAAAAGACAGAGAGATTCTAAGCAGTTTGAGGATTGCAGTCCTCGTATCAGCGCACACACGTAATTCATCCAACTCAATGTTTACTTGGAGTTTTACATACAAAGTGCTCATTATGAATCATAATATGCAAATTAAATATGTGCTTCAAGAAAATTTAAGCAGTATCAATCATCGAACTATATAACCTGATATGGACACATGCATTCATACAAAGACTAAGATAGTCTAAAAACCAAACACTAAACTGAGGAAACATCATTATTCGTATATTACTCTTATGAGTTTGCAAGTACTAATCCAATTCAATGAAACTGAAACCAAATCAACAAGAGAGAGTTTCAAACACACAATAAACATTATTAGAGCATTATATTCAGAATTGAGAATAGAGTAAACTCGCAAAATTTTAGGCGGAAAACCTTGGAAGAACAATTTCATAGAAAAATAGAAAAAAAAAGTCAAAAGCTCACCGAAAGATGTCCCAACAACTATCCAGTCCTTCAATTGGATTAGATAGACATAAAATTGAAGATTAGAATTTTATTTATTAGATTATTTGGTTAGCTAATAATTATCTCATTAGGAGATTTAAATAGAGTTTTAGCTAGAGAGTACTTTTTATTTGGGTAGGACACTTGAACACCATTATTTGAGTTAGATTGATGAATATGAATTGATTAGTTTTTCTGTGGAGATTTGTATTTCTTGACCGATTGCTTGCGAGGATGAGGTAAACCTCCCTTTCTTCTCTTCTTTTTCTATTCTCTGAATTCTACTCCTCCATTCTCTGCATCAGGGGGCCTCATATTTACTCAGTGTAACTACCTAATAGGGCAATATGTATCATTGTTGGTGGATGGCACCTATACTACATGTAGAGCGTTGTCCATGGTCAAGTGCATTGACCATTTGCCCCTATTCTGTGATTTTTTCTTTGGCAGGCTCGCCATGATCTTTTAAGAGCTGGGTTGACATTGCCAATGCCATCCATTCCCATTCCCAAGCAGCAGTTGCCAAGGAAGGATGCAGGAACTGTTGACCAATCTAATACTGATGAGACTCATCCAACACCTAAGGTGAAAAGGGGTGTGCAAGTTTCAGCTGCATCCCATGTGGTCGAAACTCAGAAGCCTTCTGTACATACTATTCCTGGGATTTCTATGCAAATCCCATTTCACCAGCCACAGGTTCCCAGTCAATCTAATACTGGTGAGACTAATCCAACACATAAGGTGAAAAGGGATGTGCAAGTTTCAGTTGCATCCCCTGTGGTCCAAACTCAGAAACCTTCTGTACATCCTATTCCTGGGGTTTCTTTGCAAATACCATTTCACCAGCCACATGTTCCCATTCAGTTTGGTGGCTCCAGCCCACAAATTGAGTCTCAGGGTATGACTGGCACTTCATTGCCGATGCCAGTGCCGCTGCATTTACAAATGGGAAATCTGCCTCAGGTGCAGCAGCCGGTATTTGTTGCAGGTCTTCAACCCCATCCAATGCAGACTCAGGGAATTATGCATCAGGGCCACGGCTTGAATTTTTCATCTTCAATGGGTCCTCAGCTTCCTCCTCAGTTGGGCAATTTGGGAATTGGCATCACTCAACAATTCTCTCAACAACAGGCAGGCAATTTTGGCAGTACCCGTAAAACTGTCAAGATTACTCATCCAGACACTCATGAAGAATTGAGACTTGATGGTTCATCAGGCCAGAGGACACATCCTAATGTGCCACCGATATCCCAACCTATTCCTTTGTTTCCACCTGCTCATCCAATTAACTACTACCCTAATACTTACAATGCCAGTTCTCCCTTTTTTCCAGCTCCAAATTCTCTTCCTTCAAGTAATACCTCTTTCACTCCCATTTCTCAGGCACCAAGGTTTTATAATCAGGTTAGCCAGGGCCCACCAACTGCATCTTTCATACACTCATCTGCTCTTAACTCCATTTCTGTTGATAAAACTAATGCCTTATTGCATGGCATTGCCAAACTATCAACTTTGGATCATTCTAGTAAGGTTCATAATATAGCATCCTCACCTTCATCAACTTCTATTCATGTAACTGTGAAACCTGCGGCTGCCTCACATGGAGAAAAGGCTGCTGACACATCACTGTCAGTAAGCTCATCTGCTGTTGAAAAGAGTCTCTTTCCTAAACTGCCATGGTCACATGGGGTAGCTAGGTCAAGTTATCCTCAACAAGATTGTGAGACTTTATCTCAAAGCTCTTTACAGCAATCAAAATTTGGGATTGAACCAACGTCTACATCAGTTCATGGGGCAAGTGAACAATCTGTAGCAGTACCCAGTTCTGTTTCTACTGAGATCCCCATGCTCAACTCTTTTTCTGCTCCTCTTGGCCATACTGAGGATTCTGCACCAGTACCACCCAGTAGCACCAGTAGCACACCAAGGGAAACAATTAAGTTTGACTTCATCAAAGATCCACCTAGGAAATTAGGCAAGGAAGGACAATCCCTCCCACAGAATCAGGTATTGTACTGTGATTCTGTCAAATGATTTATATAACAATTTTTTTTAAGAGAGCACATAATATAATGTGAGCGTGAATTTTTGTACTGTTATTTGCAGATTGGTGGACTGTCTAGTTCTTTTCCAAGCTTGTCTTTTCAGTCAATGGAAAATAGTTATTCTCTTGACCGTGGAATTCCTGGAAATGTAGAGGTTAAAATAACTCCCGATTCATCAGGAAACAGTGGGGTTTGCTTGGAAACTACAAGGGAGTCACTGGCCACTATTCGTGTTGCCACTCCTGATGCTTCTGATTCAAGAAGTGATTGTTCTGGCGAAGGCACAACACAAAAGTCATCTGAAATGTTTGATGCTGGAACCAGTGTTGATACTTCTTTGAATGATCAACAATCAAAGCTCGAAACTGTGGGAACTAAAGAGCAAGAAGAAATTGTGTTGCCCAAAGGGTCCAAACAATATGGGAACAGTCTTGAGACATGTTCAGAATCTATCTCTGTGGAACCTTCCAAAGTCACTTCCCAAATAGAACAGAGCTCTGGTCAGGGGGTAACAGTTGCTGGCTTTGAGATTGGATCCTCAGAAATTGCACAGAGAGAGCTGAAAGAACCTGTAGGTTTTCACACACAGGATGATATTGATAAGGTGGCCGAGAATTTTGTGACATCCACCTTCACAGTGCAGGATGCCATAAATATTAAACCTTCCCCATCAGCTCTTGATTTATCTACAATTTCTCTGGGTGATAAGGTTTCAATCGTGAATATTTCTTTAACTGGAAATGATGGCATTTGGACTGAAGAAGTTGATGGTACAACTTCTGGTATGCTAGATCAGCACTCAGCCTGTGCTTCAGTACCTCCTCTTTCAGAAGCAACTTTGAAATTTGAAGGAGAAGGTGCCGACAAAATTAGTGCTGGCTTGGTTTCTCTTTCAGCATTGGGTTCTAAGGATAAACCCTTGCCCGAGCCAAATAGAGGGAAGAGTGTGGCTAAACGAAGTAGGCATAGAAAAGAACTACACCAAAAAGCAGATGCTGCTGGTACGACTTCTGATATTTGCATGGCATACAAAGGTCCAAAGGAAAATAAGGAAACTGTCATCTCTGCAGAAAGTATGGAAAGCAGCTCCAGCATTAGTTTGAAGCAGGCATATGGTGACTCTTCTCAGGAGCATGTTGTATCAAGTAAAAACGTTGATCAGAGTAAAGCTGAGCCCGATAACTGGGAAGATGCTGCTGACATCTCTACTCCAAAATTGGAAACTTATGATGAGGGTAAGCACGATCACGGGGGATTAAAACATCAAGGTGAAGATGAAATTGGAGTAATGGCCAGAAAGTATACTAGGGATTTCCTACTGATATTTGCAGAGCAATGTATTGACCTTCCAGATGGTTTTGATATTGCATATGATCTAGCAGAGGCCTTGATAGTCTCTAATCTCAATGTTCGTCGTGAACCATACCCTAGTCCCGGAAGAGTTGTTGATAGGCTTGCAGGGGGACCTCGCCTGGACCGCCGTGGGAGTGGCATCGGTAATGATGACAAGTGGAGTAAAGTACCTGGCCCTCTCGCATCAGGAGGCGATATGCGGATAGATATTGGTTATGGGGGAAATGTAGTGGGGCTTCGACCTGGCCAAGGGGGGAATTATGGTGTTTTAAGGACCCCTCGTGCTCAGACTCCCGTTCAGTATGTCGGGGGAATCCTATCTGGGCCAATGCAGTCCCTCGGTTCCCAGGGAGGTGTGCAACGTAATGGCCCTGATTCTGACAGGTGGCAGCGTGCCACTTCTTTTCAGAAGGGTTTAATACCGTCTCCTCACACTCCGTCACTGGTGATGCACAAAGCTGAGAAGAAGTATGAAGTGGGTAAGGTAACTGATGAGGAGCAGGCCAAACAGAGGCAGTTAAAAGGCATCCTAAACAAGCTAACTCCCCAGAACTTTGAAAAATTATTTGAGCAAGTCAAACAAGTAAAAATTGACAATGCTGTTACTCTCACTGGAGTGATCTCACAGATATTTGATAAAGCTCTAATGGAACCAACGTTTTGTGAAATGTATGCCAACTTCTGTTCTCACCTTGCAGGAGATTTGCCTGATTTGAATGTTGGTAATGAAAAAATCACATTTAAGAGATTACTACTAAACAAGTGCCAGGAAGAATTTGAGAGAGGAGAAAGGGAACAAGAAGAAGCTAACAAAGCTGATGAGGAAGGTGACGTTAAACAGTCTGAACAGGAAAGAGAGGAGAAGAGAATCCAGGCACGGAGAAGAATGTTGGGTAATATTAGACTAATTGGGGAGTTGTACAAGAAGAAGATGTTGACGGAGAGAATTATGCATGAATGCATAAACAAGTTGTTGGGTCAACCTGAGAATCCTGATGAGGAAGATGTGGAAGCATTGTGCAAGTTAATGAGCACAATTGGTGTGATGATTGATCATCCTAAAGCCAAGGAGCGCATGGATGGATATTTTGATATGATGGCGAGGTTATCAAACAACATGAAACTGTCTTCTAGGGTTAGGTTTATGCTGAAGGATGCAATTGATCTGAGGAAGAATAAGTGGCAGCAGAGGAGGAAAGTTGAGGGGCCCAAAAAGATTGAGGAAGTACACAGGGATGCTGCTCAGGAACGGCAGGCTCAAGTTAGTAGGCTTGCTCGTGCACCGAGCATCAGCTCTTCAGTTAGAAGAAATCAAACTATGGACTTTGTACATAGAGGGTCAAATATGTTACCTTCCCCAAGTGCGCAGATGGGTGGTTTTCGTGGGGTGTCTCAACATCTCCGTGGTTATGGCGCTCACGATGTTCGTTTTGATGATAGACTTTCATTCGAGAATAGGACTCTGTCAGTTCCCTTGCCTCAGAGACCCATTGGTGATGATTCGATTACCCTTGGCCCCCAAGGCGGTCTTGCCAGGGGGATGTCTAATAGAGGACTGCCATCAATACCAAGCACTCCCTTAGCTGATACTCCAGGTCCTGGAGATTCCAGACGAATGACAGGTGGGCTGAATGGTTACAATTCTGCTCTAGAGCGGACAGCATATGGCCCAAGGGAGGATCTTACTCAGAGATATATCCCAGAAAGGTTTGCCAGTCGGTCTGCTAATGACACACGAGAGAGAAATATTGATGATGAGAAGGATACAAGCAACACAGATCGTAGCTTTGATAGAGCTCTGCCAACTTCATCACCCAGGCAGAATTGGGGACCAACTCTCATGCAAAATGTTTCTTCAGATAAGGTGTTTTCTGAAAAGAACTTGGAAGATATGTCCATGGCAGCAATTAAAGAATTCTACAGGTATGATGCTGCGTCATGCATGATGCCACACATAACTGGGATTGCTTGCTCCTAGAAATCTTTGTTGAACAAAGCTCTGTAGAGGTTGAATATGGCATTTCTTGTTGTAATTGATAATGGGAAAACCTTATTTCTCATAGCAATTGCACTGGACATATGCTTAGTCTATTTCTTAGATGTTAACACGACAAACTGTAGTAAAGAGGTCTAACTGATGTGTCAGATTAAATATACATTACAATCCTCGTTTTTGTGCATTGTTGCATTCAGTGTCTCAAACTGCAGGTGTAGAAACTACAATAGAAGTACATATAGGAGATGCATTAATTATTTGCTTGGACATTTCTGGTGGTAGTGCTAATTGGCGAATCTTTTGAGGTTCCCAAGTGTGGAGCATTTGTAATTAAGTGCTGTGATATAAAATTATGGTTTAAGTGTGGAAAAGCCACTTGGAATGACTGTTAGTGAACCCTTGCAAAGAGTTGCCCTAATCATATGGCCTGCTTAAAGGCTTTGGGCATAGATGTTAACCCCTGTTTTACAAAAAAAAAGCGTAATAACTCAAATCAGATATTAACTTCATGTTGATATTGTTGAATGATAAAGCAAATGCTGAATGGATTTTGTCTGGCACACTTCTACAAACCTTCATGCTGTATGCAAAATGACTTGTTAGTAAGCTGTTGTGGTGTTGAATTTTGGTAAATTGGTTAAATATTTAACAGAGACGGGGTGGTGGGAAGGAGGCTCCATTCTTCTAGGAGAAGAAAACATAGGGGTATTTAGAAAAAAGAAATAATTTTTATGTGAACCACGTACTATATTACTACTTTGGAATCCAGGTGGTGTGCACAACATTTTTGCAAATAGTGTATTTTTATTTTGGCCGGGTGACGTGCACTTCATCTTGTAGATTACATCAAGACTATAATGTTTCTCTGTCACTTTACCCTGCACTTCATCTGCAGTATATACATGACATTTACTTAGATATGTCATTCTTGGGTGTCATTTTGTGCAATCTGGACAGTAGTTGATGAAAGTGGAATTTCTTGGAATGAGTTGAGAAATACGGCTTCATAATGACATTGTATGTTATACTCTATAGGCTATATAAAGATCTGCCCCGTACAGATTACTGAAAGAATTAGATTATTAAATACGAATAACCCTTGGGCATGAATAATGTTTGAATTGATTTCTGGTACTTATTTAGGCATGGTACTTGGTTTTGACATTGTTTGGTATCTCTATTTTGTGTGTGTGTGTGTGTGTGTGTGTGTGTGTGTGCATGTGTGTGTGTGTGTGTGTTGTGTGGTTTGGGTTAATATGGTGCTTATTTGTTTCGTTCCCTCTCATCACCCCTTCCCCCTCCACTGACCCCAAAAATAAAAAAACAAAAACTGAAGTGTAATACAGTGTAGACAATATTATATATTTAGCGTTAGGGAGGCAATGCCATGAAGCCTGGGCTTAAATGGGGGACAGAGTTTGTTGGAAGAATGAAGATGGATCATGATGGAAAACTGGGAACTGAGAGAGAGAGACAGAGAGCAGTGGGAGCTTCTTTTGTCTTGTTGAAGAAATGCGGTTTTCTTTTGCCTTTTTCTATGATCCCAATCTCCACATGCATACTACTGTAGACAGATGGTTGCGTAGCATGAAAGTAACTTCCAATATAGCATACTTGTACTTAGAATTTTTTTTTTTTTTTTTTTTTTTTGGGGGGAGGGGGGTTTTGTGGAGGTGGGCCGGTTGGGGGGTGGGGAGGGTTTTTCCACGGCAGTGGGCGAGGGAGGGTTATTTGGCCAGATCAATGGGTGTGGTTATGATGGTGTGAAGATCATTTTGTCATCACCATTAAAGGTGGTTATTGTTCTTATTGGTCCAAAATCACTAGCTATGTAGCTATTGTAGTTTACAGTTTTTTGGGGGGTGCGGGTGAGAGTTTAGATGCGGAATGGGTGTATCATAGGGTTCCTAATCGTTTAAAGTCTAAATCAGGGTTAGATTTTTTTTTTTAATTAGGTCTAAGTGGTGAAGAGCACAAATATTTTCTAGCCCTTGACTATCTTACATAAAATCACGACCCTATGGTTGGCAAGAAAAAAGTGAACGAAAAATCCATATATGGAGCAAAGATATTTCATTTCTGTTTGTTTAGCCAGATCCATAATTTTGTTTTGTTTTGTGTTTTGTTTTAAGTTGTATGTAGAGATACAAACTCTTGGGATGGATGGAACACACCCTTGTTAGTTAGGCAATTATTTCTATTTTTTGCATATCAATTGATTTTTTCTTCAAAATTTCCAGTGCAAGAGACGAGAATGAAGTTGCTCTATGCATCAAGGATATGAATGCTCCCAGCTTTTATCCGTCAATGATATCTATTTGGGTCACTGATTCTTTTGAGATGAAGGACAGAGAAAGGGATCTGTTGGCTAAGCTTCTCATTAATCTTGCAAAATCTAAAGATGTAATGATAAGTCAAGATCAGTTGCTCAAAGGGTAGGTGAATGACTAGACTGGTTCTGATGAATAGATCTGATTAAAGTTGTCTGAACTGAAGTTGCATCTCTGTTTGACTAACTGCTGTTGCATTTTATTTGGCCAGGTTTGCATCTGTTTTGACTACATTAGAGGATGTCGTAAATGATGCACCGAGAGCAGCTGAGTTTCTGGGTTGTATCTTGGCCAAATTGATTTTGGAGAACGTGATTCGATATCCAGATATTGGGCAGTTGATATATGAAGGTGGGGAGGAGAAAGGTCGTCTTGTGGAAATAGGGCTTGCAGCTGAGGTTCTTGGAAGAATGTTGGAGATAATTAAATCAGAGAAAGGAGATTCTGCTTTGAATGAGATCCTTACAAGCTCCAGTCTGTCAGTTGAGAACTTCCGGCCTCCAGAGTCTAACAAAACATGGAGGCTAGATGAGTTTCTTTTTAGTCTTGTCAAATAACCAAAAAAAAAAAGAAAAGGGTGGGGGGGAGGAGGGGGGGGGGGGGGGGAGTTTATACAGAGAATGGTGGTGCTCATTGAATCTGGTCATAAGAAATTCATGTGTAGAACTATTCATTAGGTTACCTTTCCAAGTGCCAGAAATATATTCCTTTATGGGTGGGTGGGGCTTTATATATGGGGTATAACTTCATGTTTAATATTATTATTATTATTATTATTATTCCTTGTAAAACTTTAACTGCATTTGCAAAATGGTTCAATTGAGCATCCAAAATTTTGCTCCTGATGACATGGCATACCTTGGTTTTATGATTCTAGCATGATTTTTGTATCTGTTATTGGCTTTCATTACTGTTCCATGGAGGATGATTTTGGTAGGGTAAGTTAGGCCGCCTTTGGTGTAGTCGTAAGATTGTCGCATGCCATTAAGGTAAGTAAGGTTGCGTGCAGTTGATCCTTCCAATGTCTGGTGGTTGATGGGAGATTCATTCAGTGGGTTTGCTCTAAGCTAGGTACTATAGGCCTAGACTGAAATAAAAAGAAATGCTACCAGTCGTTTTTATTTTATAATACTAATTGGTTTTGGTCTTGTTCATAGATTCCTTTATCTTACTTTTATCTAAGGGTGTAATTTGGGCAGACCAACTAGAATTTAACTTGGGAAAAATAAGACTTGAATTGAAATTTTTAATGTTTGGGTTGAGTTTGGGCAAAAAAATATCAACCTGAATTGAATTCGAGCAGTCCTCGAGTTGAGGTATTAGGTTATTGACTTATTGGGTCCAATTTGATTATGTTGAGGTATTAGGTTATCGACTTATTGGGTCCAATTTGATTATGTAAATTGGGTTCAACTTGAATTTCAAAACAGACTCAACATGAATATTTAGTCGGGTTTAACCTGAATATTAAATCGGGTTCGATTCAGGCTCAACCCCAATGCATTTAAAAATAGGAAAAAATAAAAATCGGTGTAAAAATTTAGAGCTAAAATACAATATGAAAACTTATTTGGACTCAAGTGTATTTTTTTAGATAATGACCGCACCGCCATTAAGTTGAAGGGAAAATAGTGCAAAACCGATTTTGGTCCCAAACGTCATCTTCGACTCCATTAAGGAAAAAGACAGAAAGTCAGGACGCATAGATCACGTCCCTTGGTCTTTGGCAAATTTAAAAATAAAAAATATTGGAAAGCTTTGGAAGAAAAGAATCCCCGGGAAGTCATTTATAGATTACAATTTCAATAAGATTACTTTTTACATTTCAAGTTTACAAATTTAAAAAAAAAAAAAATTTGGTGAAACTATTTGGTATATGCCATTGTTGTAATTTTTTGTTGTCACTGGATGGTGCGACTGTCAGGTGTAATACTTTAGTTTATCTGTTTGGTGTCTCTATATGATGTACTTCATTGGTGTAATTTCTTGGTTCACCCAATTTGGTGTATATAATTGATGTAACCAAGTGGTGATACTGAATAGTGTAATTCTTTGGTCTAACTATACAATTGAATGATGCAATGGATTGGTTAGTATAATTATTTTCAGAACACATGAATAACTATTTAGCGTATTATAGGACAGTTATAACTAATTGATGTCTCATTATTTGTGCAACTGCTTGGTTAAACTGTCTTTAAAACATATGAATAAATTATTGGTATATCATAGAGCAACGTAACTAATTGGTGTAGTATAATTTCAGTAACTGTTTAGTGTAACTTTTTTCATAGGACATGAATAACTATTTAGTATATCATAAAACAATTCTAACTGATTGGTGTCTCATAATTAGTGTAACTGGTTGGTGTCGTATATAATCAGTGACTGTTTAATGTAATTATTTTCAGACCACATAAATAATTATTTGGTGTATCATATGATGAGTGTAAATGGTTGGTGCAATTGATTAGTATACTTATTTATTGTCGTTTTGATATGAAATTATGATAAAATAACTAATTGGTGTAATTCTTTACCTTATCAACTTTTGGCATTAGTAGGGCATTATGCAAGGCTTACCGGGGCACAATAAAGTTTATCATTACAACTATGAAAAAAGATACACCATAGGTGTTGTTTTCCTAAATTATAAGCTCCATGGTAGTATGTCCACAAAGAATGACTAAAAAATAATACAATAATGATAAAAAAAATAACATGATATTAATAAAAAAATAGTTAATATAATTTTATTAATTTAAAAAAGTAATACAATCACATAGGCTCTTTACAAGTGTTCTTATTGTGGCTCCCTAACCGTCCATAATGTCCGCTTCGAATTTGCCAAAAAAGTTCCCTCCTTGACCTTATTCTACATTTTTTGGGTTGGTCTTTTTAATTGATGGTGGTTCATCCACCGGGTAACAAATGTCACACCATCATATTTGCATATTTCCTCCACTCCTGAGTATGAGAATAAAAAAAATAAATGACATTCCATCTATAACATAAATAGTTACACCAAAGAGAATCAAACAATAATATTATTTAGATATTTTATAAACGTAAAATACTGCTCTATTTTTTTGCAAAACATAAAATATACAGTTTCATCATACTATGGTGTACAATTGAAACCAAAAAAAAAAAATTGCCAGAAAACATATTTCTAAAAAAAAAGGGTTTCACCTATAATAATCCTAAAAAAATTGTTTCACCTCACCCATGATAAACCTAAAAAATTAGTTTCTTCCATGATAATCCTCCAAAAAAACAGTTACACGTCAAAAATAACTATCAAAAAACCATAAGAGCTACTATGGTTTTTTTTGCAAAACATAAAACATAGTTTCATCCTACTATGGTGTTCAATTGAAACCAAAGAAAAAAATGACAGGAAACATGTTTCTTAAAAAAATAGTTTCACCCATCCTAAAAAAAACATTTTCACCCATGATAATCCTAAAAAAACACAGTAGCATGTCAAAAAAAATATAAAAAAACATAGGAGTTACATCAATAAAATACATAAAGTTAAAATCCAAAAAAATAGATTAACTTTAAATCGAAATTGATTGGTTGGAAAAAAATGGCCGCTAAAAAAACAAAATTATTAAAAACTTACATGCACTTTTCGGTGATGATGATAAAAAATTCGAAAGCAAACAAAAATAAACAAAGAAGATCAAATGATTTTTGTCACAAACTGAAGAAGAAGAAGGCTAATGTTGAATGCTGGGCGTTGAAGGTCGGACGTTGATGGCTGGGCATCAAAGGCCGGACATTGAAGATTGCTCGTTGAATAGCGCAGTTGAAGGCAGACTGAATACAAAAAATATAGTTCAAAAATTCAAAAGAATGATAATATCCAATAAAATTTTCACATATTTGATTAGATACATAATTTCAATCAATCATACATAATTTGAGGGAGGGTAATTAGGTAAAATAATTCTGGTTTCATTTGAATTTTGTATCTAAACACAAAATGTTTTATTAAAATTGCACTTAATAGTGTAAACAATTTATTCATACACTTTTTCTCAAATAAGTCTAAAAAATTGAACTCACACCCAGAAAAACCCTTAAAAATAAATATATAAATCAATATAGCAATAAAACTTGTCAGTTCAGTCTTATGTTAAACATTTATCTATTATGTCATTGATTTTTATGCTTTTAAATATTATAGTTTTTATGTTAAATATTTGACTGAAGTTGTTGGTTATTACTTTATGTGAATATTATATAGTATGTACTAGGCTTAAAACAATAGACTGATTTCGGACTTGGACAAACCTAATCCGAAATCAGCTAGAACTACGTAACCCGAACCTAACTCAACCCAAATTCCAACTCAAAATTAGCTCGAATTACGTAACCTGAATTCAACCTGAGTTCGTCCGAATTAAACTTGGGTAATACTCGAATTAAGTATCTTGAGTTGAGTTCAGGTTAAAGTTAGAGTTAGGGTTAAAAATTATATACTTAAAATTTGGCTAGAGTTAACCTCTCAATCCGCTTGAATTATACACCTACTAATTCTACCCCTAAAAGTTTTGAGGCGTCAGATTTTTGCCCAGAACCGTTCCAGACCATTTTTGATCTGTGCTTGCGAGCCAGAAAATTGGTCCAACCCGTAAACATTCCCGATCATGATTTTCCTACCCCTAAAGGTCCTTCCTTTTTGTAAAGGTTGTGGGCGGGGAGGATTCAATCCCCTGACACCATAGTTTGTAGTCCCATGCTCTAAACCTCTAAACTATAGGCTTCACTCTGTGGTCCATGTTTCCATTGAATGTATTCTTGGGAGTACCCTCAAAAAACGTAACTTGGAAGAATGTAAAAGAACTCACAATATAGATATTTCACAATAAAGACACAAATTCTTCTTTCTTCTTCCTCAATTAAATATAATATTATAGATAATAAGGTATTATCTTGTACAATTGTATTTATATATCCATACAATATTGCAATTAGAAATTTAAATTCTCAACTTATAAAAACATAGTAATAATCAAGATTAAAGATTGATCTAATTTTTATTTATTAATGGTAAAAAATTCATACAAAATTTTTTCTGCACACCTTTCGGTGTCAGACAATTTAATCAACACAATTTTCAATGCTAATCAACCCCATTAATGGATATCTCTCACTCCTAGCTCTTATTTTCTTACTATTTACTTTAATTTAAAATTGAGCAATTAAATAAAATAAAAAATTAATAAATTTGTATTTAAAATATAATTATTATATGATCAAAATTTTATTTTTAATATTAAAGAATGTCTTCAGGCACAGAGTTATTCCTAGTGTGTGTGTGTGTGTATAAATATATATTGTTTCATCTCTAGGGGCTGTTTGATAAGGAGATATGGGGACTTGGTAAGATGGGTTTGAGAAAAATAATCTAAAACTCCTCCAAATCTCATGTTTATATAAAAAATTCAGTTTCGAATTTTCAAACTCGGCCCCTAGTTGGTCAGAAGAATAAACTCATGATCATTAGTTTCATCAACCCTAGGGGAGGGGTGGGTTTAGAAAGATGGGAAAAAGGTTAAAGATCCAAAAGACAATTGTACCCCTGAATATGAATTGAATTGATCAAGGATAAAATAGTTATTTATACAACAAATATTTGTTAATAATTATGATATATCTGTAGGTTCTACATGTATATGTGTTGCATACCAAACATGAGTATTGACCAAATTGACTGTTGAATCCCTGACTAATGAACTTTTGGTTCAATGGTACTCCTTACCTTATGAAGGTTTTGCTTTCTTGAAGTCAAAAGTTCAACTTCCCCTTTCTCTTCTCCAAAAAAAAGGTTGAATCCCATCTTTATAAAAAGATGTTTGATTTTGAAAAGATTTGGAAAAATCAATCTAAATCCCTTCCCAAAGTTCATCCAAACAAACCCCAAGGGTCCGTTTGATTAAGAAGAAAAAAATGATGGAAAGTGAATAGAAAATAAAATGAAATAAAAGAAAATGATAAAAAAAATATATTTTTATACATGTATTTGGTTAGAAGGAAAAATTTTCCAAAAAATTTTAAAAAAAATTCATTCTACTGTTTGAAAGAAAGAAAAGTTATAAGAATTTTTTTATAATTGTCTAAATTATCCTTAGTTATATTAAATTAGTCTAAAAAAAGAAAAAATATGTAATTATAATTAAAAGTTAAAAAATTTTAAAAAAATAGCTCGAAACTTAATTTTAAGACACTCATCAATACAAAGGTCTTTGGATCAAATTATATGATTAATCAAATTTATACCAAATTTTTTTAGAATTAATAATCAATAAAATATTTTAAGAAAATAAGAGTAAAATAAGAAGTTAGTTATAAATCACAACTTTATTGCATTTTCTTGTATTTTTTACAAGAAAAAAATTTGGTTATTTATGAGAAAATTTAAAAAAAAAAATTATTTTTGCCATCATTTTCCTTTTCATACTAACTAAACACATAAAAAATTTATCTTCCTTCCATTTCTTATCATTCTCGCCGTTAAACAAACTAACTCCAACGTTATACATAATCAAAAGTCTGTCCCAATAGGACGGGCCCCGGTCCAAGTGACCAAATCATGGGCTTTAGGGCAACGCTAACGAGACGATATAAAGCAAGTGATGGTTCATTTTCTTACCCCTCTCGTTCTGTTCTTGAGTAGGGTTTTTGCTTCTTCTTCAACGCCCTCCTTTTCTCAGTCGAACCGGGCTTCTTCGAAAATGGTACTGTATTGTTCTGTTTAGATTCTTTCTCTTTTTAATTTATGTATCCATGTGCATACTTTTCTGTGATTGGTAATTTAGTCGTAGTTTTACGTCAACTATGGTTTTTTTTTTTGTAGTAGTAGATCCATAGTTACTTTTTGGTGTTTGTTATTGATATTGATTCTAGTATCTATGAATATTTTGTTAATGTATGCTGCGTTACAGATCAATGTGAATCTGTCTCATAGCCTTTGAAAAATTTGTTAGAATGCTACACAAGGACTTAGGACTTTAACTGTGTTTTTTGCTTGCAGTGTTTAGGTATTAAATTTGTCAAAAAAAGTGTATGTGGACATGGGATGGATTGGCATTTGATTACAAAGCTAACATTGAGCGATTGTTGAATATAGTTATTTAGGTTTGCTTGTTTACATGATTAAATGACTGAGCATTTTTTGGTACTGTCACGGTCTCTGATTTGGAAAATTGCCGTTGAAATTGGCTTACATACACCAATTGTGCCTGCATGCACTATAGCGGATGGAAAACTCACTGTTGCAATTGAGTAGGTCAAGATTAATTATTTTCTAGTGGATGAACGCTGTAAGACAGATGTCTTGTAGAAATAGAAATTACTCCATCCCTTATTAATTGTGTTTTTCCGTGATCCAGAAAGTTATGCTTACTGCTATAGCAGTATCTTATTAGCTCTATTCCAATTTTTTTCCTAGGTTATGGCGTAGAAGTGGGCTATATTTGCATTTGCAGTGTGTTTAGGAAGTAGGATATAGATTTGTGTATTAGTTTTTTTTTTGCTCGGAAGAATAGTAGTGTGGGTTGGCCACTAAGAACATAAAGTAGTGGATGGAGAAAGACAAGCTGTTGTATCTAACAAGCCATGCTGCTGGAGCAGTTTCTGGTTAACTTTTTGCCCTAGCTCGATATAGATTTAACACGTGAATAAATTTAGTGAGACAAAAAATTATAAACAAAAAGAAAACTGCAGAATTCCCCCCCCCCCCCCCCCCCCCGGGGCGGGTGACACTTAAAATTGGTGAGAGTGGCTGGAAGCTCTTATCACTTTTGTGTTTTCTGCGAAAATACCCTCTGATTTTCAGTATGGATGCCATTCTTTTGTGATAACCATTGAAGATATAAAATAATTATTTTTTACTTATTTTCATCCTCTAGTTTGAAAGAGGTGAAGCTTGTATGTTTTATGTAGTTATTATTATCTGTGTTTGGTATAGATCTCATACATACTATATTGTCTATTTGTATCCCCCCCAAACAAAACCCACCCATCTTTTTTTTCTTCCTTTTTATCAAGACTTGCAGCAATGGTTTAATTATGAATCTGTTGCTGTATGCAGACCAAAAGAACCAAGAAGGCGGGTATTGTTGGAAAATATGGTATGATCCTAGATTGGTTTTTTGTTTATTTTTATTTTATGAACAATGTCCTATAGATAAATAATGAGGGTTGTCGGATGAATATTTTCTAGAAAAGCCAAGGTGATGGCCTCTCAATAACCACATTAATACAATTATATTGCCCCCGAATGATGCCAGAATGTGATGGCTATTCTATTTTCTTGCCTCGTTTTCATGTTTGACAAGCGTAGTTTTATGGCTACTAGGTCTGCTTTGCTGTTCAAATTTATGCTTGAAACACTTGGAACGAAATTTTAGCTGCAGAGAGTAAAGTCCATGGAGAGGTAGTCGAATGCATGTGCTATTAGGATTTTGTCATGATGTTGTTTTTAGGGCACTAATGTATTTAAGATTATGACAGGCAGTCAATATCTAACTGTTGATTTTTGTAGTTGGTTTGCAGCATGCAATGCAATCTCCATTTTCATGTGGAGGCAAACTTGTTTAAGTGCAATATCCCTAGAAGCATGATGCAATAGATGAAATGTCTGCCACATGATTACATGCTTATTTATATTGTACACACATGTATTTGCTGATGCACTTGTGGTTCTGGTGACAATTTAGGCACCCGTTATGGGGCTAGTCTGCGGAAGCAGATTAAGAAGATGGAGGTCAGTCAGCACAGCAAATACTTTTGCGAATTCTGTGGGAAGGTGCAGTTCCTTTTAGTTTTTGTTTAAATGTGGATATTTATTTCCCTAGGGCATGTTTTTTGTTAACGTGCATAGCATCCTTTCTAAGTAAAGGGGAGCTCGTGCAGTATGCAGTGAAGAGAAAGGCTGTCGGAATTTGGGGATGCAAGGACTGTGGCAAAGTGAAAGCAGGCGGTGCTTACACGTTAAAGTAATGAACTTCTAATATACTAGTGCATGCTTCTTTTTTTGTGTGTCCTCGAGTGGATGTTCAGTGCTCTGAATTTGTTTTCTGATTTTTGCAGCACTGCAAGTGCTGTGACTGTTAGGAGCACCATTCGAAGGCTCAGGGAGCAAACTGAGAGTTAAATAAATCTGCATTTATTTGTGGATGGATGTAAACTTTAGCACTAGACAAGTTGGCTTTCTAATTCACTTCTGGTTTTGGTTGGGTACTTGCTTTTTCAGAATTTTTGAAACTGATGAATCAAATTTATGATTCGGAAGATTTTTGTTTTATCTATATTAGTCTTTTCTTTTAATCTTGCTTGGATCCTAAAAGTGGATGATTGCACTTGTACGACATGCTAAAGTGAATTTTAAATGGCTCAAGGTCGTTCGTTGAAGCTTGCAGCTTCCACATACTTCTCTTCGCAGGGATTCTATATTTACACGATGCTGCTTTACTTTTCTATTTTGTAACCTCCTCTCCAAACTGTCTTGGTAACCCGTGTTCTTGCGGAGAGAATATTCAATGTAATGGTATTACTACGTTATTAATTACATGTGGTATATCACTAACAGGTAATAAAAAACAAATGGAATTAGTAAACCCCATTTATTCCAACATGATATTTAATGTTGTGGTTACTAAATAGTGGAACTCAGCAGAGAATTGGTAATGCTATGGACCAATGATGATGTGGATAACTAATTAACCATTTGCTTCGCATATTTACCCGTTATAGAGGGTGGCTGTGACTGAGTTCAACTCCAAGGTACCTATGCAATTTGTTTTACCGAGGGGTACCTGTGGCCTAGTATTGCTGACAGAGTATTCTGAAGTATTACCCCGTTTTAAAGTTCATATTGAGTCATTGGAGGTGCCTTTTTGATTGTTTTTCCGTTTTCAACCGTCAAACGTGTTCAAGTCGGTTTACACAATCCTCAATTAATTTCATCTCCTATCCGGTTAAAAATAGACTATCCATGTCAAGACTATAGTATTTATAAAGAATAAATTTCTTATGATTTTATTCTAAGGGATTGTCAAGATTCAACATTTTTCAATGACGTGGAGAACAGTTTAATTTCAACAAGTCCTGCGAACATTAAATCCTGAACACAGATTTGCTGAGAGACATACATTCACTATTTCATTACAAAAAGTCACATGAAGGGCTTTGGCTATGTTAACATTAAAATTAAATCCTTATAGAAGATCAAAATAAAACTTAACTTACCGAACTCTAGAAAAAAAAAAAAAGAGAGAGAGAGAGCAGGGATATCATGATCCAAAAGAGGTTTATGTCATAGGACCCTTGATTAGGAAATATAAACAAGAGCATTTCATTTTCTCACAAACAAGGCCAGCTGGGTTCTGGTTTTTACCTGGGCACCAGCACTTAATCTTACAAGCAACTAAACTCTCTCCCTCCCTCCTCTCACACACTCTCATTAGGTTGGAAACAAAAGAAAACCAAGCTGCTGGATGATTCAGCCATCTGCAACCTACCAGAAAACAGGTCCCGCAGATGTTCTTCGCTATTCATTCTGTAATGGGAAGGAAGGAAAATGGAAGGGAGTATAGAAAATTAAAGGAGATGAAGAAAATTACACAGAAATTTTGCACAAACACCGCCCTCTTCCAGTTGTCTTGTACAAAGAAAGCCTGAGTTACTCACCTCGTAGCCCAATTTTCCTCTGTGAAGTGTATACAGACCGGGTTGCTGCCAGAAGGACCAAACCTGACTACTGACATAGTAGTCATCGAAACTCTTACAGAGGCGGAACTGGAATTTCATCACTGTTATCTGTGATGCATTTATTTTTGTACACCCTTTACCGCTGCTACTCTAGCTGCATTGGCTGCCCTGTTAGCTGCAGCAACTGCCCTGTTTACTCTTTCATCCACCTTAGCCACATCATAGGATTTCTCTGCTGCTCGTCGTGCTTCCTGATGGCAAAAGACATCCAGTCAGAAACCCAATATTTACACTAGCTTTTCAGTTTATTATCAGCTACTCGCTGTGAAAAAGGAACTGTGCAAGATAAGCAAAGAATGGTATACTCTACCATGCAAGAGTGTACATGCATCACCACTTGCCACATTTATCATGCCATGCCACCGTCCAAAAACCAGTAATCCATCACCAATGATGGGTTTATATCAGTACATGGGAACTGAGAAACATTCGTACCCATCCCTGCAATCAGCTTAGATTGCAGATTCTAGTTTCTAGTTTGAACAAGAACTCCACTAATTCCTATGGACGACAAGAAAGCTAACAGGGAGAATTTGGAAAATAAAGTTTGTCTCTACAGCTAGAATTAGTTTATATCCTTGTAAATTCAAATGAACTTCACAACACAGCAACAGCTTGATGAACCAAAATCACAGAAAAATGGCAGTGCATCTACATTTTATGTATTGATAGTGTGAAAAAAATATTCTATGAACATGAAGGCAAATATTTTGGTTACCTGAACTGCATTCAGCACTTTGGAATGATAAACAGCGACAGGAGATACAGGATAGAGGTTGTTCTGGGTGCTTGGAACATCGAGAATCCCATTTTTCCAGTGCCCAGATTGAGTCTCTCCATTTCTGAAAGTGTACATGCCAAGCCCCTGCCTTCTACCTTCATGCCAGGCTCCTTCATACTGTTGCCCATTCGCAAAACGATACACTCCAAACCCATGCATCTTGTCCGCAAAATACTCTCCAGCATATGTATCCCCATTCCTGAAAATAAGGTAGAGCCCTTTTTGAAAAAAAAAATCCAATTTTACAGCTGGTATCATTTAGTAGTAAGTATCACAAGAAGAGAACACAGAAACACAAATTTAAGATTGCTCATACTTTGCTGACCAGACCAAGTGAACGCATGTTTAAATTCTGGTTATAACAAACTACCAGGTAAAGACTAATATCTTAATGATTTGTTGAGGTACACGGTTGTCAATTTACTTAAAGTGAGATATAATTCAGCAGCATTCACAGTTACTAAGAATTGAAGTAGCTACGACAGTCAATCATACAGTCTAATACTATTTTCATCATTCATGGCAGACACCAACCATTGAAGTTGAAGCCATCGTGGAGAAGCACAACTTTAGCCAATACGAAAACCATAAAGTGGATTCTAGTATTTGCATGAAATGAGATGAAGATTGTCAATATAATATCCCAATAAAAAAATATGCTCCTTTGAGCTTCACACAGAACTAGAGTCTGAATAACAAATGATGTGAATTTTAATTGCAACCTTTCTTTGTTTAAAAAAATTGAAACTTCTTTCGTTCCTTTTGTTTAAAGAAATTGGACCGCAAGGGTAGTGGAAATAACTATACATTTCAATTAGGAAGAAGACACCTAAAAAATAATCACTTAATACTAAACAAATAGGTTGAACAATCAAGAAAAAAGGTGCAAAGAATCGGAAGCAGCATTCAATCAAATCCATGATCCATAAGGCAACCGTGCTCTAGAATGTGATGCTAAGGTGGAAACACGCTTTTTTTTTACCTATAGGGAGGGTGAAAGCCTGCTTGTCATACACATTCATTTCATTTTCCCCTGATTAAGTACAATAACACCGGAGGGAGAAGTCACTACCCAAGGACAAGTATAGAACTGAGAATTGCAAGCTTTAGCTTACAAAGTAATGTTCCTCTCCCTGGAAATTGCATATGTGACTTAGCTTCTAGACACAAGAGCAAGCTCTCCACATCAATTTCATCCTCCTATTAAGTCTAGTACTAGGCCTAGACTCAAGACCTCAATCGCTAAGCCAACAATCAACCACTAAGCTCCAAACAAGGATACAAAAATGAGTAATATATCATAAATGTCGTCAACAGCACCTCAGTCATTACCCTAGGGGATGCATTTACTTGTTTACTTTGGTACAAACTAAAAAAACCAAAGCACGTATGTACCTTATACATCATCAAAAGTATAAATAAAATTTAGTGAGAAGGGTATCATCTTGTGCATCACAATTACATAATTCACTTCAAAAATACATAGTAGCAACACAGAAATCTACACAAACACATTGTAACATATATTGTTTTTGTAGAACATACAATGTATGATGTATCACATGGTGTAAGAACTGCTGAGTGCCAAGTGTATAAAAGTTGAAAGTTTGTCACTGTATGGCACAGACTTCATTAAGTAAGAAACTTACAAACGTAATTCACAATAAAAGCATTTAGGATTGGTGATTTTGAATCAACAGTTATCTGACAACCCAAAAAGTTATTTAACACCAAACCAAAACCAACACAAAAGCCATAACAAATTAACTGTTACAAAGGGAGACAAAACTCAATGAAGCCATTCCTCAATGAAGGCATTTGACTTACCTGAAATGGTAATGGCCAAGCCCATGCTTGACTCCCCACTTGAATTCTCCCACATACCGGCTACCATCCTCACAAGTATGAACACCACACCCATGACTCTGTCCATTGGACCATTCACCAGCATAAACATCCCCAGTATAAAACCTATACACCCCAAACCCATGTCTAAGACCTTGCCTATATTGCCCGCGATACCGGCTTCCTCTCGCCCATGTCTCCACCCCATACCCATCATACTTTCCATCAACCCAATCACCTTCATACCTCCCACTCATGTAATAGTAATAAACTCCACTACCCGAACACTTCCCCTTATGAAACTCACCCTCATAGACATCCCCATTACTGTATGCCTGTACCCAACACCCTGAATTCACCCTTTTCTCTAATTTTGGCCTTGACCCAATCGGCCAAAACACCGGCAATGGCGGTCTAGACAATTGGGTTGACGCAGAGAGCTTAATTGGGAAAGAACGAGCAAGAAATAGCCGAATTGAAGGAAGGCGAGGAAGAGCAAGATTGAGAGAGAATAGCAGTGCCGCAGAAAAGGCGAAAGCGGAGAGGAAATCAAGGACAAAAGAGTGGCTTGGATGCGAAACCAGGAAGTAGAAGAATGGGAGAGATAACAAGAGAATGAGGCGAAGGTGGATACGGAGGCGACGAAGGTGGCGGACGCGGCCAAGGAGGTGATAGGCTGCCGCTTTGGTCGATGTGGTGCTCAGAAACCAAGAAGAATAGTGGGTTTTGAACGGAGTTTTCGAGGGTGGGCCAGAAGATTTCAACGGTTTTGTTGAGGAAAATGGGTACTGGTGAAGAGAATTGGACAAAGTGGGCGATTTAGAGAGAGAATTGGAAGATGGATTTGTTGTGGTTTGTGCCAAAAGGGGTCTCTTGTGAGGAGTAGCTTTAGGGGTTGGTGATGGGGTAGGGGCAACTGGGTCGTTTTCATTTATGAGAATTTGAAGGTTCGTGCCAGATGATGATGAAGCAAACGCCGAAGAAAGAAGGGGTTGGGGAATTGGGTAATAATCATGTGATTGTTGAAGATGTTTCTGGTGAATTGAAGGAGTGGGGAAGAGAAGTGGGGGCGTAGGGTTGAAATCGGAAGAGATGCCACTGCTTTCTTTTCCGATTTGAACTTCAGATTTCTTCTGATGCATTACATACAGAACACACACACAACTCTCTCTCTCTCTCTCTCTCTCTCTGCGTATCTACTTCCTCTCTTCTTTGTTGGTCCTTCTACTTGTAAGAATTCTTGAAATTGCCGTGGACTTCCAATCTGAATTTTCCCTTTCTTTCCCTGGTTTATTTGGAAGCTTCTCTCTCTCTCTCTCTCTCTCTCCACAAGTTGATGGGTCTTCCGCCTCTCTCTCTCTCTGAGTGTACGTGTGTGTGTGCGTGAATACTGTTGTATAGGAACGAAGAAGAGAGCGGAGACTGCGTGGAGTTGATGGTGTCTGCGGAGAGATCAATTTTGAAACCCGAGGCGACCGGCAGCAAGCAAGCCACAACAATACGGGTACAAAAAACGTTTGCCCTTATTTTTTCTATTTATTACTGAAAATGCCACTCTCATACGGATTCGCTTTTCCTTCACTTTTTTTTTTATTATTATTATTAGTAATGCAAGACGTGTCTCGTGAAAAATTTAAATAATATTATTTTTGTTAAATTTATGAAATTATAAAATTTATATATAATTAAATTAAATGATAAATTTAGTGTCAAAATAATCTATATTTTATTTCTTATCAAAAATAGTTATTAATTTTTTAAATATAACATATATTTAATTTTAAAATCGAATTTGATAACTATATGTATATAACAATATAATATAAATTCATTTTTATTTTTTCATAGATAGACATAGATAAGAAAATTTTTTTGGATATATACCACTTATAAAAGAGTTTAAAGAACTTGAAAGTCAAATTATGTATGAAAACAAAAATTATATAAAGGTACAAGGATATAATTGATTTTATAAAAATTAGGCTAGTTAATTTTTTTTGTTAAACTTATAAAAAATATAGATTATATGTGTAATTTAATTAAATAAACAAATTGCGTGTGAGAGAGAATTAATTCTTATTTTAATTTTTACTAAACCTAAATATTAATTTATACATATATTATAAAGTAATTTGAGTTATTAGAGTTACTATTGTAATTAAAGACTTGAAGTTATAAGACTAATTAGAGAGAGAAGTCAGAGACCAAATGCTAGAGGATAAGAAGAGCTTTGATAGAACATGGAAGCAAAAATGATAACATTAATAAAGATAAGTGGGGTATAATTGACTTAACATTATTAAATAGGGACGAAATAGAAAATTAAATTTTTTTTACATATGCTAATATTTATAAGTAGTATAGATATAGATGTAGATTATTTTAATTTGAGTAAATCACAGTTTGACTCTAATCTTATTTTGTCCCTTCAACAACTTATTTTTTTGTATTGTCTTTTCAATTATATGAAATAAAATTTTACTTTTATGTGATGCAATCTCATATGTAATATCTTATTCGTATCCAAAAATACTTCATTAATATATGTTTCGTTTATTAATTTGTGTTCAATGAATTGTGCATAATCTATTATATAAAATAGAGCAGATTCCAATAAAATCATTCAATGGTCTTAAATAGACTAATTCAACGATCACCAACATTTATATCAAAATCATTCATATTGCACTATGGTTTCAAGCGCGAGTTATCCCTATTTAATATATAAACAAGTCGTATCGTGTATTATTTATGAATGACTTCACTCATACCCGATTCGTTTATTAATCGTATTGTGTCGAATCTACTCCTTTACTACATGAGTGGCTTAAAGAAAACTTAAATTCTTTAATTTTGTATAATATCATATTTTGACATTCTTAGTAACGTAGTCAATATATCACTATACAATATTTAGGCCCCCTCAAAAAATATATTTAAAAAAAAAAAAGGGGTCAAAACAACAAGGGTGGTAGTATGAGATGATGAACAATGAACATGTAGTTTTGATGAATAAGAAGGTAAAAGTAAATCCTCCCCTTTCTCATTGAAGTTCTTAAAAAATAAAATGAATGCAATTCAATCTAACTTAATAGGATTAAGACTTAAGGGCTAGGAAATGGCCATTACAAAAAAGAAAAATTAAATAACAAAAGGAAAGATTTTTTGAATGGCTTCCTTGTAATTTTTGAGGTTATTTAGGGGTAATTTTAAGAATTTGACCTAAGCTCTTGGATTGTGCTCTAGTTTTCTATAGATGTTTGGTGGGGCATATGCTTTGGAATATTGTTAAATTAATTCATTTTTTAATTTAAAAGTGGGTCCCAATGGTATTCGGTGACCCACAGTTAATTTAATAACACTCAAATTTGATTTGATAGATTTATGTGTCATTTAGTACCTTTTTTTAAAAAAAAGTATAAAAATAAATTTAAATATTATTTTGCATTTTAGTAGATGAATTATAATTTTTATATGGGTGTATTACATATTATTATGTATATGATTATGATTATGATTAGAATAAAAGAGTAAGTCCCAACAAGAAAAAAAAAAAGGTGAAAATAAACACTAGTTAAAAAAAGTCCTTAAAATAAGTTTCTTGGAGGAGAGAGAGAGAGGGGGGCCTTGCAATTTTTCAATACCTCCCCTTTTCTTAACCCCCAAGGGCTGCAACTTTGCTGACTATTGTTGAACTATTCTAAGTTTGAATATTTACAAACCCTGTAGAACCCATTTTGTCATGACAATTCATAATTTTGAAAGAGTCCCCTGTTTGAAATAACCCTTAGAATATAGGACGTGTCTTTTAAGTAGGGCTCCTAATCGAACCGATCTTATAGAACTCATGTTATTAAATAAATTTAAAAGATTATTCAAGTTCAATTCGTTTAAAAAATAAACCGAGTTCAAACAAGTCGAACCGGAGTAACTTGATTATTTTACACATAAATGTGTCACACGTTTTAAGCTCATTTTCTGTACGAGTCTAAAAAATTATTCAAATTCAACTCATTTTAAATACAAGGTGAGCTCGAAACAAGTCTTATTCAAACCGAACCTTAGTATAGTACACTAATACATAATCAACTGTACTACAACGGCTTTAATAATCATTTTGTACCTTTTATTTTGCTAAAAACATATTTAAAATTTGTATTTTTGTATAAAATGATAATCTTTTAGCATATTATACAATAATCTTTTAGCATAGTGATAATAATCTAGGGCTTTTCCCATTTTGTACATCGAAAGATTTCAAGATTTTTGTTTTGTACCCTCAAAAATTAAATTTTTTACATTACACCCTCAATGTATCAAATGTATTGTAATGTAACCCTTTTGTTGGCTTGTGTTATTTTTTTGTCAAAAGTCAACTCATTGAAACTGACGAAAAAATTAACAAAAAGTTAATAGAAGAATCGCATTGCAACGTTTTTGATACATTGATAACTCGTTTGGTTGTCGTATAGTAAAAAAAAAAAATTGTATTAATTAATATGGGTTAATTCTGTGTAAAAGGATAAAATACAAGATTAAATATGAGATAAAGTTATAATTTATTGTAATCTAGTGTTTGGTAAAACACTTGATAAGGGTGGGATAATAGAATACTAATTACATATTAACCAAAAAATTATCAAACTTGTTTAGTTATTAATGTTTTTTGTTTATTTGGTGGGTAAAAAAATAAATTTATAATTTAATACGCTTGAACTAAACTATAATACCACCTCTCAAGGTAGAATTATAATAGGTTCAATAGTACGGATAAAGTGTATTATTTGGATAAACATTTGAAATAAGACTATATATAATACATAATATTTTTTGTAATAAAAATACAATATATTTTTGTTTTTTATTTTTTTGTAACAAAATACACCCCTTACTCCTGAGGATATAATGTGAACAACTTAATATTTGAAGGTACAAAATAAAAATTTTGAATTCTTTGAGGATATAAAATACAATTTGCTCGATATAATCGAATAGGGAAGAGACAAAAGTTAATATCTTAGTTATACAAAGATAATAAGAAAAAGAAAAGAGGTCTAGAAGTAAGATGAAAAAGGAAAAAGATAAGTGAAAAAGAAGGATGGGAAAAAGGGATTTGAAAGAGATAAGTCCACGAGGCTTATGATTTCCTTTTCGAAAGTGTGGGTAAGAGATGGCCCAATCAATCAGGTCCTTTATAGTAAATTTCACCCCGGGGTATTTGTCTCCCATTTAATAATTTTACTTAGATTAAATTTAAATTTATTGATTAAGTTCGTTAATCAAATCTAATAAATTGAGAATGAAATAAAGTAATTTTGTAGGAGTAATTACACAAGTCATATATAATGATTTAATTTGATGAGACAAATGCACTGTTATTAAATAATTTAAAATTAAAAAATTTAGTACTTGATGAGAGAGAATTTCGTAAGTAGCCTATATCTGAAATTAGTTGATATAGTATGCAGTAAATATAAATTTAGAGAAGAGAGAGTTTGTGTGTGAGAGGGACTGAAAAAAGGGAGAGGTAATGGGAGAGAAACTTAGGATAGTTGAGAATTTATGGCAACCATGCTATTAATTATGAATCAAGTTATTCAAAAAAGAGTCCATGACATAAAATCAAATCAAATCAAATCAAATTAAAAATTCAATACAATTGTGAAGTTATTTTAGAAAATTTGGACAAATAACGAGAGAAGGTCGGTTTGACTTTGAATCAGCCTTTGCTTGTTTAAATGGTAATTCTATGAGCACTCCAAAAATCACTTCTGCCACTTAAAAGCAAATAAATTCTTGCACTATCAATTGGGGTGCCCATAGTATTCATTACAGTGATAATATCATTTACCTTGACTAAAACAACATTATTTGCTATCGAAAAGTCGTTCCTCCCCTTGAATAAGTGGTGGGTTTTTGTTTTTTTTGGGTGAATTTCATTTTGCCCCTGATCACTTTGTACCATTAATAATTAATTTTTTTACAATACACCTTTAATGTATCAAAATAGTTACAATATAACCTTTCTATTAACTTTCCGTCAATGTTAATGAGTTAAATTTTAACCCAAAAAAAAAATAAATAACAAAAACTAAAGAAAAGACTACAAAATTCGCTATCACATAAATTTTATCCAACAAAATGTGAGTATAAAAATCAAATATTTCCATTGTTTCAATTTAGCTATTTTTCTCACGATCAACGGTCACAAATATATTTGAAAAAAAAAAAAAAGATATAGTACCAAGTATCTTTGGAAGTATGGTATTGGAAAACATTTTCCGGTGCTATAGCTTTATGCCTACTCTTTTTGGTTGTAGTCCCAACTTGTTCAGTTCAGTAACTTCCCTGAAGAAACTTGTTCAATTCAGTAACTTCGAGTAAGGCGCAAAAAGTAAAGTTCGAGCATTCTGGGGGGGATCAATAGCCGCTGCCTTTCCATTTCCCACACCCAAAAAGGTTCCGGCTTGCGTATTCAACTACCTGAAACCAGAGTCTGAACAGACTGAGCATGGTCCACAAGACACCCATTAATCCCGAGTTTAAACGGTCTGATATATACAATTTTATCCTTAATTGCAAATTCCGAACATGCAAATTTCAGTGGCACAAAGTACAGGGTACATAAATCCCCAATTAAAGCAACCCCCGCCCCCCCCCCCCCCCCCCCCACAAAACCCATTTTTTCTCTTCTTTTTTCCTTTACCCTCATATCCTTTCACTTGAGTAAATATTGGGTGTAACACTAACACTGCATCATCAATGCCACGTGATGTCACCAATCTATTATAAAACAACAAATAAGATTGGTGAACCTCCAATATTTCTACTCGACAGATATTAGATAGGTATTAAAATAGGTTGGTGACACCACGTGGTATTGATGACGTAGTGTCACCGTTACACCCCTTATTTTCTCCTCTTGATTATGCACACAAAGTGTCAAGTTCAAAGGCAATGCGTGGGTGCGGGCGTGTGTGTAAACAAGTCAACCTATTGTGTCTACACAGATTCCATATCCTAAATCTGTATCTATATTCTAAAAACAAAAACCTAAAAAGGCAATAAAACAAGAACAGCAATGATCACAGTGATAAAACAATCTACCCAAACATGCTGCTATAAACAATAGAGGAAATTCATATTTTGTTACCTGTTGTTGAAACTCATTCTCGATATTGAGATGACAAGGTGTTTCCACATAATCTCGCGAAACCAATAAATTGACAAACTTGCTTCCAGGCATCACACAGACCCCATAAATCGGTGCTTCAACATATGGGATAAATGACAAACAAATAGGGGGAATGACCACATGAAGGGCCAGTTTAAAACCTTTACCTAAAAGCATGATAGTAGAATTGCACAGAAAGAGATGGGTGACTCATATTTTCTAACCACAAGTCTATCAATCTCTTCAATTAAACCAATAGCTTCACACAGAATTACATCTCGAACAGTAACTGCACAGAGAGTGAGATAACCCTGCCTAGTTACATCCATCTGAAAAGGATAATGAAGATAGAAGTGTATTTGAAAAGAACACAAAGATAAACCATGAACTACAAGGAAAAGCATTTCAAACAATTTCTGTTAAATTCATGTAGAAATTTATAAGACAGACTTGCTTGACAGATGTGCCGCAAGTGACTTTTCATCAATTGATTGGTATCCACATCTTTAGAACAAATGGGCTTTACCTCGATTGTTAGTACCGGTTGTACATCGTAGAAGAAAGAGCAGAACAATTGAGATCTCAACATATTGCATAACTAGGGAACGCCAGTGTCATGTCTTGTGGAGCTTGAAGCCAAATACTCTTGGGACATAACTTTGTGTTGCTTTTTGTGGCTTGAGGTGTCCATAAGTCATCAAAAACAGGTGAGGAAATGTGGTTCCAAAATAAGATCCATCGATATCTTGGCAAAGTCAAGAAGCCACAAAATAAGCATGATGTTATCAACGAGTACAGGTTCACTAGCATGCGTCATTATATTCATTCAGACAGGAGCTCAATAACAAACAAAAGACAAAATAAAAAAGTACTCTACAGCATCCTCTTTTTCTTCTTTTTCCTTAAAACACCAAGTCTGGGTATTACAATTGGTATCCCAAGACAAAAAGAATACAGACTAAGCCTGATCCGTTTCACTTTGCAATTTCAATTGTTTTAAAATAACATCTTAATGTCAGATAATAATCTTTTCTTAGACTTCTGTGGGTTAAACAGAAAGAAAAGCCCAAATTTTTTTAATATAAATTCACAGATAAAATGCATGTGGTTCAGCCCATGACTTCAACAAATGAATGCCACATACAAGTCTTAGCCACATCAAAAAGTCACCATGTGCCATCCAAAAATAGGATCAATCCACAGGCACATAAGAGACACACTGTAGATAATCATAATGACCATTATAATCATAGTTTATGATTAGATACCAATACTTTACTTGAGCCTTGAATATGAACAATAACCATAATATCCAACGTTTCACAGGCTTTTAACAACTCTAATAACCAAACAAGCAATAAGTATAATCATATTATGGTGGTAGCAACAGCAACAGTGATTTTTATTACCAAAAAATCAACTAAGTCTAAGAGACATGCATAAGTGATACCATATCAATATAATCTTGCAGACAACAGGACTGACTGTACACACACGAAAACAAGAATCTATGTTGCACTTCTACTTGGGAACAAAAATGAAGACATGAAATAAATTTGAGAAACGTATAGAACTTAAGATCATATCTCCATGGGAGAATGATATTTCTAATACATGCAGCCCAATGTAACAAAGAGAGAAAATTTAGTGCAACGAAAGGATACTGCCTTGGTACTTGGATCGAGGGTAGTAAATATCTTCACATTTGGGACAATATATTTTTACAGTACTTGACCGTGGAATGTCCGATTGACCAACTGGAAGACAGGGTTGCCCACAGCAGTAAACTCCTGGGCATCTCCCAAAGTCATAGTTCTTGAACTTCTCCAACTGTGGTAAAGAAAATGGTAAAACTTTAGTTAAGACCATATAAGAAATACAACAGACAAGAGACACAGATGACAACTGAAATAATCTAACCTAAATTCTTACCATTGCAGACATTCCCTTGCTAGTCAATATGTATCGTACATGAATTAGACCATACAGCATCTCTGCTGCTGATTCAACCAATTCATTCTGTTCTTCAGTGAACATGTCACCTGCTAATGTCCATAACGGGGAAAAATTAGTTCCGGGATATGAGAGAGAGACGGGGGCAGGATAAAACATGTGCATTTCAAACATCGTAGCAATGAAAGACCCGAGGATTTTCAAGTAATGAAGAAACAAAGAAAAGATCAAACGAAAGTCATTTGGACATGGAATCTAATCTTCGAAGGGAAGGGTTTTCAATAAATTGAAATACAACATTGCTTATATACAAACAATAAGATCACTCTCACACTAGAAATGGTATCTCACTCTCATTGTAGACAGAAAAAAAATCTAAGCTTGTGTTTTTATAATGCACCACTGTAAAACACGTTGTACGAGAAGGTCCAAAGCTCAAACTTATCAAGCATTCCACAGTACCACACACTTCACCAAGTGACAAGTGATTGGATCGAAAAATTCTTTTACTTAGGCCTAAATGTACTCATCTGATACCCAGCTGATGTATGATTTCTCCCACCATGCCAGTTTCCACTGTCCCAAGCCACCGCTCCCTGAACCGTGGTGCACTATGAGATAAAACAGGCTAAGTGGCTTCCGATCCATGAGGGTCAATCACACCAACACCATTCGTATGGCAACAGACCCGTATTTTAGCGCTTTGTACAAGTAAGATCCAAAGCCCAAACTTATCAAACATTCCACACACTCTTCACCAAGCAACGTGGAATTGGGTCACCGCACTGAAGCTAAAAGTCAACAGGAAATGAACGAGAACATCAATATCAATCTATAAAACCTACCAGGCAACAGTAGGAACAAAATTAAAACTATCACTGAGACATGAGCACAATGCCAAGGACAAAAAGTCTTCTTGTTCATCCACCCCACCACGCTCCTGTAACGATGTTCAACTCTTCAACCAAGTAACTGGATCACACAGCTTCTATAAGGCTTATCAAGAAGCTAATTTCTCAATAATAACCAATTCAAATGGGTTTTAGAGAAGCATGTATGTATTAAACTATTAAGCATCAAGATCCTTGAAAATACCAACTAGGGAGAATCATCAAAATTAAAGCAATGAACTTAAGCCTAAAGGCTAATGGTGTTACCTCAAATGGGAGAAGAATTACTAGATTACCATTGCTCAAGGGCCAATCTTTTTAAATCTAGCCATAGAAAAGACTACAGAATGTCAAAAAAAAAAATGCCCACACCTCTCTTGATGCTTGCACACCTTCAATATTCCAAAGCAATTTCTTTCTTTTTTTCCTGATAACAGTTCTAAGCATTTTTACTCCACCTGAATCATAGCCAAAAGAGCTTCACACCCATGAAACTTGGATCTCTTGCCTTACCAAAGCCTACATGAAATTTCTAATAAAGAAAGATTCCAAAGGAGCCTCAAAACAAGTAAGGGCATACAAAAATACTTTTTGCGATGAAGCACATAGCAAGGTATGCAGGATTCTTTTTTTAAATCAGCGGATACAACTAATAACACTGGGAGATAGATAACGTCTCGGGCCTGGATATCTCATCAATATCATCCCCATCATAAGCCGTTGCCCAAAGCCTCACTTTTGGAAAAGGGTTGGAAGCCCAAGCCTTCCAAGTCAACTTACCTACACGGATCATATCCAAGAAAGTGAAGAAGCCACTAACATAACACCTCAACCGCAGCCCTATTACAGACAATAGGTGAGAGTCATGGAAAGAAACCTAGGAAGCACTGATACTCGTCAGAGGGTCGCCGTGGAAGTGTCAGACACGTGTTCGACACGGATTAGTGTGTCCGACACGGATTAGCGTGTCCGACAGTCGGATACGTGTCCGACACTTGCAGAAGTGTCCTGAACAGTGGCTGTGATTTTTTTTGGTCGGATACATGGGGGATAGGGCTAGGGTACTTTTGTTATTTTAAAAACTTAGGGGACCGAAACGAAAAAAAAAAAAGGCCAAAGCTACGTTGTTTTGGATTGAAAAAGAAAAAACAAAAGGGCAAAACCCATCTGATCTGTGAACCGACTCCAATCAACATTCAGTGTGTGTGAGAGAGAGAGAGAGAAGAGAAGAGGAGCTTGAGAGGACCAGAGGAGGAGAACAAGAGGGAGAGGGAAGAGGAAGGGAGACTCACCTGCGACTGCGACTACGATCGTGATCTACAATCTTCCAGGTTCTTCTTGCTTCAATTTTTTTTTTTAGATCTACTACTGCTACTCTTACCTCTTCGTCTTCCAGTCTATGTGAAATGTGGACTTTCAAAAAATTTGATTAAGTTAATTTGATTGGAAATTTTTAGGGTTTTCAAAAATTGGGAATTTTCTTTTGGTCTGGTGTTGTGTTGCTTGTTGCCTTCGGGAATTTTTTTTGGTCTTGGTCATCTGTGTTGCTACCTTTCTATGCTAGTGTGCTGCTATCTGCTAGTTTTAAATACTGAAAATTGTTTTCCTAGCTAACTATTGTCTTCTCTTTTTTGTTGTGCTGCTATGTTTTTTTTTGGTCATCTGTGCTGGTGCCTGTTGACTTCTATGCTAGTGTACTGCTGCCTGCTGGTTTTGAAAATTGTCATCTGTGTTGTCTGCTGCCTTCTAAAAATTGTTGTGTTGTTGCCTATTTTTCAGGATTTAGGAAAATGAGTTCTCTTGCCAGTGGCAGTGGAGATGGCAGTGGGGATGGCAGTGATGATCACACCTCTTTATAGAAATAGTGCACAAAAGTAGATAAAATTAGTGTAGGGGGAGAAAATGTTCAGTTTCAATGCAATTTGTGTCAACTGAGTTTTAAAGGATCATATTATGGGGTTAAGGCACATTTGTTAAAAATCAGAGGTCATGAAGTTCATGTATGCTGAAAAGTGACTCCGCAATTATTAATTGAAATGAAAATATTAGTTGATGAAACTGAGGTTACAGCAAAAAAAAGTGTGCCCAAACAAGTCCCTTTACCACCATCTTCAGCATCAAGCAAACCTGCTTCCTCGAGTGACAGCGTTAGTAGTGGTATGGAAATGAAATTTGATTCATTAATGCAGGGGCTGGTTTAGATCTAAAAAAAAGGAAAGCTACTTCTGCTGTTGAGAAAGCCTTTAATGTTAGAGCTCGAGAAGAGCTACATAGTGAGATTGCAAGGTTGTTTTACTCAGCTGGTTTACCATTCCACCTAACAAAGAATCCACATTATTGTCGCTCCTACACTTTTGCAGCTACTCATATGATTAGTGGCTATATCCCTCCAGGTTATAATATGTTGAGGACTTCACTTCATCAAAAAGAGAGAGCAAACACTGAGAGGTTGTTAGAGCCAACGAAGCAATCATGGAAAGAAAAAAGTGTAAGTATTGTTTCTGATGGTTGGACGAATGCTCAAAGGAGGCCAATCATAAATTTTATGGCAGTGTTCTTGAAAACAGTTAATTGTGAAGGTGAATATAAGGACAAATATTTCATATCTAACTTGCTTCTGGAGATCATTCATGCAGTTGGACCTCAAAATGTGGTCCAAGTGATCACTGATAATGCACCCGTTTGTAGGAGTGTGGGAATGCTTGTTCAGGGTCGTCATAAACACATCTTTTGGACCCCTAGTGTGGTGCACACACTTAATCTTGCTTTGAAAAATAGTTGTGCACCAAAAAACACCGAAGCCAATAGACGCGTTTATGAAGAGTGTAATTGGATCTTAGTTATTGCAGGGGATTGTGTGGGCATTAAAAATTTTATTGTGAACCACAACATGAGATTAGACATGTTTAATGATCATGTGAATTTGAAGATGCTCTCAATTGCAGAGATACGTTTTGCTTCAACCATTGTGATGCTTAAAAGATTTAAAGTTCTAAAACGTGGTCTCAAAAACATGGTTATTAGTAATCAATGGTCTTCTTATAGAGAAGATAATGTTCAAAAAACGGCCTTTGTGAATGAGAAAATATTAAACTATTTTTGGTGGGACAAAATTGATTATATAATTTCCTTTACTGAACCTATTTATGAGATGCTAAGGAAGGCCGATACAGATGTCTTGCCTATACTTAGTTTATGATATGTGGGATTCTATGATTGAGCAAGTGAAGGTTATTATCTTTCGTCATGAAAGAAAGCAGGAAGATGAGGAATCAACCTTTTATTCGGTAGTTTATGAAATATTAATGGACAGATGGGGCATGAACAACACACCGCTCCATTGCTTGGCACATTCTTTGAATCTGAGGTAATTTGTAAGCTCTAAACTTTAAGATTCTAATTCAAATTTCTAGATATCAAATGATCATCATTTTATTTACTTTGTCGTTTAGGTATTATAGGATATAATGCCTTTCTATGGCTCCTAATCGTGTTCCTCCACACAAAGATGAAGAGATTTCAAAAGAAAGAAAAAAGTGTTTTCAAAGATACTTTTCTAATTTGGAGTAGCGAAGAAAGGCCAAAGAGGAGTATGCCAAGTTTTCAGCGTGCTTTAAAGAATTTGGAAGTCATGATTCCATGAGTGATAGAGGACTCATGGAGCCGGCTTTTTGATGGGTTATCTATGGTTCTACGGCACCCTTGCTCCAAAACTTGACTTTGAAGTTACTGGGGCAACCTTTTTCCTCCTCATGTTGTGAGAGGAATTGTAGCACTTTTTCTTTTATATACTCTTTAAGGAGGAACAAAATCAAACCAAATAGAACCGAAGACTTGGTATTTGTACACTCTAATCTCTTCCTTCTATCAAGGAAATCTCCTCAATACACGGAGGGCAACACTAAGATGTGGGATGTTGCAGGAGATGCATTTGATTTCATGGATGAGGAGTATAGTGGGATGCTTGAGATTGCAAATCTTTTTCTTGATAAACCAGATTTGGAGGCCATACTCTTTACTGATGAAGGAATTGACAATGAGGATGTTGAGCGCACTAAGGTGAATTGAGGGAAGATGTCGGATTCCTTTTGTTTTGTGTTCTTTTGTTAGCAAACTTGTGGACTATGGATGTATCTTTTTGAATCTTTGATCTATTTCAATTTAAGTAATGTTTGCTAAGTCTTGATTGTTTGTTATTATTAATGTTGTTGTTATATATATAAAAAAATATATAATTATTTTAATTAGCCGTATCTTCGTCGTACCCGTATCCTATATTTTGAGATTTTGCCATATCTCCATGTCTATATCGTATCGGATACAACACCCATGTCTGTATCCTTGCTTCTTAGAAAGAAACATATATGGTAACCATTTTCCACAGGACGATCTTAGCATTTGGAAGCTAAAATCTACAATTGGTTATGCTACAATGAATAATGCAAATGCATTTCATGAACAAGAAGTAATTCTCTAGACCAAGTTGCCTAATCCAAACCCACCTACCCTTTTAACCTGACATATCTCCCATCTTAAAATACCTTAATGCATACCGCAAGAATATAACTCAACAATTTCAATCTTGATATCCATCGATAGCAACTGAAGAGACATGCAGGGATAACTAAAGTGATTAAATAAGTGCATGCAAGACAAGCACTTTAGCAGTTACAAATAGAAAGACAAGAAAGAACTAAGCGAAGAAGCTTTAGGATATTAAAAAACCTAGACAATCTTAGTCCACAATCACGAACAACTATCTCAGATAACGTTATCCACAGAGAAACTGACCCAAAGCTAAGTCACTATAGCGCTATGCATATTGAACAACTCCACAAAATTCGCGGAAAGGCAAACATTTGATAATCAACATTAGCATTAAATGGATTCTTTTGTCCAAAAAAGATCCTGAACTAGCAAATTTGACAAGTTCGAGTCATTTGAAAACTTTTAGAAATTAAAGGTTTAATAACCAGTTTTGTAAACAAGTAGTTCAGATAGAATCTCTTTGTTGGTTTGAAATAGACATGCTATTTGGGCAATAAAACATGTCAAAGAAATTTTTGTTTACCAATGTAAAATCAGGAGTCACTCAGATGATGTAGAATTGCTCAAATACAAAGGCCTGGCTACAAAACACGAGCAATTAGTCTTTTCGTGAAATTTACAATCCTTCTCTAAATAAAAACACATAATTTCTAACAATAATTTAGTAGTTCATAATGGCATCCAGAATCTTTCTAAATTTAAGGAGCACTTATGAAACAACTGAAAACATTACAACCGACCTCCTAGTATGACTCTTAATTAGCATGGTTAAATTCAGTCACTAGAATATTAATTTTAGCCTACAATATAATCTAATAACATTATGGAGGGAAAACAAGAAATTTAACATTCACATTTTCATCTTCTACGGGGTAATAGACCAGCAACTTACACCTTCAAACTAAATAAACTCAAGCAAATTAAAATGCTTACCATGAGAGGACTCAACATCCAGAATTAGATCAAGAGCATAATCATAATATGGTACTTGACTGCTTAATCCACAAAGATTAAAATCATCTTGGATGTATTCATCATCAACTTCACAGAAAAATTCATTTCCTCGCAAATTGCAAAACCATGAAATCCAAGATGTGTCATCTCCATCAGAACCACTAACATCAGACTCTTCACTGTCTGTTTCAGATTCCTCTGCAATATGAGCAGAAATAAACATGTTACAATAGGTGAAATGAGAATGGCTGCACCTATAACCATTATGCATTCCAATTGAGTTTTGTCTTTCCGAGCGACAATCATAACAAGCAACTGACAATCTCAAAAAGAGAACAAATCCGTCCAAGGATACTCTGATGAAACACAAAATTGATTAGACTTTGAAGCAAGCAACCAGAAATGAAACACTTACAGCTACAAGGCGAAACTAAGTAGAAAATAATGTCTACGACTATATACTAAATGGAAGGGGTGACCATGGACTGGGACAGGTCGCCCAATGCAAATGCAGCCTGAGAACTGGACTCAGTCCGGGCTCGACTAGGGCCATGCTCTCCTAGTCCAGACCCAACGCATGGGCCACTATTTTGTTATTTTTCTACAAAATGCAACACGAATTCGTTTTTTTTACATTTAATGATGTAGCAATAGTATACAATATAAATAATACAGGTACAGGTCTGAACTGGTCTATGACCCAGAATCTCTGGCCGAATCCCAAAACAATGCCAGGCCACTTTTTTGCCCAGCCCCCAAACAGTCTTCAAGTTTGACTTATCATCTAATTGCGACAAAACTCCATTGCTTTTCAAATATGTCATAAAAAATGATATTCAGCTCACAAAATTTGTAAACATTCTCAAATTTTCAGCTCAACGCCACCCTACCTAACATGAGTGAACCCACTCAATTTCTCAATCAAAATAATTCTCCATATAGGAATGTAAGGAGCTCCCAATCAACTAATCTTTTCTTGAATCTACATGAGCACAAATTCATATTGCTAGACCACTTAGCACAAAGATCATTTCAAATCTACACAAACCACCTCACCAAATATAAGGAGCCCGAATCTACCGTGAAGATACACTCATGAGGTATCTGCCAATGTTTTGTTAGTTATTCGACAGAAATGGGAAGTATTTAATACATATCCTCGAATATTGTTCGAGTATCAGTATCCAATATCAGATAAGGATACTTCATCCGAATTTAGATATTCACGCTGCATAGAACACCACTCATCATATTCCCAAATCATTCGAAAAAATGGACCATCATTGAGTTTATAATATTAGATACTCCCTTGACACCTAATCCCACAAAAAATAAACATATGCACTTCTTAAAGCATTTCATAGATATTAAACCACAGATCTTTGCACCATTTATAATTACCAAAAAGTGTAGTTTGTTCCTATCATATCCTCCATTACTACTTGTCATTTTCCTTAAGAAAATCAATTTCAACCATTAGCAAAAAGCAAAACCTAGCTGCAAAGTCTACAAACCCAAGCATAAACTACCACAACACTAGGGGCCCAACACCCATTCCAAACTGTGCAAACCCACGGCCATGATAAATATATAAACTTCTAAGCCCACGCACTTTATACAATTCACACAGACGCTTAATCATAAAATTCAAAACCCATTTGCAACTGTCCATTCCTGCAACTATAAAAAAATCAAAAATGTCCAAAACTCAATACACTCGAGCCCATACACACAAAATTTATGTCTGCGCATGAACATCTCAACGCATAGCAGACCCAGGACTTACGACCCTACAAAACCATGTTAAAATAAATAGGTAACCCATGATTCAATGATTAACCACTGAATAGCTAAACTTTTAAGTTTTAACTAATAATTGCTAAACCTTACAGCACCCAAAAATGGAAATATAAAAAAGAAAAACAAATAAAAATTACCATCAGAGCACTTGTTCTTGTTGGTGGTGAGTGTCGAAGAGGACCGAATGTCGCGATGATCAATCTGCTGCTGTTGCAATTTGCTACCACCTCCAGCGGCAGAAGTCGACGGCACAGACAATCTCTCCTTCTCCTTCAAACCTCTCGAAGTCGACGGCGATGACTTGTCCAAGTGCTTATCTAACGCATCGTTGATTCGCTTCCGATCCAACGGCCCTCCTACCATCTCCGACTTCGATGCTCCTCCTACACCTCCTCGATCTCTATACATATCCACTATCTATATCTCTACGAGTCTATATGTTCGTATGTGTACCTCCAAAATCTCAAAAAATACACATTTGATTAAGGATTTTTTGTTGCTTCGAATCAGACATGAGGATTGCGCATGCAGACAGAAACAGAGATTTTGGGGGTTTTGGAGAGATTGAAGCAACAAGCGCTAGATTTGGAAAGAACAGGCCGAGAGTGTGACTGCAATACAGAGACTGAGAAAACTAGGGTTTCGCCTACAGGAAGGAGAGAGAGAGAGAGAGCTCCTCTAAGATTTCCTTTCTCTCTCCTATTTTGTTTTATTTTTTGTTTGATATTTTTCTTCTGGAAAAATTTCATACACCCCCATGAAATTACACAAATTTTAAGCCAACCCTCTATTTATTGAAACTTCACTGAAATCCCTATTGGATTTGTCTATTTGACGGTGGAAAAATGCACTCTTTACCGATTTGTCCCTGACTTTACATTCATACGAGCTGATCTATAATAATAAAACGCGTATATTTTAACCACAATAAAAAAAAAAATGGGAAATATTTCAGCCACACCTCTCCTAAGTTATTATATATTCAAAGACATCTCTTCTATTATCAAAAATATTACTGACATCTCTTCTAGATTATATTTAAATATCACTAACACCCCTTACTATTAAATTACAATTTCTAAAAAAAAAAATTCATCTGAAATCAAAAAATGTCCTTACATAAATCTAAACTAATTTTTCTACATAAAATTTTATTAAAATTTGAGCCGATCAAAATTTATTTTTTTACGTATTAAAATTTGAACCAATTAAAATTCGATTGAAGCTGATTAAATTTTATTTTTTTAACATAATAAAATTCAAGCTTATTCAAATTTATTTTTACGTATTAAAATTTGAGTCGATTTAAACTCTATCAAAGTTAGTAGTGTCGATTAAAATTTGTTTTAAAATTTATATTTTTTTACTTATTAAAATTTGTGTCAATTAAAATTCAATTTATTAAAATTTTAGTCAATTAAATTTTAAATTTTTTATGTATTAAAATTTGATATGATTAAAATTCAATGTGAGTGAATTAACAATTGATTTGAGTCGATTAAAAATAATTTTTAATTGGTTCAAATAGAATTTTAATTAACTCAAATTTTAATATTAAAAAAATATAATTTTTAATCGGATCAAATTTTAATATGTAAAAAAATAAATTTTATTTAGCTTGAATCAAATTTTAATCGACCTGAATTTTAATACTAAAAAAAAATTAAAAAACAGAGGGGGTCTCATTGAAGATATATTTATCTTAAAGGGTGTGAATGAAGTTTATCCTCAAACATATTATAGGCAATTTAGTAAAATTACATTCTAATTAATATTTTTAATCTGATAAGGGGTGTCAATAAAGATTCAAAAAATAGAAGGGGTGTTCTTAAATATATAATAAGCTAGATAAGATGTGATTGAAATTTTTTCAAAAAAGTTCACTAAATAGGAGTACCCTAATACATATATATCTTTCTATTATAGATAGAGACAAATTAAGAATCCCTCGACTCTCGATCACCCTCCACCCTTATCCCTCTCCCCTTGTGTGTATGTATTGCTTCAAATTAAAAGTTTTTATATAAAAAAATAATTACAAAAATCAACTCAATAGAGGGAGAAAGACACCACCAACCTCCCATTAACTCCCACTAATTATCAATCTCACCACAAAACAACCTTGACAAGTTCAACTCAAATCCCATTCCGGTCTCGTTTTGCATATATATGAACTTATAAGTGTATATATACAATGTGAGTGTATAGATGTATATAGATATATCACATATTTATCTTTCTTTACATCTTTTTTTTTTTTTGAAAGAGTTTAGGAGATGTCGAGGGTGAATTTTTGGACCGAGTTTTAATAGAATGAATTTGGGTTGAAGTTTAAAAATGGAGCAAAAAAAATGGTATTTAGGGGAAGAATTTTTCATGATATTATTATTTTTGTTGGGACACATGATGGTAAAGATATTTGAAACGTGTAGATGAGAGAGGCGTAAAGACTACTTCGAAAAACGAAAAGGACAGAACTAGGGGAAAGGGACATGATGGTGACATTTCAAAAAGATAAATAAAAGGGTGCTGCTTTATTGAAACAAAACTATGAGGTATGCAATCATAATTTAACTTTGAGAGAATTACATTTAACTCCCTAAAATTTGTCACTTAATCTCTCATATCTCTTATATTTAAAATATTATGCATAGACTCCTTGAAGTTTATATACACTTTACACTTGGGCATTGCAATCAATGTCCGTTAATAAATTACACTCAAATTTTATGAAATTTTTAGATCTATAATACTTAGAACATTAAGTTTAAAATGTTATATTTAGATAAAAAAAATACTCTAATCAAATATTAAATATTAAATATTTTAAATTTTACAATTAAAATTCATATTATATTCTATCATTTATTGAAATAAAATTAAAATTAAAAATTTAATATTTTAAGTAAAAAATTATAATATCTATTAGAATAAAACTAAAGAAAATCAAACAAAGGGTATAAACTCATCCAAAAAGAGTTTCTTTTCAGCTCAATATGAGAAATGAGAATAAATATATAACTGCCACAGAGATTAACCCATGCCTTTGGTTTTAACCACTTTATAATCTATAATATAAAATATCACAGGTTTTATTAAGTCTAATAAACTTATCTGATAGTCTCAAATAGACTTATTTAATGGCAATTAATATCTTTTTTAAAACCATTTACATTAAATTATGTCTTTCTTTCCTCACTCTTTACACTCCCTCTCTTTGATCTTCACTCCTCATTTTTTCAAATTAATCCGTTGGTTTACGCTGCATCTCGCCTTCAGATATGGGTTACCCAATAGTATAGAATGAATTAGGACAAGTTATAATTATCCAACATTTCATCACATACTACATTATTGTCCTTATAACTATTCGTTAAAATTTATCTTTCAATTTTATGAGTTATATCGTTTTCAATTTCTCTATAATTTTTAATAATTAATTCTAAATATTTAAATCATTTATTCGTCAGTACTTCTTAATTTTCAATTTGGCCTCTCCTTCTCCTCCTGCTTTTATTTTTTCATCTCCTTCACAATGAAATTAGACACCCACGGACCCACCCCATCTTTTGACAATCAGCCCATGAATAGAGTAACAACCAAGCAATGACTCTCCTCGTAAATGCTTCAAGGCTAACAGGGACACCGACAATACTCCGTGGGTTTTCTGTCAAATCCATTTTTAGCATGCCAGCGATATCCATTTTTCTGTGGACTTTCTTCAAACAGGTCCTACTTGTCCTAAGGTGAATTTGGGGAATCAAATTTGTCGGTCATTGCATCAAGATTAAACCCGGTAATTCTAGACACCAATCAAAAAGGCGTGGCATGAAATCAAGCTCAATATTAAAATATTTTGAGTTTAGTCATAGTAGATCGGGTGATGAACGGGTATGACTGTTAAATCTGCTGAATAAATAGAATGACACAAACTCGACACGAATCTATTAAATTTGATTTATGTGAGGAATAATATGACAGGATAATTTGAGATAAAAAGTACATCAAGTATAGGTTGAAACGAAATCTAACATAATATAAATCACAAGGCACAACCCATTGACAACTCCAATCGAGACATTGGCAGGAGGAATTGACTATGGTACCGAAAAATAAAATTTCGGTAATATACCGAAATTTATTATATTTATGGATATTTTTATTATATTTATGATTATTTTTACCATTTTTGTGATATTTTAAAAAGTGGTAAAAATAATTATCACAACATTATTAAAAACACTCACAACAATAGTAAAAATACCCACAACAGTAGTAATAATTTTTTTTTGTTGAGTAAAAGTGGTAAAAATAGTTATCATAACAATGACAAAAATATCTACAAAAGTGATAAATTTTTTGATTATTAAATAACCCATAAAAATTATAAAAAAATACTCTTTAAAATAATTAATTTTAAAGGTATGATATTGAATTTTTTTAGGGGTCCTATAGTCAAATCCATGGCTGGAAGAATAAACGTGGTAGGCATCAACACATGGACACCGAAAATTACGCAGAATCAACTTGCATTGATGACATATATGGGTTCCTAACCTCCAAGTGCAAAGGTTACTTTCAAGTCACTAGAGATGAAAAAGACAGGAATAGAGAAAAAGGGGGTTGGGTTGGGTTGGGGTGGGGTAATGAAATTGATGTTAAAGGAATTAGTAGTGCATTTTGATTCACAAATAATTAAGATTGGGAATTCTTAGATGATTTGTAAATTCGACAAGAAAGTAACGGATTTGAGTTTAATCTTAGCAAATTTAAGTGATAAAAATACGATGACGTGCTAAACTAATGAGTGAAAATAAAAAATAATGCTATATGAACTTAATTTGGGTGTCTAATTAGAAATTTAATTTAATACAATTGTTAAAGAGAAATGCTATTGAGACCTAATTTACTGACCTAATTCACTATAACCTTTGGATTAACTGTGGGCTCCATCAAATATCAGAATTTGGTGTTTATTTAATGGTTCTAATGAAGTTACATTATTAGGTCAACAAATTTTTAGGTCAAATAATAATATTTTTCTGTTGAAAAACAAAACTGATTAGACGTGACATAGACCCACCTATATAGAGTCAAAAACGAGATAAGAGAGAGTTATTGGGCTGTCCCTATTAACGACGACAGTGTTATGTTGAAAATAGCATTGCAACTTCATTCAATTTTAAAAAAAATTGGGTTAATTACAAAATTTTGCCTTCAAATTTTAATCAAGTTGCAATCAACTCTCTTTAGTTTGAATTTCGACAAATTGCCCCCTTAAAGTTTGTACATTTTTCAATTAACTCAAATTTTTAGTTTAAATAATGAAAATTAAGTAATATGATCTCAAATTTATTGAAAAGGAAAAATTACTCTAAATTCAAAAAAATTTCCTCACGTCAAAAAACTCATCATTCTTCTGTATAAGACAAAATGATGTAATGGGTGATCTTATCTCTTCATAAAATTTGAGATCAAGTGATTTGCAAATGAAGGTTTTTTTTTTTTTGGTAATTTTTCACTGTCAAAATTAATGACTTGATGTAATTTATAAATATTCAAACTTTGAGGGAATAATTTTTTAAAACTAAAACTAGAGAGAGCTGATTGAATGTGAAAAAGGGACATTTTTGTAATTAACCCTTTAAAACATTCATAATTTGTAGTTCTATAGCATTATTACAAGTTTGTCCCAAAAACACACGTGTACTTAAATTAATGATTGTTGACGCTAGTTTTTTAAATATATTTTTTCAATAGTAAATTATTGGGGATATATTTTTATTTTTATACCAACTTAATTCACAATGGGGTGATTTAGAAAATTAATAATATTATTTTGAAATATTTTATTAATCTAATTTATCACAACTATTAAATTTGTTGTGAATTCCAAATAATACTAAACTCCCCTCTTAAAACAATGGTCATGAATGATTAGATCATTCAAATAAGTCTAAATAATATTTTTAAAACCGTCCTTGTTTTTCAGGGATTATGTTCTAAACTTGTTCGGATTACGATAGTTCATATCTAAGTATGATAGAGTAGTCGACACAAGTCTAAAAACCCTGTAGTAAAAAAAAAAAAAACTTTAATAATTACGTGATTAAAAAAAAACTGTAATTGTTATTTGTGACTTTAGAAGAAAAGTCTAATGTCCATTTCTCGCGTGTTAGACTTCGCATTTTTACCCAAAGTGATGGTCCATAAATCAAGGTGATCAACAACTCTCTTCCTAAAAAAGAAAAGTGAAATGTATGCCTTTTTTTATGTAACTAAAAACATTCATCAATGGACTCATGTTTTCAAAAAATAAAAAAATTTAATGGACTGCTCAATAAAATATATTCCTCTGTTGGATCCACCTTCAAAAATTCACATTTTTTTTTTGAGTTTATATATTTTCTTGGTTTTTCTTTTTTTTTTTATTTTCTTGATAACGAAAAAAATCCTTCCAACCATGTAATTTTTTTGGACTCTTTACTGCACTGCAATGCGATTCTTATAGAACAATCACCCACTAAACCGTGTACATTAGTCAAACTTAAATTTTATGTAGTTAGGAAGATTCAAATTCAAAACACATAGACTCACTCTTCACTCTTTTTTCAACTTGAATCAATTATTTATATCATTTGTATCAATTCAGTCTCTGAACTATACTTTGTGTTAATTTAGCATCTGAATTATAACATTTGTGTCAATGCGCCTCTTCTATCCAAATTCGTTGTTAAACTTGACGAAATTCCTCACGTGCATAGCACGTAACCCCTAAAATATGCCTTAATCCCCAACTCACGTGTTGCGCACGTGAGAAATTCTATCAAAGTTAACCGTGAATTTGGATGGAAGAGTTACATTGATACAAATGATATAGTTCAATGGCTAAAATTACACAAAATATAATTCAAGGACTTGATTGATACAAATGGTATAGTTCACCGGCCAAATAAATAGTTAACACTTTTTTTTTTATAATAAATGATGAAGTCAAAATCCCCAAATTGACTCCAAAGAATTGCATGTAAGATCCATAACAAGAAACCTAAGTATTGTTAATAGGATTTGGATTGTCTTAACTCATATTTTTTTTTTGTTGATTTTTGATAATGTTTAATATCATTGTAAAATTTATTAGGTCCCACCATATGCATTGTGACTCTCAAGATCACATCAATTATATTCAATTAATTTCATAATGACTGATTGAATTTCATCAAAATTATTAAAATCTGAAATTGAGAGGATATCTTAAAAATATCTTTTTGTAAGCCAACATTTTGTTAATAGATTTGAATTGTCTAAGGCTTATATTTTGTTGATCTTAGGGTAAATTCTACAAATAGTTCATAAGCTTTACAATTTATCGCACTTTGGTTCTAAAAATTTTAATTTCGCCGATACATCCCTAAAATTTAAACATTGAGTCAATGTGATCCTCCGCACTAACTACTATTTAAAAAAAAAAAAAAGACAGAAAAATGTCATGTATAGAAGATGATATTTTTGAATAGACTTTTTTTTTTCCTGAATGAATTTTACATCATTGAATCAAAGTACATATAAATTAAATTAATTTTAACCGTTATTATAATCTTACAAGTTGAGAATTCGACATTAACCAAAATGCCTTGAATTTTTATTTTTTTTTGATTCAACGATTAGGAATATTTGGATCAACTTGCATATTTTTGACTAATTTCCTCCCCGATCTAGTAAGGCGTTCATATTGAACTAAGGTATTCATGAAAGAGCAATGCTATGTAACTCAAATTTATATCTCAAATCAATAAGAACCATTGAATTAATAATTTATATTTTAAAAAATTGTTGAGATCCACTCGTCTAATATTCTCCGTTTATTTAGAATGCAAATTTGAAATTCATAATATTTCTCCTTTATAAAAATGCCTTCAACTTCGCCTTGGACTTCAGTTACCCCAAAAAAGGTAGCATTGAAATTCAGGAGTATTGCATGATCTGCCTATCTCTCTCTCTCTCTCTCTCTCTAACACACACACGTAGATACGCCAACCAGAGTAATTGGATTAAAAATCAGCAGAAACAGAGAGATTCAGAAAACAGACCAATGGACTACACCAAGAACTCCATCAGCAAACTTGCAATTTTTTCTCTCTTCCTTGCCAGTGTCACAGCTCTCTGTGTATGGGCTCCCAAACCCTTCAATTCCTTCTTCTCTCCTGATCAAAACCCACCATGCCCACAATCAAACTGGGTAAGTACTTCATCTTTGTTTCATAATCACCGGACGGGAGTCTTGTATACTAGACTATTTCTTTTTATATATAAATGACTGTGTTTTGTCCTGATCATAAAATCCTGTTTTTGAGTCATAGGCTGTTCAGAGTCTTCCGAAAGATGAACTTGAGGAAGCTTTATCAAAAGCTTCAATGGCGGACAGAACTGTCATCATCGCCGTCGTGAACAAAGCCTACGTAGAGCCTCACGACAACAAATCTCCGGCGATGTTTGATATTTTTCTTGAGAGTTTTTGGCTCGGAGAAGACACTAGGCCATTGCTTGATCATCTTTTGCTCGTCGCCGTCGATCAAACGTCATACGAACGCTGCAAATTCCGGCGACTGAATTGTTACAAATTGGAGACCGCCGGCGTAGATTTCACCGGAGAAAAGCTTTATATGTCGGAGGATTTCATCAACATGATGTGGAGAAGAACTCGGTTCCTATTAGATGTGCTCAACCGCGGGTACAACTTTATCTTCACGGTACTTTTTCTTTCTTCATCCTTTGAAATTTTGATTAACATTTAAATTACAAGTATCCTATCCCGAACTCACCATTAGTTCTGTCAATAGTGTCGGACAGACGATTTTATGTTGTGTCTTATAGGATTTGTGTCATAAAACATTTTACTTATACTCAATTTGTCTATTAATTCGTATTTAACGAATTATTTTTTATTAGATTCTTAGACAAATCTTAGAACATAATAACTAACCAAGTCGGAATTTTGTCATGGAAATAACCATGTACCAAGACTAGAGCAAATATCCCATCCCGGACTTACAATTAGGTCAATCAATTCTATTGAGTGGTCGTGTCTTAGTGAATTTGTGTCACAAAGTATTCAATCTATATTCGATTCATTTACTAATTTATGTCTAATAAATCATGTTTTATCAAGTTCGTTTCCTATTATTAAAAATAACTAATATAACTTCATCAATAGGCAACTCTAAGGGCATAATAACTAAGAGAGGTTGGAATTTTGTCATGGAAATATTCCATCCCACAAAATAAGTGAAGAAGCTAGAATGAAGTAGGGAAAGCCAATACCACATGCTCCCCAGTCCCACCCTCTAACTTTTCTTTCTTAACATTATTAAAAGATATTTCCACAATTTCTCAAGTATAAATTAGTATGGACTCATATCTAAACAACTATTAATTTTTGAACACATTTAGCATATTTCGACAATTATTTGGAGTTAGATCATAAAAGATTTATTCTTCATGAATACCTAGTCTTGACGTGAATGACTTAACTTTGACCGAATTGGGGAAGAGATTAGTCGATGTATGGATAAACTGAGCTGAACACCGCCTAATCGTTGAGCAAAAAAATAAAAAAAAAGACATGTCTGACGTATTAAGGTTATTTCACAACTTTTGAAAAAACCATTATATTAATTTGTTATTCTATAAATATTTGGGTCACTATACAATAAAATACATGATCGTTTTGTAATCGAATGACATAGATTGTGAAGTTGACATCCAATAATTTTGTAATACAGAAACTCATCATGATCAATTGTGTATTGTATATGGTTTTAATTAATCAAATTTGTTAGAAAATATTATAATTAATATTGTTTTTGCTCTTTTTTAATTGAATTTTCAAGCATCAACTATAATGTAATAAATAATTATTAATGTATATATTTTTTTTACAATTAACAATTTTTTCACTTAATTTTTTTAGTATCTGAATTAAGTGAGATTTTAGCCTATGTACACACACATATACATGATTAGTATTGAGAGATTTTAAGTTTTTAGTCTTTAGGTTTTGGTTGGGTCATGCATATTGGCCCTAACAAGACACAATTCATAAAGGGTGAATGATATTTTATACCTTGAATTTTTAAAATTCATAATTTACATCCCTTAAATATTAAAATTCTCACATTATATTCTCGATTAAATAAAAAGATTACAATGCAATTCAAAAATAAATATTTATTACTTTTTTTTTGATAATTTTGTTTTGGTTGTATTGGTCATATTATCATATTTTTATACGTGTTTGCATACTACTAAATCACATTTTAAAAAAAAAATGGAGAACAATCTTTTTTTTTTTTGGGTTAATGTGCGAGTGAAATGTAAAAATTTTATTATTTTAGCGTGGAAATTAAGAATGTAAAAATATTTCAGGGTGTAAAATGTCATTTACGTATCTATAAATATATTAACCATTGCATGGCTAATGTGCGACCATTGACTCTTGGAAAGTAATTAAATTTAAATTAATACAATTACAACACGACAGGGTTTAATTATATATTATTTATTTTGTGAGAATTTTCAACACGGCTCAAGTATAGGCGTCTAGCTTTGGGTAGAAAAGCCGTCGGTCAAGTGGTCCAGGTGTGTACGGTAAGTCTAGACAAAAACTACAACTGGCTGAAAATGATAGATCGACCGGTTAAAGTTGGTAGGACGATCTCCCATATACTCTTCCTGTATGGTGGGAATTTTTTCGGTGGATTTAACGTGAATGTGGGCTTTGGACAGAGAAAGTTGTTGAACTAATCTCACTTTGGACTCTAAAATATGTTTTGATTTTTAATTTTTACTCTTAAACAATAATAATTTTAATTTATATCGTCAATGTTATGAATTAGTAGTAACGTGAACTTGATTTAGACTGATGTTCAATTTTTTTTTATCATAAATTGATGCACATGAGATATAAGTGTTTCAGACATGAGAATGAGGTATGCCATTTGTTGTAGATTTTTTGTTTTTTTGGTTCCACGGTTAGGGGTGTTCAGACTAAGTTACGAGCATCTTGACTAATTTTCTCCCTGGTTCGATTAAAAACAATCCATCTACATCGGAATTAAGATATTTATGATGGATAAATTTCTTATTGTCTGGCCTTTTTGCTTTAGATCGTCGTCTGCAATCAATTTAACAATGTTTTATGTACTAAAAACAAGATTTTATTAATCAGATAGAGGTTAATCATATCATGTGCAACTCACGTGCTTCAATTTATGACAAAAAATGAAGACGAATCTAAGTCAAGCCTACGTTTCTACTCATTCATAACATTGAGGGTATAATTAAGAATTGTTATATTTGTCAGGGTAGAAAATGAGATTAGTCCAAAATTATTTTGTTGAATAGTATTCACATGAAAACAAAATTGATAGGTGAAACGTGTCCTAGGAGTGAATAGTCAATACATGTTTTCATCTTTTTGTGTTGAATGGTGGGGTTTGATTTTCCATAGGCCTCTCGACATCATGTAGGGGTCAAGTCTGGGGGCCACATGATTAGAGTCGATAGATTTGTCAATATATTGAATTTTATTTTAATAAAAAAAAACAGGATTCACTTTGCCTATTTTATTTATCATTTGACAGTTAAATCACGTAACAATATTGTAATCGGTCATTGAATATTTACTCCTCATATATGATGTGATCAAGTAATATTATACTCTAACGGAAGGCCCGCTATATATTATTTCAAGTAAAATATTATTTATACTTAATTTAGAGATCTAATTTATTATAATTGTTTGATTTAAAATAGATTTCATCGAATGTTTTGATCCACTACTCATCTACGGGATATAATAAACTAAATGTCTAAATCTCTAAAATAGATCTATAAATTATATTCTTATAACATTAGTCCTATTCCAATAATAGTGGGAGATCCACTACATATTGCTTACCTTAACCCAGAGTTGGGGGGGGGGGGGGGGTGAGGTAGGGCTTTGGTGAGCATTAGGTTCAAAGCTTGCTAAGCCTAAAAACTCAATAAACAACTGAAAAAAAAAGAGGAGAAACCCAGTAAGTTTATTTACTTGGAGAAATGTTTTAGCAACTAAGATTTATGTGAGGGGTTGAATCCACATGCACCTAGGGGCTGTTTGGTAAGGGAGTATGAGGGGGGTTTTGGCAAGATAGATTTGGGAAAATAGTCTAAAGTTCTTCCAAATTTCATGTTTGTTTGAAAAATTTAATTTTGAGTTTTCAAATCTGGCCCGTAGCTGACCTCAAGATTAAACCCATTATCATGAGTTTCGTCAAACCTAGAGAGAGGGTGGGTTTGAGAAGATGGATAAGGGGTGACCGGATTGTTGTTATTTCCTCAACGATTTTTGGGTTGACAATGTAAGTCGTGTTTATTGGCAATGTAAATCATGTTATTTTTAAGTTTATGTTAAGAGATAGTGTAGTAGCCTGCGAATAGGCCTTGCTTTATAGTTTTATTTGTTTTATCCGACATCGGCTTTGGATGGAGAGTGACCAAGTTATTTGTGTGGTGTGCTCACCTTTATTTGTTAAGAGGTCTTTTCTGGGAAAACCCCAGAGGAACAAAACTGTGATAGTGTATAGGTGTCCAAAGTGGATAATATCTTGACAATTGTGACGGATCGTTATAGATCATTAGTCTTAACCCACATTTTTGTGTCGAAAATTCCCACCCTACCAATAGGAGATTTTCTACTAGTTTTCAAAATAGCATACTTGGGAAGCATCTTCATGAAGGTATCTTATGATTAAGAAAAATAGCAATAGAGAACATGTATTTTAGAACATTCTCCAAAAGAACCTAAAGTGTGTAGGTTTATTGTTTCATTGATACACAATTGGTGAGGCAATGACATGTATACATGGTCAAAAACTTGCTGCATCATATGTATGAGCAGTGAAAAACATGACAGACATGTCATGAAATCTTGTTTATTAAAGGGCTTTTATATTTAGTTAAAAAGTGATGTTATTTGGATCTAATTTATTGATCTCGTTCTTTAATCTAAACTATTGATACAGTTGAATTAACAGCTAACACCATCATGGGTCAACAAATTTGGTCTTGGTAGCATTATTTTTAGTAGAATTGTAGAGTTAAAAATGCTAGAGATCGGGCCTAGAGAAATGACTATTGCTCATCTGCACAAGTGGGTACCTTGTGAGGATAAGGTTGTCTATGAATTACATCTTCTACACCCTGTTGTGACGGGAGCCTTGGGGCTGGGTACACCCTTCCTTATCAAAATTCTTTTTGGTGCATTTTTTTGGTTAAAACATTCCAAACACTTCGAAACATAGAAGTACTGACAGTTATGAAAACAGATGCATTTCGGTTGTTTATGAAACGAAATTTTCATCCTGGATAACACCTAAGAATTACATGTTTGAATCTCATAACTTCAACATTGTAACTCCTCTTCACAGGACACTGATGTAATGTGGCTAAGGAACCCATTTTCCAAGCTAAGCAAGATTGAAACTGAGGATATACAAATGAGCACAGATGTTTTCAATGGCAATCCATGGTCAAAAAGAAACATGATCAACACAGGCTTCTACTACATCAGATCAAACAAGAAGACCATCTCACTGTTTCGTGTCTGGTACGCCGTGAGGCGCAAAGCAGCCGGGATGAAAGAGCAGGATGTTCTCACCAGTTTGGTTAATAGGGGTATCTTCAAAAGACTAGGCCTCAAGGTGAGGTTTTTGGACACCCTTTATTTCAGTGGTTTCTGCAGTGACAGTGGAGATGTTAAAGCAGTGACTACTGTCCATGCCAATTGTTGCCGGAGTATTCACGCCAAGGTGGCCGATTTGAGAGCGGTGCTCGGAGATTGGAAGGGGTTCAAGGACTCTAGTAGTAATGATACAAGTGGCTTTCATTGGTCCAGGCACAATGGTTGCATGCATTCATGGCACGAGTCCAACAATACTTTGAGTTAGCACTGGTTTTTCAGTTTTTGGTAGAGCTCCTCGATATATTCCACGATAGTATCTGATAAGTGAGATTTTGAGCAAGCGTTTACATAATCTTCTTCTCCTGAGAGAAATCATCACAATAAAGAATGTCATACATAGGAGTGATGTATAGGAAGGATTCAGATATGGGTTTGTAATGTTTAACATTGCAATTTGACATCAAGGTCTCTTTCCTCTATGTAATTCTTTTGAACATGTTTAATAAAATTTTATGTGGGATGTTTAGGATTGGTTCTTCAATCATGTCTCTGGTTGTGTTGTGTTCATGTGCTGGACAAAAAATGGATTGGATGGCAGGTTGTCGTTGGAGGAGAACAGCTCACAATGAAAATTTGTTCCTTTTTTTTTTTCATTCTTTCATTTTCTTTTCATTACTCTTAATATGTGCAGAATCAATGTGTTTTTTGGTTATCACAGTTATTCTATTGAAATCTTAAGAATTATAACTTAGTGGATACGTTGGAATAAGGAATTTTGAGTTATTTTTGTAGTAGAAAATAATAAAAAGCTAATAATTTAGGTCAAATATGAAAGTGGTACCAAACATATTTTTTATTTTTGTTTTCATAATTTGTTAAATATAAACGACTACCAAACACTTTTTATGTTTTTTATTTTTACCATAAAAAAAAAAAAAAAAAAAACGTTATCAAACGCACTCTAAGGAGTTATCATTTAGAGCCATTATTTTTTTAAAAAAATATTGAAGATCCCTTATGCAAGCTTTTGACGTAAAATTCAACACACGCCAATGTAGATATTTACAATTTGATGGCTATATAGAGTGTTGTTCCATCCATGTGAATTAGTGGAGTCACTATATAAAAGAAGAATCATAAAAATCATATCCTCACATTTTAGAAACTTCTTGCTGCTAAACAAAAAACTACCTTATTAAAGAAGAAATGCAGTAAAAGAGGGTAAAGATAAAGGGTATAAAAATAAGTTTGAAAGATACAGATGCTGCTTTGTCTCTCTACTTTGAAACCTTCGAATATGGAGCTTTTTGTACTTGGATCTTGTTTTTTTATATACCTTGTCTACATTAGTTTTTGCACTTTAATTTTCTCTCTTTCATTCGTTTTACAATTATGTGGCTTGTATATGTATTGTATGCAACAATCAAAAAAAAATTCGGTGCACTATTTTAACCACGTAGGAAACAAAAATTTTTTGACATGTTTCAGAAACGTTTTGATCTGTTTCGAAAACAGAATGAAATAAAAAAAAATTAAGAGTTATTTTTTCAAAATATTGATCGAAATATAACAAAATATCTTAAAACATTCTGAAACAATTGTGTTATTGCATTGAAATATTATGAAACACCTCGAAATATGAAAATTTTGATTCTATCATTCATTCATTCATTTCGATCTCTTTGAAAACGAAAATATTTCAAAACGAAATATTTATATTTGATTGTATGACATGAAAATTTTGAATCTTTTGTCAGATTGTTTACCATTTTTGTTTTACTCGTGAAGTTCAACAATATTTTATTAGTAGGAATCTAACACAATTGACACGATTATTATAATGACTCGAATTCGTAACATCTAAGCCACGAGAAAACAATGTCACTAATGTGCAAAAGCCCACAACCAAATTAAACCTAAGAATGTCTATGGTCATGTCTGCAGTATTAGACTTAACCATTATGATTAGATTTTAGACCTCCTATAATAGAATGATCACTAAATGAGGGAATGTCTATTTGTTAGAAGCAAAGCAATGACATGTTTTTTTTTTTATGGCATTAATGGTTTAATATCAATATACATATTCTGTCTTTTACAACATGTGTTTTGCATGTAAACAAATCATTTACATTCTTTTTTTAAATTGTTACCTCTCACTGCTCTTGATTAAATTCGTTCACAACTTGAAAAAGTAAGATTTTAATAGACAATCCGACTCTTATTTCTACTACCATATAAAAATTGGCATGCAATTAACAACATGATACTGTTTAAATTTTTTTCTAACATTAATTGTCGGATTAATATGTCCCTATCAAAGGATATAGTGTACCACATAAACTAAGTATACAAAAGTTGGTACAATTAGAAAATTATTAATTAAATTACATGTTTCAAAATTATAAATTGCAAGGGAGATAGATAAAGAATGGTGTTCAATTCTATAAAAAAAATGACTATTTTATTTCTTTTGATTTTTCGAAGTGATAACTTAATTCACTTGTCTATCATTGTATAAAAGAAATTTGGTAAGACTACCATTATTGCTTTTGGTGCTAATAATCGAATGAACCTGAACTAGCTCAATTTGAATCTATCAAGCTTGTTTTTTTAGACGAATCTAAAAAAAAATATTCAACTAAACAACCCGAGCCTAAACGAGCCCAAAATAAGTCGAATTCAAGCTGAGTTTGTCAAGTTTGATCCTATCAATTTCGTTTTCTAAACAAGTTTAAAAAATTATTCAAATTCAACTCATTTTTTAAATGAGCCAAGCCTAAATGAATTAAACTCAAACCGTGTTCGAATAGTTTGGTTTGATTATTTGCCCTCACTGTTGCAATTTACATTCCACTTTTTTGGGCTTTCGTCCCATATTTGACAACAGAGACTTGCAACGTGTAGAAGAGGACCTCAAACTTCAAGGGTATTTGATGACCTCTACCCTCCTCTCCCTGAGCTTTTGACTCATATCAAGTGATTGTAAAAAAATATTCGCAAAAGAGAGTAAATTTGAAAGTATTTTCCAAATTTAGGTAATTTTAAAAACGTTATTTGATTTGATATTTTTATGCCAAAAGACGTTAGATAATTTGACATTTTTAGACCAAAAGACATCAATTAATCTGATATTTTTAACATAATAAATGTCAATTGGTTTGACACATCAGTCCAACTGACACATTTAAAAATGTCAAACTAACTCTTTTAACACAGGACACCACTCCACCGACTTTATTGAAATTGGAGTTGGTGGACATCATTGCACCTGATTTGATTTGGATAATTATCATGAGTGACCCTTAAATTTTCTTTTAGGTTTTAATGTAATCCATAAAATTTTAATTATTTTAATTTAATCCATCAATTATCAATTTTATTTCAATTAAATCTTTCTATTAATTTTCATCGTCAGATCAACTGGAGATTAGCCCAATTTAAAATCGATAGTTGAGGGACTAAAATAAGACAAGTGAAAGTTTATGGATTAAATTGAAATTAGAGATAAAATTCAGACTAACTATGAAATTTATCCTATTTTTTTATAAAATATTATAAATGCATCAAATAAATACAATTTTTAATCAATTTTAATTCCTAAAAATGTTTTGCTCCCTCTCTTTTTGAGAGGATGAGTTTTTTTTATTTATTTAAAAATCTAATTACATTCAATAAATAAATTTTGATAATTTAAATATACTTATATTTTTTAGTATATCAAACTTAAAAAATTGAAAACGTATACATATAATTAATTTTAATCTTATCATATAATTATAAGCGCATACATAAAATAAAAATAAAATTTTATTTATAATGTTGATCATGTTGACATTAATGTTTATTAAGCTGTAAAAAAATATAAATTATTCATAACATATACATGTAAAAAAAGGATGTCAACAACGTAATTGATATTCAAAACAATATAAAGGATTATTAAATACAGATAAACATGATAAGATAAAAGTGTTAGACGTATCATCGTCCAAATCAGAGAAATTAAAAAGCTCAGGATCATAAACAAGTAACAGATCCTCTAAAATTTTAATTTCGGCATATTCAGATCAAAATGTTATATTTTAGCATAATCGAGTGCATGAAAACGATCAAGATGACATAAAATAAAGCACTCTAAAAATTATGCTATATTTTAGCATAATTTATAAAAAAAAATAGGGTAAATTTCATAATTAGTCCTGAATTTTACCTTCAATTTCAATTTAATCCATGAACTTTCACTTGTCTTATTTTAGTCCCTTAACTATCAATTTCGAATTGGGTTAATCTCCGGTTGATATGACGATAAAAATTAGTGAAAAGATTTAATTTAAATAAAATTGATAATTGATAGATTAAATTAAAAAAATTAAAATTTTATAGATTACATTAAAGCTTAAGAAAAAATTTAAGGATCATTTATGATAATTACCCAAATCAGGTGGAGGTGGAGTGAAGTCCACCAAGTCCAATTTCAATAAAATCGGTGAAGTAATGTCCTGGATTAAGAGAATTAGTTTGATATTTTTAAAAGTGTCAGTTGAATTGATTGGTTTAAAGAAACGTCAAACCAGCTGACGTTTATTAGGGTTACACTGTTGAGTTAAAAATGTCATTTAAACTGACCTTTTTATGCTAAAAAATTTAAACCAGTTAATACCTTTTACCTTAAAAATGTCAAACCATTTTTAAACCCAACCTCTTTTGTGAATAATTTTTTACAACCACGATATCCATCAAACACCCCCCCGCCCGTCTCTCTCGGATCCAAATTCCAAACTCATACAATCAACATTGTTTTTATATTTCTACCACCAGTGAGACAAAAGACTCAGACATGGATTACAGCAAGAACTCCACAAGAAACCTTGCATTATTCTCTCTATTTCTCGTCAATGTTCTATATTTTTGTATCCTGACTCCTACGCCCCTCAAACCCATCTTTTCTATTCAGAATCAGCCATGCCCACAATCAAATTTTGTAAGTATCTTCTGGTTCAGGCATATATACAAACACCTTCACGGGTTCCTGAATCCGCATGGATCCTCACCGTCAATCCTTCTTTTTGTAGTTGCAGAGAGCTTCGAGAGATGAACTTGAAGCAGCATTAGACAAAGCATCAATGCCCAACAAAACTGTAATCATCGCCGTCGTGAATAAAGCTTACGTAGAACCACACGACGACACGAGTCCGGCGATGTTTGATCTCTTTATTCAGAGTTTTTGGCTTGGAGAAGGCACGAGATCATTGCTTGATCATCTGTTACTCGTCGCCGTCGATCAAACGGCGTACGACCGGTGCAAGTTCCGACGACTCCACTGTTATAGATTGGCGACGGAAGGTGTGGATTTCACTGGAGAGAAGCTTTACTTGTCTGATGATTTTATCAAGATGATGTGGAGAAGAACTCGGTTCCTTCTAGATGTGCTTAACCGTGGCTATAACTTCATCTTTACGGTACTTTCTTCTACTCCCACTCGTTTCGGTTATAGGCCAGACGAGCTCTACTTATTCATTACACATGAATTAATAAACAAATTAAATATAAATAAAATATTTTTTAACACAAATTAATTAAAACTCGATATTAACCCGTTTGCCGACAAGGTTGACATACTTAACTGTAACTGTTAGATCAACAATAAATCCTAATATTAAAACTAATAGCCATGGTTTAGTGCAGTGTTTGATATTCATAACGGATATCTAGAACTGGAGCAATTAAAACTAATAACCATGGTTGGAGGAGCAACATGAGAAGCACAACAATGGAGAGGGTAATGTGATACAAAGAATAGTGAAGGTGGTCAAAGTGTAATTTTTGTAAGTTCAATTGCACATATATCTCACAACTTTTTGATGTAGAACTCCATGTATGTACATATTTTTTTATTTTATTTTAAATTGATGGTTAATAGGTGAGGCAATTACATTGGGATATAAATAGTGCTTCTTCGCCATATGCATGAGCTGAGTAAAAAAACTTAAATAGGTATTCAAAGGTGAAACCTCAAATCGAAAGGCCTCTATTAGTAGTGACTTCGATTAATTTAGTAACTTAGGATTGAGCGTTAGATGTGTGATGGAGCTACCATTATTTTCATTCAATTCAAATCGTTTTAGCTGATTTACCCAACCTAAGATTGATGTTTTTTAATGAGAATCTTATAACTCTTTATTTTTTAATAATAAATATTTTATTGGAATCCATTCTCGCGGACAAACACTACTCTTACACCACCTATGAGAGATCTAGAGATAGTGGGCATAGTTTTATAGTTTGTTGCGGATCACCCGTTAATTAGATTAGATTGGAGCAAGATTGTATGAGAAAAAATTACCCATTTTCGGGCTTCGCGTGTAGGGAATGACATCATTTGATCTGGAATTCCTAGCAAATCCTTAACTCATTAATGAAAATCAAATTGGAGGTTCTGGCGCATCTTTCCAAGCTTATTTGTCTTAGAAATAAAAGATCGATCATTTTCCCAGAAAGAGAAGTACAATAAATATAGATCAAAATATATCTATAAGACACACAAAGCATTCAATTCGGGAATCTCTTGAAACTCTCTGAGTTTATAAAGATAAATATGACTCTCACATCCCAATAAACTAGATACTAACAGAATCTCTTACATCCCAAGATATTAAAATAAATACAGGTCCATGTAAATAAACAATCAAATAAATTTAGGCATACGGTTCATTATGTCGTAGTCACATTCGTGTTAACGACTAATACCGCGACTTTGAACAATGCATAGACATGTTTCAAAAAAAAAAACAATGCATAGACACTTCATGTTCGCTTACCGACCAATGGAGTAGGTCCAAACCTATGTTTTTAAGAAGGTTTCTATTCTTGAATCTTGGCTTGCACATTTGTCTTAGGATCAATAGATGTGAGACTCAACATTATAGGCTTGAATGCACTAACTTTTCTTAACACTTACAATTTATTTTTACAGGATACTGATGTAATGTGGCTAAGAAACCCATTACAAAGGCTAAGCAAGAACGAAAGTGATGATCTACAACTAAGTACAGATTGGTTCAAAGGCAATCCATGGTCGAAAATGACATCTATCAACACTGGCTTCTACTACATCAGATCAAACACCAAGACCATCGCGTTATTCAAGAGATGGTACGGGATGAAGGATAATTCTGCAGGGATGAAAGAGCAGGATGTGTTGGTGACTCTGATACGTAAGGGCGTGTGTCGGGAACTTGGCGTTGAGGTAAGGTTGCTCGACACTGTTTACTTCAGTGGGTTCTGCAGTGTGAGTGAAGATATTAGAGTAGTGGCTACTGTACATGCCAACTGTTGCCGAGGTATAAGTGCCAAGGTTGCTGATCTTATGGCAGTTCTTCATGATTGGAAGACGTTCAAAGAGTCTGCTGATCATGAAAATGCAATGAATTGTCCTAATGGTACTGTGGCATTTCAATGGTCCAAGTTTGGTGCGTGTATTAATTCATGGAAAGTCTCCAAATGATTCTTTGGAGTATTGACCAAAATAAAAACTTTGGGTGTAGAATAATAAATAAAAGAAACTTGGGGACACACCAAGTTTGTATTCCTTGGGTTTTATTGATATAATTGTTGACATTTTTAGCGCCTTTCTAATGGATTTGCTACATTTGTTTTTCTATGAAGTTCATAGTTACTCATTGTTCGTGAAAGAGATTTACATCAAATCTACAACTTCGGCAATCAAATGCTTGTTTCTAGCATGACAAAGAAAAAAAATAATATTTTCGAAGCATTAAGTTTTGTTTTTTTCTTTTTCTTTTCTTTTCATAAAAAAATAAGGAAATCTCTGATCCATTCTTCGAGAAAGAGATCAAGAAAGAGATTAGTCATGCAACCCGTAAATTGAGTGCCATTTTTTTAGTTTTATCTTTAATTTAGATGGAATCAAGAGTTACAAACAATTTAATAGGGGTGCAATTCGGACGGGTTGGACGAGTTAGATAGTTAACCCTAACTCAATCCTAAATATATAATCTTCAATCCGAGCATTGCTCGAGTTTAATTCGAGTGGGTTCGGGTTGAACTCGGGTTCACTACAAGAGAGACAGAGGGAGGGAGAAATAATTACAAATTCATAAAACAATTCATATATTTCGTTCATAACAGTGTACAATTATTGATCTTATGCATTCACACCAAAAAACTAGTGATCTCAAAGCACAATCCCAGAAAACATAAAAATTAGACCCATAAAAACATAAAACTTAAAACATCACACTATCAGCACTAATCACGTATAATAGAGTAACAAGCAACAAGAAACAAAGGACGACGGAGTAAAAATAAAAAAAAGTGCTAATGCTATCTATATATATATATATATATATATATATATATATATATTTTTTTTTAATTTGTCGAGTTGGAGTTGGGCTTGAGTTCGGGATGCCTCAACCTGAACTCGGCTCAAATTGAATTCGGATAAGGATTTTTTGACCTAAGCCCAACCCAAGTATTAAAAATTCTAACCCAAGTCTTAATTTTTTCGGGTTGCCCAACTCTAATTGCACCCCTACAATTTATCCACTTTGAACTTGATTATCATGATTCAAAAACAAATATATTTTTTTTTTTTGAATCCAGATAATAATGTATAAAATCATATTTGTATTCCAGTATAGCCAAATTCACGTCGAAACGAATCTAACTTGTTGACAACCCTATGCATATATATATTTTTTATAATATTCTATCAGGTGTTAGATTTTTTTAATCTATCTTTTTTTATTTTGATGGATAAATAAAATTTGCTATCACGATTGAAAACAGGTAAGAAGTGAAATTAAGGAACTTAGCTCAAATTAACTAACCTAATGTAAGATTTTACATCTTCAAGGAAATAAAATAAAATTCTTGATTTTTTTGAAGGAAAAAAAAGCAAATTTTACAACAAAAAATGCCAAATAATATGACTATTACAAAATTTAAGAATATCTTGAAATGAATGATAATATTATTGAACCCTGACAGGTAGTCTAATAAAAAGAGAGATAAATTATAAATTTTGATGTATTGAGTTCGAAATTTGAAAATTCTCTGACTCTCTGAGAGATTTATTTGTCATTTATTATTTAGTCCTGATGTGAATAATCTATTTTGACCGAATTGAAAAGAAGATTAATCAAAGTCTGAACTTACCAAAGAAGAGATTTATCCCTCACAAAATTGTTTGATATTGAGGAGCATGTTGATGGTTGATTGAGTTGTTTAATATTATGGGTCGTGTAGAGAATTTGAAGTTTTTTTGTCGAAAATTTTTTTTGAGATAAATTTTGTATCATTAGATCAAAATAAATAAAAATTAGATCAATATTAACTGTTATTGTATTTTTATAAATTAAAAATTCAACTTTTTAATCGTCATTAGCCAAAAATAATACACATGTAAATTTATTATTTGTTTTACTCTTTTGATAAATAATTATAAATTAATTAATTAAAATTTTATAAACCACAAATTATTTTTCGAAATAATATTGTAGGCGGTTATGATTATTTGACAATTTAGAAGTGTTCAAAATTCTGTCCACCCGATCTATTTCATAATTTTTCGACCAAGTAAAAACATATGATAATCTCCCCTTACCTTTATATATAGGTTTAATAGTAAATTGTACCTAAAAAATTATTCGAATATCAATTCACACCTTTAAAGATAAATAAATTTCAATTTATACTTTCAAAAATATAAATCTGTATCAAAGTGCATGTGAAGCTAATATTCGTTAGTTTGTCGCTTAAAATTAAATGACTAAATTACACCCAAACCTTCTTATGTTTATTACTTAATTATCTAGACCCTTTATATTTGAAATATTACACTTATACTTTGAGAATCCAAATATGACTAAAAATATTTTCTCAATTAGACATTCAAATAATTATATTTAAGAGATATGTTGTCTTTGATATAAATATCTATATTATATTGGACATTTAAAGGATAAGCTTGATTTTGACCTTTAAAGCATAATAGATTCACAAAATAAAATATAATTTTTTATTAGGATAAAATTATATTTTTTAACAGTTATATTAACAAATATTAACGATAAAGGATTATGTGTTACACATGCACAAACGTTAGGAGGTGTAAAAATAATATATTAAATGTGAAGGGGTTCAAATGATTAAATGACAAATTGGTTTTAGGCGGCTGTCAGCTTCAGATACTCATTGAACCAAATTTATATTTTTTTTAGGGTACAAATTAAAATTTTTATCTTGGGTAATATTATGCTTACTAAATTTTGTTATCAAATTTTTATTTCAAATGATGTGGTATAATTTTTTATCATCGGATAAGTGAGTTTTATTAATATTCAATGCTTACTATCATATAAGTGGATCTGATTAATATTCAATAATTAAAATTGTGCCACATTATTTTAAATAAAAAATTTAATAAAAAAAATTTAGTAAACATAATATTTTAAATTTATCTTTTGACAGTAAAAATTAAGATTTTAGATAACTTTCGGTCCGATGCGAGATTCACCCTTATATATAAGAAAACTAGTGTTTTTCCAGCGACACCCAATCCCCTATTTCTAGGGTTTTTACTCCCTCTTCCTCTCTGATTCTGTTTATAACGATAGTTGCGAATTCTTTTCTATTGTATTCAGCTGAATTTAGGCTTCAGTTATTTCTAGGGTTTAGAATTGTTATTTTTTTGGCTTTCTGGTCGGTTAATTCTGTGAAACAATGCCTCCAAGAGCGGTCAAGAAGACACCGCCTGGGCCGGGGACGAAGCGAACAGCAAGGGCTACCCGAGGGACACCCAAGACGAAGAAACAGCCCGAAATCGCTGAAGAAGCAGTGAAAATTGACGAGGTTTCGGTGGAAGTTAAAGACGAGATGAAAGTTGAAGTTGTTGTTGAGGAGAAGCCACAGGCTGTGGAGGAAAAAGCCGTGGCGGTGCCCGTTCTGGCGCCAGAGGTGGAGAAGAAAACAGAGGCGACATTAGAGAACGGAACTGGAAAGAGTAAGTTTTTTCTTTGATTGATTTTTGTGATCTTGAGAGTTGACGGATGGTTTCTGGGTCTGATTAGTTGTGGCTTCACCTTTATAAATGTTGAACATGCATGTTAATATTGGTTAAAATTTGAAAAATTGGAATCTGGTCTGTGTGTGTTTAGGTTTTTTGTGTTTATTGAATGGTTTGTTGAATTTGGGAAGAATGGTGTTTTTAATGTGTTTATTGAAAGGCCCGTTTTCGGGTTTTTGTTGTGTCATACCTTGTGTTGAAAGATTTATTTGTTGTGTCATACCTTGTGTCGAAAGATTTATTTTTGCGAAATTAGGGGAAAGATGGTGTTTTTTTAGTGGGTTTGGTAGAAAAAAGGGCATTCGTTGCTTATGATTTTAGCTTTGTAATGTAGTGTTTTGACCGAAACTGGATTTTAATTGTTTTTGATGAAGGTTAAGAGAGTTTAGTTGTTAGCCAGAGGATTAGATATAGTCATGTGGGTGGATAGGGGAGATGTAGATCTTAATCGAGCAGTTTGTATGTTATATGATGGGTGGCTGAGGTTTTTTTTTAATCTCTGAAGATTATGGTCTCATACAGTCAACAGCTTCTTGATTGGTCTGCATATGAGTTACTGTGTTTTTCACCATTGATGCTGCCTTCTTGAATTAACTCAGCAGAATGGTTGGTTGAAATTTTCTAACTTAGAAAAATTAAAACAAATGTATAAGGTCTGTTCTTTGTATTGTCTCCATTTGTGTCTTCTTTTCCCTCCTGAGTTGATGTATGATTCTAGTAGTATTTTCCGATAGCTGTTGGCTCCAGTGGTGTCTCCTGCTCCTCCAGATTCTGAAGGTGTGGGGTTCTACTCCTGAATAGGGAGAGGGGGCTTGGTTAAGGGTTCCTTGTATTTGTCAAGTTAGAAAATATCAAAAAGTTTGAGTGGCAGATATGTGACTGTATTTTGCCACATTGTACCATTCTAATCTCTGGTGGAGAGAATCTTTCATGAGCAGAAAGTTGTTATGTGCTCTTGTTTTACCTCTTGTATTGGGTATATGATTTAAGAGCACTGGTTGATTACCAAAACAATGTCAAATATGTTTGTTGTTGTTTTCAGCTAATGAATGTTAATTCTAGTAAGTTAGTGTTAGAAAGACTTGGAACTGTTTGTACTTTCACTTTGTTGACTGGCCTGGATGTGTGTATCTCCTTTTTCCCCTGGCAGAGGAAGATGAGGTCAAAGAGTCTGTTGAGGAATATGAAAGAAGTGAACGATTGGATTTGGAGGATAATGAGCCTGAATATGAACCTGAAGAATATGGTGGCCTGGATTATGATGAGAAGGGAATTGAACAGGAGGATGTTCATGAGGAGGGAGATGAAGTGGAGGAAGAACTTGAGCATGGGGATGTAGTTGGAGAGGAAAAGGGTGATATGGTTGAGGAAGAAATGGAAGAGATACAGGAGGAGGTTGAGGATGAGGAGTTTGATGAGCATGCTGGAGAGAAGCATACTGAGATGGTTGATGCAGATGAAGAAGAACACCATAGAGTGTTTAAAGAGAGGCGCAAGCGGAAGGAGTTTGAAGTTTTTGTCGGGGGCTTGGACAAGGAGGCGACTGAGGAAGATCTTAGGAAAGTTTTCAGTCAAGTTGGCGAGGTTACTGAAGTCAGGCTTATGATGAACCCTCAGACTAAGAAGAACAAGGGGTTTGCATTCCTGCGTTTTGCAACCGTGGAACAGGCAAAACGAGCTTGTAATGAGCTGAAAAATCCAGTGGTATTTCCTTGATTCTGTCATAGTTATAATGTGAAGTGATTCTTACTTGTTTGTTGAATCATTTCTTCTTGACGATCCATACTCCAGGTTAATGGAAAACAATGTGGTGTTACTCCAAGTCAAGACAGTGACACACTGTTTTTGGGTAACATATGCAGGACATGGACAAAGGAAGCTGTAAGTAGATTAGGGCAAATCAAATTGATGTTGTCCAAGCATCAAGTTATATGTATTAGATTACTGAGAGTTTCTTAATTGCTGTCTCACTTGCAATTACATTTGGTTCCAGTTGAAAGAGAAGTTAAAGCATTATGGAGTTGAGAATATTGAGGATGTGACCTTGTTTGAAGACAGTAATAATGAAGGAATGAATCGGGGTTTTGCTTTCTTGGAATTCTCGTCTCGTTCAGATGCCATGGACACTTTTAAACTTCTGCAGAAGAGAGATGTCATTTTTGGAGTTGATAGGCCTGCTAAGGTTTCTTTTGCAGATTCCTTCATTGACCCAGGTGATGAAATCATGGCTCAGGTAAATACTTTGATCGCGACTTCTCTGAATTCAACCAAGAAGACCAATTATATCTCGATGGTTAAGCTCCATTTTGTTCATCCATCTATAATGCTGTGTATATTGCTTGGCAAAGGTTCTAGTAAATTCCCAAGTGGCTTCAAGAATGAAGCTTGTTTTTATTGATGGAGAATTCAGTCATGGTTATTTTTGTCAAGTGTCAACATGTTTGTGGTTGGGTTTGTCTTAGTTACAATGTCAACAATGTTTTTTCCCTTGGTGAAAATAACTTAAATTAAAAGGAAGAAAGAAAGGGTTGGAAGTTTTATGATTTGTTTCCTCCCTTCAATTTTTGATGATTTAAGATACCACTATGGCCATTGTCTTTGGTTTCAGAGTAATAGAAATTCTTTGATTTTTTTTTCCCGGTAAGTGTGAAATTATTTGGGTAGGTGGCCCAGATACAAATTAGCTTTCAATGAACACATAATGTATATCCTGCTTCTGGTGTTTTTTGGGATGACTTTAGCTGATGGTGTGCTGTGCTTTTATTCCCTTTCAGTGCTGACACTATAACTTTGAGATAATTCTGTTGATTATATAGTTTTGAGTTCAGGTTAAAACTGTTTTTGTGGATGGTCTGCCTGCTTCATGGGATGAGGATCGTGTCCGGGATCTTCTCAAGAAGTATGGTCAGGTTGAAAAGATTGAGCTTGCTCGTAACATGCCATCTGCCAAGAGAAAGGATTTTGGATTTGTCACATTTGATACCCATGATGCTGCAGTGACATGTGCTAAGAGCATTAATAATGAAGAGTTGGGAGAAGGGGGTAATAAGGTTGGTCTTTTTCCGTAACGTTATTTTTGGGTTGTTTTTATCTGTTCAAGTGGCTTCTTTTGACAGCTAGTTTTTCAGGCTAAAGTCAGGGCTCGCTTATCAAGACCACTTCAAAGAGGCAAAGGGAAACATGTTGTTCATGGAGATTTCCGACCTGGTAGTGGGGCTGTACGAGTTGCTAGGGGTCCATGGAGTCGTCCGGTTCCACGTGCTTTTCCTCATAGGGCTAGAGGATTTGGAGGACACATGCCTCCTGCTGTTGATCGTGATCTGAAGAGGCCTGTTGGATTTAGGGATCGACGACCAGTTATGGGTATGCCATCAAGGGGCAGGCCGCTGGCTCCTCCATCAAGATCCTATGACAGGAGACCACCTGGTATGCATAGATTCTTATATTTTCAGTTGGATATGTTGAATCTGATATATCAATTGTAGTAAAATATCCTGCTTATTGGAGAAAATTATATTATTAAATGTTTTACCTACAGTCCCTTCATACCCCCGGAGTAGCTTGAAGAGGGATTATGTCCGGCATGAGGAGTTGCTTCCAAGAAGCAGAGCTGCTGTTGAGTATGGTTACAGAGGTGCATCTGAGAAACATGCATCATACAGGGATGACTTCTCCCGTGGATCCGGATATACTGATTTGCCCAGAGGTACATCTCGCCCTGTGGCTAGGAGAGCTTATGTTGATGATGGCTATGGGCAAAGGTTTGAAAGGCCTCCTCCAAGTTACCGGGAGGGACACAGTCGCGAGTATGACTCAATATCTGGTTCAAAACGTCCATACACAGCAATGGTTAGTTAATGTGTCTTTTAATCATATACGATGGTGATTTGTATGTTTTCTTTGTTTTTATTGGATTATGTTTCTTTATTTTCCCTACTCTTTTTCTGCTTTGGCTAAACTTAACTCTGCTGTGTTCTAATATTTGTTGATGCTATAAGGACGATGTTCCTGCACGATATGCTGAGGCAGGAGTACGCCAGTCGCGTGCCCGCTCGGATTATGAACTTGGTGGTAGTGCTTCTCATTATGGTGATACCTACAGTGATAGGTTGGTTATTGAATTTAGACCTAAAGCAGTTTAAAAGTTCATTTTGATGTTGTAATTTGTGGGCTTACCTATCTTTGTTATTTTTGGCAGGCTTGGGAGGTCTAATCTAGGATATGGTGGCAGCAGAAGCTCCATTTCCAGTCAAGATTCACGTGGGCTTTATAGCAGCAGTCGTCAGGGTACGGGTTATGGTGGAGGTGCGTTTTACATTTCATATTTCAATGATATACATTTACACTAGTGTTTTGGGCTATAATATGTTTTGTGCTCATATTTGTTGTGGCTTGCAGGCTCTTATGGTGGCAATGATGTTGGTGAGATGTACTCATCAAGCTTTGGTGATGATTATGTGTCTCGTGGGAGTGATGTATGTTATTTCTTCCAAATGTTCTACATGTGGAATTTTTGGTGTTCACCATCATTCCTTTGTTTCTCATAGTTGTGTTTTTCCTGGTATTGCAGGTTGGTGGTAGTTCTTACTCATCACTATATTCGGGCCGTGGCTTGGGTGGTAGTAGTTACATGGGAAGTGGTGGTTCTGGATCATACTATTGAGGTATGTCATATTGTCATCCTATGCCATGTGATTGATAAAGTTCAGGGAGAATGAGTATTTGTATGGCTTCGTTGTCTTGCGTTTAGGATCAAGGTTGCAGAAAACATAGCTTCTGTTTCTTCTTCAGGAGCTGTGGTAGAAAAGGACCATTGTAGTTACTAGTGAATTTCTGTGTGGTACAGATTTGAGTTGACAGCGGCTGCTGTGGGATGTGTGGATTATGTGAAGCTTATGCATTGTGATGTCCCCAGAGTTGAAAAGGAAACATTTTACCAAGCATGACAAGCCTCTTCTGGTTTGGTTGAGCTGAAGGTCTTTTAGTTTTGAATTTTAGTGGTGGTATGTTGCTCCAGGCCATCTTAGACCTCAATTTGGATATTCTGTCAGCTTGTATTTTTTCTGCTGTAAGGAAACAAGTTATTCAAAGTTCAAAACAAGACATGATTAGAATGTGGTATTTATGAATGCATGGTTGTTATTTGTATCTAGCTGTAAGATTTTGATGGACAGAGGAGGTTAGTTGCTATATCGGGTTTCATTGGACGAAATATGCAATGGTTAATTCTCGAGGGGTTTTAATGTGGTCCAGGGTTTTTGGACAAAGTAAGAATTTGAATTCATCATATCCAGTTCTAACTAATCCTATTATTTTGGTGTTGCAACCCTTGAACCTATATCATAGAACATAGAGGATTATCTGCCAAAATGTTTTGACAGTGTTGTCTTAAGGACTATGCACTTGTGGATCAACGTTCTTCACACAATGCTCTCCTTATTTTTGGAAATGAGAGGTCAAGATGGTGTTGAATTATCCTTTAGAGGGCAGAAGTGGATGTGTTCACATTTGAGTTCTGCCTTTTGTCAGATATTTTGCAGCCTTTCCAATGTGTCTAATCTTTCTTCAAAGGTTGCAAGTTGGACTTGGTCTTTCCACATTGAATAATCTTCAACCAGCATTGATGTAGGACTCTCCTTTATGGATTTTATTTGGCCAAAAGTTACTGGACGTTGTCTTGTTAGACCTAACTTGTTGCAAAAGGAAAATTATGAGTGGTAGTGCAAGTGGCGGTTGATCCATCTATGTTTCAGTACATTGTCAATTGTAGATCACTGAGGCTAAAGTTGGTTGATGGAACCTATTTGTTCTCTTCTTTGGTGCCTATGGTCTTTTGATATGGTCATATTATTAGTTGGTACTACCTTTTTCTCTTGCGAAATTAGATTTTGTGCTGCCTGTAGTTTTGCGTGCAAATTATGTCAGGTGGTGTGCCCCATTACATATCTAATGCTTAATGAGGTTAGATTTTATCCAGCATGTGCTGCTTAACATTGGTGATATTTGACTCGCATGGATTCATTAAATATCTTCAGATGTTTGTTATGGGGAAAGTCAACAGGAACACAATAGTTCTTGGCTGGATGAGAACTAATTTGTAAATGACATGTGAAGCTAAAACATTGTAGAGGCTTTTTTATCTTTTAGTTGAAAGTGTGGGATTTGGAAACCTAGGTCTTCTTACACGATTAGAAGGAACTTGCCATCATTGCAAGGGGTGCATTGATAATGACATTGTGCATGGGTTTTGGAAATTCTGCCGTATAATCCTCTAGAGTGCTCTGACTTTCAGAAACCTTCAAAGTAAGTCAAGGACTTTTTGAGGATCAGGTAGATAACCATTCTTCAAAAAGAATCTATAACCCTTTTTGAATAAAAGAGATGCATAGCAATTGCACTATGTATATTGTTCTTGCTTGGCGCGCTGGTAAAACTGTTGGGGGTTAACAACCATGATGTTGTGGGTCAAGATCTTAGGCCAGCCACTTTTGTGATTAAAGTTTAGGTCTGTATCATATGTCCATCGCTCCTGGGGACACTTATATATTTGAGACTGGAAAATATTTTTTTAGGATCGGGAATAGGCGTTATCAAACCTTCATTATACATATCCAGGAGGTCGCATATAGAATCATTAGTTCAGTGCTGGACTCCCCGTTAGTTGTTCTGGCATTTTCTGGTACCCAAATTCGAAATATTGTTTGGCACTATCCCAAAAGTGTATCCTGCTAGAGATTTTATTGGATCTTGTGATAAGTCTTTGACAGCTATGTTGTATCTGGCTCCTCTGTAACATCTTGTTGATTACGGCAGCAAAACTAGGTTGGACTATTTTTTGTTGATTATTAGGGCCCAGTGAACAAGTAGTCTCCTTCGTGGGTGCTACTTTTGTCATTGATTTGTTAAGTTCAATAGGATGCATGTGCTTCGTTATGTAACAGGTATTTTGATTCTATTGTTATTTTTTGTGATTGAAAGTTGAGTGCTTCCATGTGGTAGAAACGTGGGAAACTATTTTGTTCTGTAATTTTTTGACCTTCTGTTGTCTCGGGAATATTGTCTGGAGCAACTGGATCTTTTGAGATGGTCCCAAATGGTAATGTCCTTGTTTGTGACTTTGGTGTCGCAATGGAATGTTACACTATTGTATTCTGAATGCCGTTTTGCGCTTTATTTCTATTCTGCATTTCATTTTCTAGAAAGTTTATGCTCTGAATCTAGAACTTGATGCTAGTTTATTATCGTTGATAGATTGACTTTTTCTCTGTTCTAGTTGTTGGCCAAATTATGTTAATGAATGTTATGTTTTTGCCATATTGATTTACCTAACCTGCCTTGTGTAACTTCATTACCCTTCGATGCAACTTATTCCTATGTTGTTATAGTCAACCTGCATGAAGCAATAGTTGTATGTTTTATGGTTTTTTTTTTGAGGAGGAAGAGGAAGAAAGAAAAAGGAGGGGGTGGGGTGTTGATACCTTCTTAATGGTCAGGGAGTTCCTTTTTTTGTACTACAACTTTTGTTTTCTTTGAAGTTTTAGCCAATAATTGGCATCCCCTATCGTCTTTTCGAAGGGTTATAAATCAGATGTGGATATATATTCTGTATGTATTTGTCCCTTTTTTAAGTTTTCAAGTTCACAGTGTTTGAGGTCCTGAATGGTTTTTGCTTGGCAGCAAGAAGAATGTCAATGCATTTGGTATCCTGATGTGCTAATGTTCTTAATAAATTATTATTCGATGATGTAATACGTTTCCGGCAATGTAAACTGTTCTTTGTGAAATGAAATATTTGTGTTTTGGATGTCCATACTATTTTAAAGAAAGAACGATCGACTCTTATTATCCAGCGGGGGGGGGGGGGTGTGTTTTGATCGAATGGTTTTGTTGTTAATTCTGTTGCCTGCTAGAGATGCTTTTTAAGAACTTGGGAAGTCTACATCTGATTCCATCGAGTAGTAACCCTTTTTGAAAGCACCTTGCAAAGGTTGCTTTCAAGCATGGTTTGGTTGCATGGAGGGTTTCAAACGTGGTTTAGTTTCTCGTGAATGATTTATTTTTAACTGGATTAAGGAGAGGATTAGTCAAGTTGTGCTTAAAAAATATTAAATATTGAATGTAACGATGACGTGATATCATTAATGTCATTAACCAATAATAGAATACCAAATGGACTAATTGAGTTCTATTGTTTTAATAACTACTATTTTCATATTGAAATGATGGGGGTGGTGTCACCCTTACAGCCAAAATCGCAATGAAGGGCGAAATTTCCAATCGATGCACCACAAACTCCACCAGTACTTTAGCGATCAGGTTTACCAATCTTCCTTCCCCCAAATGGTTCCCCATTTTCATTTCCGAACTGGTAATCGTCTCTTTAGCCAAGAGGAATCAGTAAGTCAAGAAACAAACAAACATTTTTTATACCGTACATGGCATGCTGGGTTTCAAATTATATAAAGGGTAAATTATGGTTTCACCCCCCTCAACTGTGACCTTTTTTCACCTTACCCCTTTAACTACTGAATTTTTTATATTATTCCCTCAATTACTTCGATTGTTTCACATTGTCCCACTCCCAAAATATCCTTTATATTTTTGGACGAAAATTGTTGACGTGTCAGAACAAAGTAAAAAAAAATTACATAAATCAGAAATAAAATAAAATAATTTTTTGTTGAATATGTAACATATGTTAATAATTGAGACAATATGAAACTAATTACATAATTGAGGAAAAAAATTTAAAAAAAAAAAGAAGTCATAATAGAAGCGGTCAAAGTATACTTTGCCCTTATAGAAAAATCATTTCCAAACCTTGAGCATAAACTTGTGCATCACCAACACACCCCTCTGTCAAACTCGATGCATATTTTAACTTTAAGCAATGATATTGAAATTTAATTTACCGATCTAATTCTCTTTACAAGCAATGCTATTTAGACAAAAAATTTTGACCGACACTTACTAACTTTCAACATCACTATCATTGATTTGATTGTGAGTCCTAGAATTTATTATCTATTCAATTGTTGTGATGAAAAAAGTCAACAAATGTTACCAATATTTTTTGTCCAAATAGCATTTCTCTTAACTGTAACTCTTGCATTGATTGTGAATTCTATTAAACATTGAAATTGAATTGTGGACTTCAAGCCCTGTTCTTTCAAAAATACTAGGATATTGTTGGTAATTCTGTGTGTACTCTTATTAAGGACATGATAGGTAACAGAGTTTGCCCAAGAGACCTTAATAAAACCTGGGTTACTCTTATACATAAAATTGATAATCCTACGCAAATCAATCAATTTAGACCCATCAGTCTCTATAATGTCCCTTATAAAATTCTGACTAAACTGTTAGTAAATTGACTTAGACCTTTCCTAGATAATCTAATCAGCCCTAACCAGTGTAACTTCATCCCAGGTAGACATACTATTGATAATGTCATTATAACTCAAGAAATCATCCATTGTTTAAGAAGGAAAAGAGGGAAGAGTGGGAGAATGGTCATTAAAATTGACTTAGAAAAAACATATGATAGAGTCAACTGGAGGTTCCTTTATGATACTCTATTAGACTTTTATTTCCCTCGGTCTTGGATTGATATCATCATGAGTTGTGTTACAGGATCTTCTCTTTCCATTCTTTGGAATGGCTCTCTTATGGATCTTATTAAATCTAAAAAAGGCTTGAGACAAGGACATCCTCTATCCCCTTATTTGTTTGTTTTGTGTATGGAACGCCTGGAGCAACTTATTCTTGAAAAGTCCAAGAAGGCAAATGAGTTGGTTTGAAAGCTTCTAGGAAAGGACCTCAAATTACTCACTTATTTTTTGCTGATGACATTATTTTGTTTTCAAGAGCGACTGAAAGAGGTTGTCTAATGATAAAGAATGTGCTCGAAGATTTCTACTCCTTGTCAGGTCAGAAGATTAGTCTTAATAAATCAAAAGTTTTCTTTTCCCCGAATATTAGTAAAAGTCATGCTCTTTTTTTTAGCAAGAAATGTAGTGTCTCTCACCGATGATCTTGGAAAATATCTAGGTGTTCCTATTTTTCATAAAAGATATTCTAAAGAGCACTTTAAGTTTATCATTGAGAAAATCCAAAATAAACTTAGTGGGTGGAAAGTCAAGTCTCTTTCCTTGGCTGGTAGAATCACCCTTGTCAAGTCTGTTACTTCTACTCTCTCGAATTATGTGATGCAAACCAATTGGCTTCCTCAAGCTACCTATGACCAAATTGATAGACTAAATAGAAACTTTCTATGGAGTGACACACCTGTTAAAAGGAAAGTTCATATGGTAAAATTGGGATAGGGCGTGTTCCCATAAGAAAGATGGGGGGCTGGGATTAAGAAAGAGTAGGGAGAATAACTTAACATTGTTAACTAAACTGGGTTGAAAAGTTAAAAATAGAGAGAAAGCTCTTTGGGTTGATGTAGTTAGCAACAAATATGTTGATCAGAGATTAGCAGCAAATATGTTGATTAGAGGCCTCAAGTCTGGTTGTTCACCAACCTTGAAAGCAATTGGAAAGACTAAAAATATCGTGGATATTGGTTGTGAATGGCTAATAGGAGATGAGAAACATATTAACTTCAGCACTGACTGGTGGTGGGGTAAGGGCCCTCTTGTGCAACAGGTTATGCATCCAGAGTTTATGAATCTCAACAATAAAGTGGCGGATTTCATTGATGGTAGTGGTAATTGGATCCTCCAGGAGGCAGGTAATTTTCTTCCCCACTATATTATTCTTGAGATTTTACAATCTCCATGTCCATTAACTGCTCAGTTTCAGGATAAGATCTGTTGGGATTTATCGAGCAATGGTAAGTTCTTTACTAAGGCTGCTTTTGATCTTATTTCTATTCCTAGTCCTAGTTGGTCCCCTTCTCTTCACTGGAATCGAATATGCGAGTTAAATCTTCCACAAAAGATAATTCAATTTTTGTGGATTGTTCAACATGATAGGCTTCTCACAAATAATCTTAGAGCTTCAAGGACCATGGCTAGTGACGCTTCCTGTACTAGATGTCACCACCCGACTGGAACATCCCAGTATGTTATTTTTGAGTGCCCCAATGCACAAAGAGTTTGAAATTTTTTTGATCTGACCCAAGGAGAGGATGTTAATCAGCTAGGGGGGCTACAGAGTTGGATCCTCTTAAATTTTAAACTAAGAAAGAATAAGGAATGGAAAGGAATTAACTGGTCCACCATGTGTGCATGTGTCTCATGGTGTATATGGAAGGATAAGAATAGGGAAAGTATTGCTAACAATTCCACGCTTCCTAAATTAGTCGCTAGGGAAGCATGGCTCCTAGCCTTGGACACTATTAAGGCTTTCCAAAATTCTCTTTATGATTCTTCTAATTGTTCTCCTTGTTTTATTGCATGGACTTTCCCCCACTTTCCCTCACACAGGTTGGAACAAACTGAATATAGATCGATGCTCGAAAGGAAATCCTGACCCTGCTGGAGTGGGAGGAGTTATCAATAATGATCAAGAGAACTGGATTGCAGGCTTCTACGAAAAGATGGAGGATTCAACAAGCCTACAGGCTAAATTATGGGCAATTCTCAAGGATTTGGAGCTGGTGCAAAAGAGGAACATCACTCGTATCACTGTGGAAACCGATTCTATTGAAGCTGCTAAGCTTCTGTCCAAGGACCCGAAAAGCACTCATCCCAACAGACTTGTCATTTTACAATGTAGAAGACTCATGGAGTTTAACCACATACCCTTAGAGAAAGAAACCAATTCACCGATCTTTTGGCTAATCTTGGGGTCCAACAACTTGATACTTTTGTGGAGTTGGAGAAGCCCTCTCCCCAGTTGGCTAATTTTTTGTTAGCAGATATGACCAATGTTGCCTTCGCTAGGAACTCTATTTAATGTCTTCTTTATATATATCTTTCCGATGTACCAAAAAAAAACATTGAAACTGAGTTAATTTAATGATTACAATGAAACCACATCATTAGGTCAACAAATGAGATTAAATTTTTAGGTCCCAATTGCATTACTCTTTAACTTTTAAGTATCAGGACAAGAGAGAAAGCTTTACTTCTGTGCCAAACTCAAAATACAGTGAGAAGACAAAATTATAAAACTGTCCCCTATGCAACTTTACAAGAAGCAAAATTCTTTTTTGCACACAAAACTTACAGTCATGATAACCAAAACTCTATCTTGAAAAAGCAGTAGGTAAAATTAATCAACATTGGTACCAAACAAGTCGTTTATCTTTCTCTCATTCCTCTCTAACTTTAAATATATTTCTATTCTTTTACAGACTGAGAAAGTAGAAAACTCTGAGATCCTACTCATCAGACCAGTCATAAGGAAAAAACAAATTCAAGGAATCACCATTCAGTACTGGAGACAACATGACTCAACCATGTTGACTACGTGAACACAAAATCTTTCAGAAGCCATAATATCTGGAAGGGAGTGGATTCTCATGCAATACAAGTGAAAATATGCATCAGTTTAAAAGATCATTTAGCGGCGAGTGAAATTCTAAATGAAAGAAGAAACAAGCAACAAGAAGCTGACTACTTCATAGCACCAAATGGAATGTTCACAAACTTGCCCTTCTACCATGCAAACAAACTCAATCGAACCAAAATATATATACATTAGCTACGTTTCTTCACATTTTTGTGTAATATTCTTCTTCAACAAGACCAGGTTGAACATAGAAATGTCAGAGGAGTCACAGTGACTAGCAATGTTTGTCTAATAAACCGAGAAGTAAAAATAATACCATGCAATACTTTCAGTTTCTCACAGTAGTCACACTCGAAGAACAATTGTTAAGGATCATTCAATACCTTCTTTTTGATTAAGGATCATTGGCCCCAAGTGTGTTCCGATGCTTGAGGCTTGGGATTTTGTTTTCATGTCTCTTTTGCTATGCTCATAGTTTTGCTTTTTAACTCTCTCTTTTATTTTATGTATTTTTCTTGTATGTAACTTTTATCAAGGAGGACTCCTTGTCCTCTCATGTATTCTTTCATGATTTTATTGAGAACTAATAAATTTTCATGTTTCCCACAAAAAAATGATCATTTTGGAAGACAATAATCTCCTTCAGGGGTGATAGCATTAATTTAACAACACAAGGATCAAACTTTGAAGAACAAGCAATAATTTCAAGAACAATGTAAAGCCCATATCTGCTCTCAAGACCATCAATCATAAATCTCTCAAAAATGCTTGGAATTCTTAGAAGCTACTGTAGATGGCTCCATAAATTCTTAGAAACAAGCTCCCATTCAAACATAACCTATTATGCTTTCATCGATTTTGCAAAGGTAAAACGCTGGTTTGAAAATCTTTACCCTATAGATATCCAACAACATTCTCATTCCTCCCCAAACTAATCTTTGGTAGGTCATTTTCCATTATTGATTCCCACATAGTTTCAACTCTAGTTTCCCAACTCATAAGTCAGATCGGAACATATTAAATCACGTACTAAAACAAGCAGACATTAAATCAGATACGCAACTTGTAAACAGTGTAAAGTTTCTATTCCCTACAGATTAAGAATCATAACCAAATGTACAACATTGACGAAAGATGCTTCAACGTTAGATAAGCTTCTCTCTTATGCTTGAATAAGAAACAAAACACAGATAATGATACCATTGACAGTAGATGTGGTTTTATGAAAAGAACCAACTTGGCAAAACATGTCGTACAAAAAACAAACTATAACTACTCACATCTGAAATTTCTCTACTAATAAAAATTCACGAAAGATGTAACCTCTAAGGAATTCTGAATGGAATTGTCAACTTTCAAACTTACATATGCTAGTCCAGTGACCAAACCAATGGCCTCTATCATTAGCTCCAGCAGGTCCCCAATATCAGAGAGTTTCCTAACTCTGTGCCGCACATCAAAAGAACCAGATTCATCACTACTCCTCACCAAATGGTATAAACCTATAATCCAATGCCAACACATCTAGGCCTCCGGTGTTGGCATTCTCTTAGCCTTCTTGTTTTTCTTATACGAAAATGCCTTGGCAAAGGCCTCCACAATCCGCTCCTGGGACTGAAGAATCATCTCAGTCCTCTTCATCTCCATCTCCATCCGCATTGCCTCCACCTCCCTCGCCACCTCCATCTTCATCCTCTCCATCCTCACAAACCCATCTCCCAAAGCCTTAATTGCCGACACCATCTCCACCGCTGGATCCCCTTCTTTCCTCTTACCCACCCCCTCATCACCACCCCTCTTTCCCATTCCAAATCTCCCCATATACCCATCTCTCAAAACCTTACTAGACCCAAAATTAGGGTAAGGATTGGGGCTATAACCAAGGTTTTCATCAAATTTCTTGCAAATCTTTTCCTCAGGTGGTTCAATACTCGACCGCCTGGGAAGTCTAATTCGAAACCCACTTCCACCAGCACTTCCATTACCACTTCCACCACCAATCCCATTCCTTAAAGACCCATAAAAGCTCCTAGTATTATAAGGAACTTCATGTTTAACACTTCTTGGGTACAAATCTTGATCTGGGTCAACTTGATCGTCCTCAAATTCTTCATCCTCATCGCGGTCAACGGGACCTGTATTGACCGGGACCGCCGACGAGGTTGAAGAACCCTTTTCCATGGAGTCCATCCTCTTGAAGTGGACCCAGGACGAGCAGTACCGGCCACTGGGTGTAGCATAGGCGCGTTGGAGCTCGGCTCGGTATCGTTTGCGGAGCTTTTCCATCTTGTGGCGGCACTGGACGGAGGTTTTCGGTGGATTGATGGGGCATTTTCCGGCGACGGCGTCGGCGACTTCTTGCCAGTGTGGGGCCCTGAGGTTGCCTCGCCGGAGAGAGTACCATTTGTCGCGATACCCATCGATGAGGGCTACGGTTTCATCATGGGACCAACACGGTGGCGGGAGGCGGCGAGAGGCGGTGGAGGACGGTGGTTGTTGTGGTGGGCTGCCAGGTGCGGTTTGTGGGTGGTCTTGAGCTGATGAGGAAGAAGTAGCCATGGTGGGTTTGGATCTGGGTGTGGAGGTAAAATATATGGACGTAGGCGCACTTTAGCCAATGGAGAAAGAGAGGAGGAGGTGGTGGTGGGAGGTGGTGGTGGTGGTGGTGTGGTAATAATATCATATTGAATTATTGAAGGCTTGGTCAGTATTAAAGGTGGGTGGTGCGGGGTGGGGGTTTGGGGGGAGCAGTGTGCGGCTGACCTGGAGATCTAGAAAGTTGTGGCCACCGCTTAGGGTGGGGTGGTGGGGATGGCTAACGTGCGCCGGGGGTGGGGGCGAGAGTGTCAGGTGCTCACCTTAACAAAGGGGTTCGGTTTTGTTGCTTTCTTTGACTCAGCCCACCACCGGACCTGGCGTAGTGCGCACCCACCACCCAGCCGGTATGGGTGGCGCGGCTCAGGCTTGGTGCTCTTGTGTTTGGGCTTTGGCCTTCAGCCTTCTTTTTGCTTGGGCGGCGGTGTTTCGTTGCTTTGTATGGCGGGTGATTTGGAATTGGGGGGGGGGGGGGGGGGGGGGGGTAAGACAATAAATAAGAGTAAGTAGATAATGCAAAATGAATGAAAAAGGTAAATTACACTAACATCCCTATAGATTTTTGCAAGTATAGAAACAACCTTTGCATTTTTTCACAGTTCAAAGTATGGAACTATTTTCATCCCCAAATTATCATTTTCCACCCCGTATTAAACAAGAGTGCTACTTCCACTCCATTTTATACCTCCATCAACCAACACCACCCACCAACCCTATCTAACATTCCCTTAGCAGTCTTCACGATGGATGCAGAACCTAAAATAAAATGGGTAGCTCTCGACGTTGCTCCATCGTTGGCGTTCTTGAGGATCTTAAGATCAAAATTAAATGCTCCATCATTGTGAAGGCTTTCACAAAAAGACTCTTTGGTTCTGGCGAACAAATCATATTTGAAATTGTATTTTAGGGGTGAAACAACTCCACCATATTTGAAATTGTATTGACACTCTAAAGTGTTATTGAATGCACAAAGTTTTCAAAAGTTTTTTTTTTTTTTTTGCATTTTATAATTATTGATGCAAAAAATTGTTTCCCTAGAGGAACTTAATAACCATCGACTTTTTGCCTAAAAGACGATAATGTAAATCAAGGGCACTAAAAACAAATATAGAGTGTTAACTAGAGAGTCTCTGATGTTTAAGTGATAAAAGAGAGTTAAGGTTTTCACCTTATCCAACGGATAAAAATTATAATATTTCATTTTTTTATCTTATACTTTACGAAAAGCTTTTTTCTTAACTGACCGTACTCGATCAAATATATTATTTTGGCCGAATTCCATTCAAAACAATCGAGTAGAAAATCAGGTGAACACATATTTTTTAATTATTAAGTTTTGAATTATTTTATATAATTATAATAAAACACAATAAGAAAGTCATAAACATCAATACATAATAATTGTTGTACAAATACAATAATGAAGAGATTGCCTCAATCGTGAGAGAAGCCAAAAGAGGCGTGAGAAGGAGGCGTTAGGGATTTTTAGGGTTTTTTTTGCACATTAACACACATATATTTTTTAAAAAATATTTAAAAAAAATATGTGCGGATCGAATAGGGTAGAAATATGAAAATCTTGTGAATCTTTTACATTCTTACCTATTTTTTTTACAGAATACTAAAAAAATTTCTGTTGCCCTAACCAATATTTTACAAAAGCCAATTAGTAGAGTCGAGTAGGGTCGTAATATGCGACTAAGCAAAAATTTAAACACCCCTAAAGAGAACTGAGTTGGTGCTTAGAGTTACTTGTTGGCATGAGAGTATGTCTTTTACTTAAAAGGTCCTTTTTTTTTATCATATGCATCTTGAGTTCATTAAAATTTTGTAGTTTTACCAACCTCTTACTCACCCTATCCTCGATTTTTAAAATTTTTCTCGTTGAAATTTTTCTCATCAACAATTTTTAGGAAATTTTCTCCTATGTTGTATACGGACCTTTGTTTATATGAAGGCAAAAATTCATTAGAATCCTTATCAATAAACCCATTATTGACTTGAATTGAGTAAGGTATATGATTTTCCCACATGAGTTTCCCCTTACAATGTTTTGTTGTTCAGCCTCAACTTAAGTGAACGAAGTAGCTATTTGTGGATAGACTTCTCATACTTTTCTTTTTGGTTTTCTTGATATCATGTATGATTTATAGTCGTTTTCCTATCTTTTAGTTCAACGATTAAGAGTGTCTGAATCGGTTTACATGCACCTTAACTAATCTTCTCTCTGTTTTAGTCAAAAACAGTTCTTCCATACCGGAAATTAGGGTATTCATAAGATATAACTCTCTCATGTCTTAGTTCCAAAGAATTACCAAGATTCAAACTCAAAACATCTAAATTTACAATTCGTATCTACTACTACTTGAATCACACTCTGAGATTATTGCATAATTATCTTTAGAAAAAGGGATTGGTCTTGTTTTGGTTCTTTTAGTGAACTCTTTTCTTTTAAGATCTATCTTTTTTAGAACCCTTAAGGGCTAAGTGTAACCTTTTCCTCAATTGACTTTTTTGTAAAATCCTAACCCATAGTATTTGCCATTTAGTAGTATGGTTGACCTTCTCAACTCTTCTTTATTTTGTCACAGGGTAACTTTCGTTTTTCTTTTGAGGCAACCTGTGAAGGCGTTGCTATTACAACCAGTCACACTCAACTCAAGAATAAGGGACAAAAACTCACACAGAAGGCACACACAAATCTACTGGGACAACACTCCCAAACCTTATATATTGAACTCAACAATTTACAAGGACTCTCAAAAGTCAGAACACTCTCCCCTCTCTAGAATGCTCAAGCACCTCTATTTATACAAGAGGAAGGTAAATGACACCCCCATCTGCCAAGGGGTAGTTACCCACGTTTTTGTTATTCCATAGCATACTGGACTAGTAGACTTGGTCTCTGTGTAACACCTGGCAGACAGTTCCACCACTTCAAGTAACTGCTGTGGAACTACCCCTTCATCAGCATGCCTCTAGACTGGATTCAGACTGGGGACATCCAGAACTGCCTTAGCAACTGCCTTGATTGAGTCTCAGCATCATAACTGCCCACATCCTCCTGGTCACATGCATTGAGCAGCCATGTGCCAATCAGGTGCCCACATTCAGCAGTCATGTGCCCACATTCACCAGTCAACCTTGCTACTCGAACCAATGTGCATGCTGGGTTCAACCCATGCCATGCAATCCGAAACTCTGCACCCACATTGCTTCAATTGAGCCCACCCATGCTGTCATACTCAACCGGGTGGTCTCATGCGGCCTTGGTTCGCCCCAATCTGTCGAACCACTTAGCCGCGTCACCTTGATTCCAGTTTCTGGCATGCCTTGGTGCAAGGTGCCACCAAGACCGGTCATTTGCACCCAAGTCAATTAGGGTGTGACAAGCCACCCCCACCTAAAGTATCCAACGACCTCGTTGGAATGGAGGCATGGTATTGCTTGATGAGATCCTCAAACTGCCACAATGTTGTCTCTTTCTCCCATGTGGCTTCCTCCAGTGTTTTCCCTTTCCACTTGACTAGGTAATGAGTTCTTCTATTTTTCTTACTCATTCCCTCAGTCTTGTGGTCAAGGATAGCTTCAGCTATTTCTGTGAATTGCTTCCTGATTGTTGGAGGAGCCCGACGCCGAACGTATCTGTTAGGGTCCTCCGGGTCCTCAACATACGGTTTCAAGAAGGCAACATGGAAAACTGGATGAAGCTTGAGACGACTGGGAAGATCCAGCCTATAGGCCAACCTGCCTATCCTCATTGTTATTAGAAAAGGGCCGTCATAACGCTGAATTAATCCCTTGTGTGCAGACTTCCGAGAGATCTTGTTCCAGATTGGTGGGGTCAATTTCAGCATCACTTTGTCACCTACTTCGAACTCTACTGCCCTCCTCTTCTCGTCTGCCCACTTTTTCATCCTCTTCACCGCCTTAGTTAAACAGTCTTTTGCTTCGTCGGTCCGCTCTTGATTGGTCCGAGCGAAGCGATATGCTGCAGGACATCTCCCTTGAGACTTTTGCTTGACTACTTCATGCGGGGTAAAAGGTTGTTGGCCAGTTGCCAACTCAAAGGGGCTCATTCCAGTGGACGAACTCTGTTGGAGGTTATAACTGAACTGGGCTACATCAAGTAAATCCACCCAATTGTCCTGGTCCGCTGTGACATAATGTCTGAGATATTCCTCCAGCATTGCATTAACCCGCTCGGTCTGCCCATCTGTCTGCGGATGATTACTGGTGGAAAGTTTGAGCTGTGTGCCCAACAGCTCAAATAAAGCTGTCCAGAATCGGCCAGTAAATCGAGTGTCCCTGTCACTCACTATGTCCAACGGAAGACCCCAAAGCTTCACAATATGCTTGAGGAATAACAGAGCAGTAACTTCTGCCGTACATACTTTTGGGGCAGCAATAAAAGTGGCATATTTCAAAAATCTGTCTACCACCACAAATATCGAAGTAAAATCGTTTACCTGAGGCAAGCCATTAATGAAGTCCATGGAAACACTCTCCCAAGGTCGGCTTGGAATAGGGAGAGGTTCCAATGTACCCGCCACCTTCTTTCTTTCAATCTTGTCCTGCTGGCACACCAAACAAGTGCGCACATACAGCTCCACATCTGCTTCCATGCGGGGCCAATAATAACCTTCTGCTAGCAAGGCAAGAGTCCGTTGTTGCCCTGAATGTCCTGCCCATAGAGCATCATGAGCTTCTTTCAGCAACATCTGTCGAAGTCCGCCTGACTTCGGAATATAGGGTCTCCTACCTTTGGCGTAGAGAACACCATCCTCTACCCAAAATCGCCGAGTCACCCCTTCGTGAACCTGCTTCAGCAATAAGCTGGTCACTGGATCATCTTTAGTCTGATCCTGAATTCTCTGCAGTATGTCTCCTGCAATCTGGCTAAGTGCAGCAACTGTCCCATCAGCAACTGGGATTCGACTAAGAGCATCAGCAACCTGATTTGC